AGCGCAGAGGCGTCTCGGGGCAGAGAGCTGCCAACCTCTGAGGCCTGAATTTAAGCACGTTTTTTTTTCATCTCACTTCAAAGGTACACTGAGAGACTGTCCCACGATGAAGGTTTCAGGATTAGGTCCACGGGAGGAACATGTGAAGGACCTACCAGTGCCAGGTGCCTCTCGCAGACCACGTCAGGAGCGGCAGCACGAGAGGCTCCCAAAGCTCCCAGAGAGGCTGAAGATGAGCAAGTACTGCTTAAGGGAACCAAGAAAGTGGCATCAATGAGAATGACACAAGCACTACCATCTCCTGAAGCACACAGAGACATAGCAGACACACATCTCTGAAGAAGAAAAGGGATGGCAGAAGACAATGATGCCTCCAGGGAGGATTTCCCAGCGTAAGCTGCCTGGCTGTGACCACCAGCCTATGGCACCAGCTGCCAGCTTGGAGGTGCACACATTGTACCTTCCAAACCAAGAATCCCAGTCTGCCCAGACCAGGACCCACACACCAGACACCTCTAACTTTGCTCCCAACTCGTCCCATATTTTGGATGATCAGCTTAGTATCTTCTTTCTCTACCCCAGGCAGACAGAGCTTCAGATGGTGCTGTGCAGTTCCTTGGCAAGGGGCAGAGAGCCTGCACATTATCCAGGTTTACTTCCACCAAAGGGAGCTCGTACACCACTCTGCAGAGCAGTATGTGCCAGCCTTGTAGCATCCAAGGAGTTGCTACTAGCAGGAGTCTTGCTGAAGACCCACAAACATGAGCTGTGTAACATCACACAGCTATAACCCATTGCATCAAAAACTGGTCACGGCTTCAAGCACACTCAGTGTCTCAACAGTGTCTGTGGAAGACAGGCACAAGAACTGTGCTCTAAGATCATCCTCTTTGTTGCTGTTACTGAGTCAGGTCCAGCATCAGGAACCTGGCAGCTGCTGCTCAGGAAGTCTGCTCTGTGCTGTCCATTACCTCTGCTCAGATCCCCAATCAGGGCTTCCAACCAGATCACCAAGCCACACTAAAAATAGCCAGCTCACAAAACCAGCTCTTGCCTCTCACCACTCCACCCTCAAAGTACAGACACTAACTATACTGCAAACAAAGGAGAATTCACTCCTCCATCTATTTATAAGCTGCTTATTCACAGCTTGCAAGCACAGATTCTTTTCAGATGAGGAGCTTGGGGGAAGAGGTTATGCTTTTTCTGGTTCCATGTTGCACAGAGCCAAGCACTCAACGTGGTCATTCCTTCACCAACTGAGGTTTTTCTCTTTCTTTTAGCTCTCACCTCCAGCCTTGGGGATATCTTGTCCATCACCATGCAGAGCATGATGCAATCCCACTCCCATGCCACAGTGAGAACGTGGGTTCTCTGGGAGAGCCAGGCATGTGGCAGGTGTATCCTGGTTTAACTAGCATAAACCATCTTTGCATTAATATAAAATGTTTATTCCTTCTTTACTCCACCTGTGACTCACAGCATATCTGCAGGACAAAAGGCACCACTGGACAGTTTGTCTGGGCACACATTCCCAGCTCTTGGCTATGCTGGAAGATCAGCAATAATGAGAACAACAGTGGAAAATGTCTGGCTAAAGACCAGGTCAAAAGTCTCCTTGCCTTGCTGCCCAGCCCCACACGGTTGACTCACTTTAGCAAGAGCTCCCATGGCTGCTGCCTGACTTCTGGCAGCTTCTCTGATACCTCCATCATAAGACATAAGTCTTCTAAATCCACCACAAAAGCAGCAGTGCATTAGTCCACCTTCCACAGTTGGGTCAGTGAGTTGCCTGTAAGCTACAGGTTAGTTGATCACTGCACTAGACAGCCAGAAGCCAAAGCTACACCTGCTAACCAACTCTATGTTCCTTATTAAAGACAGTGCTAGTTAAAAATTTCCTGTTTGCAAGTGCAAAAAGAAGTATTAACAGCACTGAAGTGATGGAGGTCTCCATGGCATTTGTCCACACTCACCAACAGAACTTCAGCTAGGCTAACAGCTCTGCACTGCAATCCCCAGAGGGACTGGGGCAGCAAAACCTCTACGGGTTCAGCCAACAGACCTGGAGGAGCCTTCAGCACAGCAGATGGTGTGAAGGTAAATGTGCTGGCTCTAAATCCAACCAGCTCCACCAACAGTGAAGAAGTGGCAATGCCACCTCCAAGGGGGCCAGCCCCTGCTGAAGCTGTCACTGCAGCACTTAAAGAGGCACCACAAAGACATTGGCTCATCAGTGCCACACCCACACCAACTCCAGGCCAAACTCCCACTCCTGGAGGCGGGAGAGCAGAGAGGGACCATCTGAGCACACCACGTCCCCTGAGCCAACTCTCTGCTACGAGCTGCCTGCAGGATGTGTATTCTGGTGACTGAGCTCCTCCTTGCTAAGCTGGGAAAAGGCAGAGATCCAGAAAAACTGCTTGGAGAAGTCTGTCTTTCCCTTTGTGGATAAGCAGCTGGATGGGCAAGGCTGTATTTTACAGTGGTACTTGGCGGAGAAAGAAGAAAGAAGACTTGCATTGTGAGATGACCAAGAGTTGAGGAACTTGTCGAAGCCACTGCTCTGGTGCTACAATTTTACCTTTAGTTCTCAACTTCTGGATGGCCTATTTTAATTAAGTGGAGGCAAGAGTCCAGAAAATTGCTCTTAAAATTGTTTCCTCTATTTATATGTAATTCTCTCACATTTGGACAGTTACCTGTTCACAGCTGGCCTCAGCTTAGGACTAAGAAGTTCTGGCAGTCATGACTCCCTGTTGTATCAGACTTTTGCACCACAGGAGAGAATAAAGAACAATGGGACACGTGACAGAAACAAGAGCCAAAAGGTGGCTCAGAAGACTAAAGCCATTTGACTTGCTTCCGTAAATAATTTGATTTCAAGTATTGGGAGAGTGGGTGTGGAATTAAGCTTTAAGAACTGGTCTAGATTTTACAATTCAAAGTTCAGAACAGCAGTACCACAGGCCCTGCTGAGTGCACACACAAAGTCCTGTTCCATTTTCACACACCACCAGTTAGAAATCGAACACTGGACCCACATACACACCAGTATCTTCTCCATGCCAGCTTAGTAGGCCAACTACAGTATTTTGTCCCTACCCTGCTTTGATCATATCTGTTACAGAAGCCTTTGAAAATCATAACTAAAGGAGCCTTTACAGGGTTAGCAGAGCTCAGAACCTTTAGCCTCTGCATGCCAGATTGGAAAGAAGGAGCAAGTGCAGAGCCGCAGAAGCCCCAAAACCAAAAGTGCCTTATACAGAGTTCTCTAGTCAAGTGATAGAGCTTTTTTCCCCATTTGAAAGTATCCTGGAACGAGGAAGAGTGAATTTATTTAGTCCTCTGTCCTGAGTTGGATGAAAAGCAGGCATTTCCTCAATAAAGATACTGTATGGATTTTAATTTCTACAACTACTCCACAGGCTAGAAGAGGACTAACTTTCTCCTGCTGTATTCATTTATGCTCCTCAGGCTGGAGAGAGCCACATATATTTGAGCCATGGCATGCAGTCTCCTCTCACACAGGCAGGCAATGAATATTTCTTGAATGAAGCAGAGAACATGCTACACAGCCTCGGCATGCACTCCAACACTGTACAATCAAAGAATTCTGTGTGTATCCCCCGCCCCTGCCCTTGCTAAGGTAATCAAAGCAGTAAATTATCCTTAGGGGCTCTGCCAGATCAGGTTTCAAAGTTGATCATTTCCCTGCACAAGAACACAGGCTTAGCTTAAAACCAAAACAAAACATAAAACCCATGCATGTTCTCCCTAGTCTCCTAGGACTCTAAAGTTGCTGTGTGTTGCTTAAAATAAAATAAATAAAAAAACCTAAACAGAACACAAAAACTCGCATTATTGCGCTTCTCATGTCATGTGAGAATGAAAAGACTGTACTGTACTAATTCAATCCAAAATTGCATCAAGATTACTTCACCAGTTCAGCAAGACAACTGTCTGCACAGCCTGCCAGAGCTGCTGACAGCAGTCACAGCAAGGAGGGAACAGAAATAGTTACACAGCCTATGCCCACAGTCTCCTCTCAGCACCAAAATGTCAGCCCCCTTCCCCCAGTGACGGGTACCAATTTGCACTGTCACTCGCTGAATTTTCAAAGAGAGGCGTTTTTCTCTTCCCAGTGTTTGGGTGATAATACTCCACAACTATTTTGTTATCTTCTCTCCATTCCCTCCCTTCAAACCTCCCAGCTTGTGATGGCAACAGGGAGTTTGAGCAGAGCAGGGCTGCAGATGCACGGAGCCATTCCACACCAGCCCGCCATCCTCATCTGCACCCACATGCCAGGGCTTATCTCACACTGGGGCTGGAAGCTCCTGGGAGCAAAGGCTGCCTTTCTACCTTGTTGTTTGCACAGCACATAGCACAGAGGCCTTCACAGGCTGATAGGCTTCAGGTGTTTTAGCAGTACAAACAGGAGTTGTGCAATGCCCCGGGGATGTCAAACAGCTGGGCTCTCTCAGCCCCTGCTTCTCATACCAACCCTGCAAATGGGCAGCGACTATTTGTTTGTGCAAACCAGTACCAATGTGTGAGGAGATCAGAGCCTGCTGCAGCCAGAAAGCATTCCTCACAGTTAAGGTCCTTGGAAATCCCCTTGCATAAGGAGTGCCTTGGGAAATCACACAGTGATAATGCCCTGGACCTAAACATTCATCACTGGCATCACCACTTAAGGCTTGTGTTTCAGAGGTGCACAAAATATCCAGCTCTCTCTCCACTACAGAAGATAAGTCTGATTTGGCTTGAAAAAGGAAGTTTAACCATCTAAGTGAATCCACCTAGACTAGTTTTTGAACTAGGGATGAAACGGTCAGGATAAAAGTAAACCTACAGTTTTCACCTTTGCTGTTTTCAACATAATTCCTCACTACACAAAGCTGCTCTCTAGCCTCCAGCAACGAAGGGGCATCTTGGGGAGATTCACAGTGCCTGCTTTTTGCTCATCTCCATCTCCTCCCACTCTGGGGGCTCACCTGTAGTCATGGGTGAGGGTGACACAAGACTCCTCCTTCCTCAGCCTGGCCAGGAGTGCTCCACCCTCCAGCTGCAGCCTGACCAGCCGTGTGTCTTCAAGAACGTTCTTCATCAACTGCCTGTAGGTCCTCAGCAGCACAGCTGCATCCTGGAGGGATCACAAGAGTGAGATGAGCAGTTACTGCAACCTACGGGCAATGAGGGAACAGGCAAAAACCAGCACCCAACCCAAAACACACCCAAACCACATCTCACCTGGGCCCACCCTAGCAAAGGGGGAGGCTGGTTCCCACAGCTGTGTCTCTCAAGCCTGCCAAGTCCCAAGTGATAAACAGTGCTCCTTATTGTGACCCAATTCCCATCATTGTTGTTCCATTCATTTGCTGGGCACAGAAGGAATTCAGCCTCATCTTCCACTCACAGCTAGCTCCTACTGTTCTGAGAACCTAGACCTGCATGGCCTCAAGCCTTGGGACAAGATGGATGTAGTATGATATCTTCCCTTGATTTACTGCTGGGACCCTCAGTGCAGAGCTGGCAGCAATGTCCTACTATGTCAGGGGTACAGCAGCTTCTCAAGAGGGGGAAGAGAATGTTTGTGACAACACAGGCTTGGTGCTTGTACCTTCCCCCTCTTCCAGCCCACTTCCAGACTTCTGTTCTGGAAGCAGCAAAGCTGGAACCACACACAGAACTGTGCTGTCACCTCACTTTATTCCAGGCCATTTGAACCGACCTGGTGTGGCACAGCCTGAGGCAGCTGCTCTGCCCTGGGCACACCAAAGCTCGTGGCAGCTACAGAGCTGTGGAGCTGCTGAAAATGCACTCCAGTGCTGGAGCCAGCACCCATCGGCAACAAGCCCAGCTGGAGAGATCTCCTGGGTGACACTGAAGGATCAGTGAGCCACTGAAGCTTCTACCACTTCATTTGGATCAGCCTCTACTACTCCCACTGTCCTACCAGCTCCTCAGTGACACGCAGCACTTGGAACATCCTGCTACTACAGCTTGCAAATTCAAAGCTACAGCTTTTCTGCAGCTTTTCTGAGCTATCCTGCTCTCTTCTCTCTCAGGCCCACCTCTGATGACAGGTGAGGGACAGGCTTACCTCAGCTTTTTCTGGTAATTTTCCAGATTCCACTTTATGAATAGCTCCCTGAAGGAAGGCACAAGCACCTTGGCATCCTTGTAGCAAGTGTTCCAGCTTCTATGAGAAGAAAGGACCAAGGCAGAGATTATTGTCTCACGGCTGACAGGAAAGGTGTGTTTTGAGCTTGCAGAGGGTTAAAAGTACAAAAACCAAGAGAGAATCAAACACATTAACCCAAGGGTTCAATTATACCATCTGGTGAGGCTCAACCAGCAGAGAGAGGCCCATCACACTACCCCCAAGGCCTCTATGCAGACTTTATAAACTTGCATACTCGTGCTTGTAAGGGCCATGCTTTACAGAAATCAGTCCACTTATGTCCCACATTCTTCTATTATTAGCATTTCTTGTAACTTCCCATGAAGATGAATCACTATGCACGAATTTTAGAGAAACAAAACATAAAACAAGTACTTGGAATTTTTCTACTTTAAATCATTCCTCTTCATGTTAAAAGTAGTGTAAATTAAAGAACAGGAAACTGGAAAGCTTCCAAAATTAAGCACCTTAAGCTATGGACAAATCTGAAATCCTTCCTTTCTTCGGAGTAGGGGGGAAGGGGAGAGAAAAACAAACAAACAAAAAAAACACCAAACTTTTCATAAGAGTTCATGAGACATTATTTTTTAGAAAAGTCAGAGACATGAAGCCTAAGGATTGTCAGATGCCACCCTTTAGTCACTGGAATCAGAGCAGGGAGAAACAGCTATTCCAAAATAACCATGCTCAAAACAAAACAAAAAGGCAGCTGTTTGAATCCGTACTGAACCGAACTCCCTCCTCCCCGGAGTGCTGGAACAGCCCCAGCAGTGACAGATTAGCAGGCAGGATGCAGGTGAGATCACTGAGACAGGAAATAAATGCTATTTGCCACATAGCTGCAGAGCTAAAGGAGCTGAGCACGTGGGTCATTATCACACACAGTATAGACAGGCAATCCATACAAACCAACTCCCATATTAACTCCCTTTGGTAACATTTTACATGTTAAGATATAAGACACAAAGGAGTAGTCTGATATCATGCTCCTTCCCTCAAGAATTACCCTCCTGCACACACAGAGCACCTCAGCTCTTGAGGTATTCTCAACTCTGCCCAGAAAAATTAACCCATAACCTCTTGCAAAGTTCCTCTGCTTCCTCACTGCCAAATAAACTTCAGCATCTTGAATTCAATCCCAGGCACCAAGATTAGGCTTCTGTACCTCTGCATCAGCACGGGTCCGTCCTAGTATTTTTAGATGAAAGTTTCAAAACTGGGTTCTAAAATAAGTTGGAAAAGATAAGTTAACATTTGCCACATGTTAAGGCTAACTGCTGAAGCCTCCTACCAGTGCCACAGTGGTTTTATCAATGACATCTTACTCTGTTTCTGCACTGTGCCATGCAGCACTCCGGGCAGTGGGGTCAGAGCCAAAAGACCACTGGATCCTCTGGAAGCTGAGGTGACAATTCTGTCATCCACCAGGGTGAGCAAGTCAAACTCACTGTGAAGACAGCCAGCTTGTGTGCAGATTTACAGAGATTTAATCCTGTCTAGTCTCAGCATGCCAAATAACTCCTAACTCTCAATACAGCTTTTAAAGATTCAAACAGCACGAGTCCACAGCACTCAGGTTCCCTCCCACAGCACAAGCACACACAGAGCTGGGCATTGGTGCCACAGATGCAGATTTCTGGCAGTCTGCACATGGAAGTGAAAGATATTCCTAGAAGAATTCTGAACTGATTATCAGGAACTTCTAAGTCTCACTCCTGCAAGTACTGCAGTTTTCCTATGGGGCTCTTAGCTTGATCTGGGGAACTTGCTCCAAAACCAAAAAGACTTAACTATTTTTATTATGCTCAAATTCTTGACTGTTAGTTCAATGGAAACACGACACCAACACGTTCTCCTGAGATTAGTTTAAGAAATGTATGTTCTCAATCCTCTAACTGAAGAGCCACTCTGTATAAAACAAAACAGGATTCCATTTCAGATTTGACCATATCTTGAAGGGAAGGAAGAATTAATGCAGTTCAAGCAGATGAGGTAAAAACTAAAATTTTACTTCCTGCAGTCATGCACCCATTTTATGAAGACAGTATTAGCATTCTTTTGATAACAGAGATTCATTTGAAAACATAACTGTTACAAGAACATTGTCTTTTAATGCTCGTAGGCTCAGCTGTTGACAGGTTCCTCTGCCTGCACTCTGTTCCTGTGCCACTGCTCCTTCAGATGCCAAAGCACACACAGCCCACTCACCATGCGGAAGCTCAGCCAGTCCCGGTGGCAGTAGGGGAAGGTCCCATCCAGTTCTAGAGGCAGCTGTGAGCTCTCTATGTGCTTATGGAGGGATTTCATGGAGGTGAGGAGTTCAAACTGCACAGGAATAGAAGGAAAAAAAAAAAAAAGCACGCTTGCTTTAGAGTGTGAGTATTGGAGGAGGAGGGGAAGGTTAACAAAAGACAGAATCCTTCATTTCTTTATCTATCTTGCACAGAAACACGACACACAGTGTATATCTACAATATCACTACAATATGAAGGAGAAAAAAAAATCAATTCAATCTCAGAGCAGCTTGTTGAACAGCTCAGTGGGCGAACCCTGAAGGAATGCAGGCCACAACACGCTGTTCCACCAGGCAGAACATCTGTGATGGAAGTCTGGCAGCAGCCAGCCTTCTCCAGAGCCAGTACCTCCTGGTGTAAGCACAGCAACTCCCTCACATGTTCCCACATTGTGCTCCAATTTGCATTTGTTTGGAGAGTCTGGGAGGTTAAATCCAGCCCCCAGCTTCCCAGTCTCACTTCCTGGAAAAACAGTCTAACAGAGCAGTCTCTGCCCTGCCCTCAACTCTCCACTCAGCAGCTATTTGCTACAGGAGTTTCATGGATCTTGACACAGATAACTTGCCTTCTGCGAGTCTGTTGGACCTCAGAGGATTTTTATACACACTAAAGCAACAAGTGCTCCTGCAGGTACATGGAAGCCAGCCCAGACACAAACTCAGGTGCAGACATTTAATTCCCCCACACACACTGTGAAGTTTCCACCTCCTTACAAAATAGTGATGATGCTCCCAATTCCTGCTGCATGCCCGGGTCTTTATTAGCCTTTCCTCTGTTCCCTCCTACGCTCTTTGTATTTGTTCAGGGTGTTCAATGTCTTCTGTAGCTCTCCCTGCATGCACATGCCTGCAGTCAGTCCATTCTGACTTCAAATTCTTCCACAAGGGGCAATGAGGAAATGGACTAATAGCATTTGTTATTCTTTAGCCTTTGGGACACTGCACCACACACACAGCAAACCTGATGCCTATCACAACCTCTTCATCCACAGGAGCCAAAAGGGCTGCTCTGAAGCCTTCAGAGTTTCAGCAGGCACAGAATTTCAGTCCAATCTTGCCTCTTGCAAGAGTCTTAAGAGCAGAGGGAGGACCAAGATGCAGTCTGATATCTATTCACTCACCACAGGGTGGCTGGGAGCCTTCTTATACAGCTATGGCATACCAAGGCAGTTTTACTACTAGTGGGGGGAATTCACTGATGTTGTGATAACTTTCCCTCCTGTTAGTCTTCTCAGACATTTCAGCAAAGGGAACTTAAACAAATGCCCATCTCCTCTTCCCCTTCTTGCAGAATCTCTCAGCCACTGACAGCAGCACGTATGAGGAGAGGAAACAGGAGATATGCAAAATCCAGGAAAGCAACAAGAACCTTCAAAGGGGGAGGTTCAGGATTCAGCCTAATGTGATCTCTTCCTAACCAAGGATTTCCCCCCTTGTTACTGGCATGAAAAGCATTACTAGTGCTGTTAATTGTGCAGGGCTCCTCCACACAGCTATTCATGTTCCCAGCAAACCCCCTGGTCCTGAGGGCCCCAGCAGACTGACACAATTATGGTACAAATGTCACTGATGGACTCGGCAATAAACAGAGCATGAGAGAGATCTGTTCAGCCCCCATAAACATTACAGCCCCATAAATACCACACCTGCAAGAGACCACAACCATAAAACACAGAGAACAGCTACAGAGATTTCATGTGAGAATAAACATGATACCAACCACAGAGAACTCACTGTTTGGAGAGTTAAATAAAGGATATCACGGGCTGCCCAGCAAACCCCCAGGTTCCATTACCTGTCTCGCTGGTGGCTTCTCCATCCGAAAAGTCAGATCTCTTTCAACCAGAAGCAGTACCCCATGAATGCAAGGAGGATCCATGTCCTACAACAGAGCAGAGCACAAATCCATTACTGATCTGTCTGGGATACTAAGGAGGATGTACCATACCAAGTTCCTACAACAGATTGCAATTTATCCTTCAAAGGCATCTAGGAAGCCCAGAAGGCAGTCAGCAGGAATTAGGGATGGCCAGTCTACAGAGCACCAAGGTGATGTCCTTAAGGTAGTTTGTTTCAGATCAACTAGTCCTGTAATATTTAAGGAAGCAATGGAAGAGCTCAGGTCTTGGCTGTACTAAAAAAACTCTGCCTTCTACACAAGGAAGTGTGTCAGGGTTAAAATAGACAAAATGAAAAAAAAAAAGCAAAACCAAAAACCGTGTTCAGTGTCCAAGTTTTTTCTCGGTAACTTTCCTGGTCACCTCACCTAACCGAAAGGAAGTGTTTTTTTTTAAACCCCACAGCGCCAAAGAGGTCAACTTCTCTTTACTTACTGCCAATTTACAATCAAGTACTTGCATCCTGTTTCTACTGTTAAACAGACAGAAATCCCAAATACAAGGGATGTCTGGCAGCTGCAGTTCAGACTCAGTGATCCAGGAGCAGCCCTGCAATTATAGAAACGCTCTACACGGAAGTGAGAAACGGGCACAGGGAGCGACAGCAGGAAGAGGGAAACGTGGCAGAAAGATCCAGACCATGGAGAGAGGGCTCACCACATATGTGATGCCTGGACCAGGAAAGCAAAGAGAAGAGCCACTGAAGCTGTCATGCCAGATAGTTAAACAAAAGCCATCCCATTTGGATGTCTCCTACATGGTCTCTGTGTCTACAAGGATCTCAGGAACTTTAATCTTTGTCAAGAAACAAATCCTTTGTAGTACTGCCCAAGCTGCAAGGGAACTGCCACAGAGCAGCCCATGACAGCAAAGGGAATCTGTTTAAATAAACAGCTCCAGCCGTGTGTAGGCTCAAATATCTGCCAGGAACAGCAGAGCCAGAGTAGAGAGGCAAGAGGACCAGCAGAGACTGAGCCATCTAACATGACACTGGGCCCTGTTCAGCAATTAAGAAACAATGCCAACACAAGGAGCCCCAGTTCTGCAAGTGAAAACAGCAGCAGAGATTCCAGAACAGAGGAAAAAGACCTTTCTCTCATCCAGTCCTAAACCATGATCCTTTCAAACAGGGAGGAAAAAATCCCAGCTGAAACATCTTCCAAAACTGTGAGAGGTTTCTAGTTCTTCTCAAACCCCTTTCACCAAAGGTACTTATTCACACTTTCACTGTTATTCGAACACTGATCAAAAGGCCAGAAAAAGAATTTATTGTATAATAAGGCTGCATTAGGTAAATACTGAAGGTCATCTGAAGAGAGGATGGGGAGATATTACAGCTGTATCAGTAGCTCTGAATTTATCTGCTAGAAAGTACTGAGGGATGAAGACTAGACACAGCTTCAAGAAAGATGATGGTACTAAACACATTTATTATTACACAATCCCTCTTCTACTCCAACAGTCATGAGATGAGGGATAAAGGTAGAGATGGTGTAACAAGAGGTTACCAAAACAGCCAAAACACTCGTTTGTTTGTTCTGAAATAGAAACTGAAAATAGAAACTGAAAAACCATTCATAAATAAAGCTGTCAAGGGAGAAGTTCACAGTTTTCCAATCCAAGAAGAAGCTGCATTTCCAAAGAAATCAAGTATTTTTCACCATATTTTTTTTAATTTAAGCAGCTGAGGGAAGATGAACAGCACTGATGGAGCAATCCAAAGACTGAAACAGTTACAGAAGTGCCTCAGGAGACAGGCAGAGCTGGAAACAGCAGGACGCTACCTGAGGAAGCTTTCTTGCAGCTTTCTGCACAATCTCTTACCACTTTTGCTAACAAAGCCAGCTATTTGGAAGCAAAAAAACAGAGTTCCCCACATATAAGTGAACTCCTCACCTCCCAAAACAGGTACCAATGTGGACAGGCTAGAATAGAGGGGTATCATCAACAGGAGCTCAGAAAGCACCAGCATAAACAGCCATTCCTTTATTATTATTCTTTAGAAAGAGAATTAGATACTTTCTTCAACGTTTCCTAGACTGAAGTTTCAGTTTTCTGGCTTCCTGCTCCAAGTGGAAGCCCATAGCCAGACTTAACTGGCAGAGTCTGAAGCCAGGGCTGACAGGAATGCCTGTGCAGAGGGGAGAGTGCCCAGATACCCCCCAGTCAATCTCAGTGACCACTCTACAGAAGTCCTCTGTACTTCTACAGTGAGTGGGAATTCAAATGGAAATAACTCTTGAACAGAAAGGTTTGCACAGAGCTTCTCTGTTTTTAAATGCTAAACAGACTCTTCCCAACCCAACACACTGATACAGCACATTACAGGACTAAGCATTCGCCCTGATTTGTGAAATTCAAAACAACCTCCCTCTACTAAGACTCAGGCAGAGGGAAATCCCACAGATACCTGCTCACTGAAGGCCAGTGCACACGCTCCACTGCCCATGCCCCGCCTGCTCACTGAGCAAGGGTTCAGCCCAGCACTACTGAGCAGCAAAGCTCCTCTGATCAGGCCCCCCAGCACAGACCAAACATCACGGCAGTCACCTCTGCAAAATTCCTTGCTCCAAAGCATCATGACACAGTTTCCCACAGGAACAAGCGGGATCTATTCTTGCAGCCTGGCCACACTGTGCATTTCCCTTCACCTCCATACACAGCTGCCAGAGTTCCTCCAGCTTCTTCCTGAGTTAGCTCTGCAGCAGCTCTTTATTCAGCCCCTGCTCCCTCTGCTCCCACTGCTGTCTGGGACAGAAAGATTTCCCAGCTACCCAGTACTCTGAAAAGGAAGAGGGGGGGAAAAGTCCTGCAGAATGTAACTGCAAGGCAGAGGACAAGCTTCCACCAGTTTACCAGGTGGGTCCAGGCAGAGCAATGGACACGCTCCCAGTGCTGGAGGGAAAACTAACCTGAAAGCACCAAAAGCTGTCCTTTAGCACTGAATTCCAGTCGTGCATTCATTCTGCATAGATGGTAAAGTGGAAGAAGGATTTCCTCAGACTGACAGATCCTGACCCAGGAACCTCTGCTCCCCAGGATCAGTCTTCACTCCCCAGGAGCCTCTCTAGGTTTAACAGATTCGGATCCTGCACTGCAGCAGGAAAGGACTCTGCATTAGGGTATCTGATCTGTGCTTAACCACTGTGAAGCAGTGCTTCCAACTGCTGGGTCAAGAGGAAAACAACCCTTGGGAATTTAACAAGCAACACTGGACTTCAGCATTTAACAGATTCTATCACATTATCAAACAGGCTCTTGAGCTCCAGACAGTCTGCCACAGGTAAGACACTGAGATGTGTCAGGGATTTCAGAAAGGACCTCAAGGAGATGACCTGCTCTGTGACCTTAGAAGCATAACATACAGTCTGTGGTTCTGCAGCCACTGGCCAGCAAACCCTGCTGCACTCTGGAACACTTAGCCTGCCTCACTGCAGGTTACACTCAGTTTTCTGTATTACTCTATCCTTGTTTCAGAGCAGAGGAGAATATTGCCATGGGATCACGGAGCAAATGCTGAAGATCTCCAAAAGGCTCAGAGGAGCCAGGGATTACTCCTTGCCATAATCAGATAATAAGTTCCCCAAAGGGGTCTCCTTTAAGGAGTCTTCAGAAGAGTCAGCATAAGATTCAAAAAACCATAAGCAGAGTAATCAGCCTCTGTCAGTCACTGTTACCTGAAGCACACACTGAGGTCCAGCAATCTGTCTTGCAGCACATTAATCTCTGTTAACTAACTGCTGCACCACCCTGATAAGGAGGTGCTCAGAGCCAAACAGCCATCACAGCAGGATATTTCAGAGGCACTGCAAAAAGCTTCCCCCCTCCCTCATTTTAGGGAGGAAACTTCAGGTTAAAATGGCATTATTACCATGCTTCTATGAGAGTGGGGACAGCCAGAATATGTTGCTGATTTCCAAGTCATCCCACTAAGACCACCATGCAATTTACATGGGCAATGAAACCCTGAAAAGCTTTAAGCAAGCCCACTGCCATGTGGGCACGGCATAAAAGAGAACATACTTGTTTGTTACCTCTGCAGAACTGAGCAGGGCACCAGATTACTCCTTCACCACAGAGAATGAGGACGCTGATAGAGCTCACAGCTCCACCCAGCCCAGGAAGCAGGAGGACAGACCTCTGACTCAGACCCAACTCTCAGATGTGGCACTGAAGCACATAAACCACAGACATCAGCTTCATTACAACATTGCCCTGTTCCAGTTTGCAGAGTTTGAGTCCTAAGAGACCTAAGCTCTGATTTAAGAGGAACACCTGCTTAAACAAGATTAGTCATCACTACAACCCAGCAGCTCCCTGGCTTTCCAAAAGAGCAGACAGTTTCTATCTGGGAGCGGGGGCAACACAACCCACTGGCTTTCCAAGTGACTGATATGAAAGCCTTTGACCTGAAGCAATATAGAGTTACAGCACGTCCGATTCCAATCAATCACCAACAGCTACATCAACAGCTGCATGTGCTTTTCCACCTGGCATGGCAAGCAGCGTCCTTCCCTTCCCAAGGCAGCAGGCAGAGCCCTCTCTTCCTCCCTTCTCCATAGTGGGCAAAAATCCCTGCACATCTCACACAGCCCCTCAGTGCAGGGGACATCTCCAAGCAGGATAATTCCTCACAGTATTTAGACTTGGGTACAGGTTCTTCTCAGCACCGAGATGAAAGCAAATTTTCAGGGATGGGGAGAAGTGTTCTCCCCTAACTCAGACTTGCTTTGGGTTTTTTCGCTTCATCTGCAGCCTGGTAAGGCCAGGTCATCCTCCTAAAGCAGGGCTGGGCACGTAACTCCACCTCCCAAAGCCAACTGGAAGCCAGGTGCCAGATGGAGACAAAAGCAGCAGATGGAGATGTCCCATCCAAGCACACAAGCCAGCCAGTGTTGCTCTGCCCAAGCTCAAGGCTCACCTGCAATATGCTGAACGCCTTGAAGAGAGCAGGAACCGGGGAACAGCGACGAGCATCCACAAGAACAGTTAGACCCAAAGCCTGACACTCTGGTCTGCAAGGACAAACATAAAAAGGTCACCTTTGTCACCAATGAAAATCAACAAGATTATGGAAACAGAACACATTGTCATGGCAGGGTGAAAAAAACCAGCACATTATGGCTTTGTGAGGACAGGGAACTAACTGGCCACCTTCTCCTAACCAATATATATATGGAAACCACCACTGGATTGCTCAGTTCTTACCTCTGCTACGGGATTTTGTGATTTCCACCCAACTTCCCATTTCTCCAATTCCTAGAATACATGTCACTGATAGCAAAGGTGTCGATACCCACTCTGGATAATCCACACAGGAAAACCAGTCCTTCCTAATTGTGTTCAGGGACAAGCTTTGTTTTAGCCTCACTGCTTCACAAGAGCAGCCAGTCTGGAACTGACCCAAAGCCTGTCTTGCCCAGAATCAGATTTGAAGGGAGAAGCATAAGAAACAAAAGCATGAGTAGCAGAAGCTTTCTCATGGGTTAAGCCTGCTCCCTTTACCAATGGTTTAAAGCCTTCAAAAAAAATCATTATCAGAGAGTTAGCTTTACCTCTTACTATTTAATCATCTAAAAGGGAAACAAAGTGATGAGCAGTGGAGGAAGAGTCTGTCATAGTAAAAGGAAGAGCAGCTGCAGCAAACTCCAGCCTGCAGACTCCAAAATAAATTTTCAGACAGACATCAAGGCAGATTTTCTCAACCCTTGCAGATCCTCCCTCCCTCTCAGCCTGGAGGCCTGGCCCTAAAATATCATGTCACAACTCTACCACGGAGCTGCTGCATGACTGCCCCGTCATAGCTCCCAAGTCCCATCTTCTGAGCTAATGAAGGATAGCAAGAATGGCTTGGATTCACAGCAACACATGAAAACATTCAGTACATAACCAGTTCTATCACACCATGTGCACAAGGCACATATAGGCAGAGTGCTTGCTGAACACAAGCCTGTTCACCCTAGCAGGAGATCCCCACCTGTTCTGGGACTGTCTGGACCAGGTTCCTAAGCCAATAAAGTCACAGAATCACAGAATATTCTGAGTTGGAAGGGACACACAGGGATCATCGAGTCCAGCTCTTAAGGGAATGGCCCATAAAGGGATCAAACCCACAACCTTGGTGTTATTAGCACCATGGTCTAACCAATCAAGCTAATCTCAAGTCAACCCCTTCCACTGGCTGCTCCAATTCCCACCTCCCCAAAAGGCAAAGCAGGGAGGGCAGCAGCTGTGCCCCCCCAGGGTCACACACCTGGGGATGCTGTGCAGGTACAGGAGCAGGCGCACAAGCTCAGTGGTGTTGCAGTGGGGGTTCAGCCAGGCCGTGTTCCTCGTCGTTATTATGGCCACTGCACGCCCCGATTTATCTCTCGTACCTGTAAGGGAAAGTCACACAAGGAGTTCAACAGAGCCTGGCTGCAGTTGTGTATGCCTCATATTCTCCTACCAGCACCCCATCACCTGCCTGGCAACCCTCCACAGAACTCAATACAGTATATGCTGCAGATGGCAGGAGGCTATAAACAAACTTCCAAAGTACCCAACTGCTGCCCCAGAGCGAAGTAGCTGAGCTCTGCTTGTCTTTGTCTCATGGCAGTGTCAAATTTGGACTGCTCTCTTCTACCCAAGCACACGCTCTTCATCAATATGGCTGAAGTTGGCTAACGATAACCCAATTTTGTGAGAAAAGCAAGAACCTCGTGAACTCAAGACAAAAGAATCTCACCTTCCCATTGTGTCAGATAAGAGAACACACACTACATAACGAGAGTGGGCACACAGGCTGAGCCCAGCACGTAACCAGACATCTCCTCCTGGGAGCAAGGCCCTGGAGCAGGAGCCCAGAGCTCCTCCTCGGAGGTGGCAGAGCGGCCAGCCCAGGAGCACACCCCTGCCTGCCTACAGCTCTGGCAAGGGCACAGTCAGTGCCAGGCTTTCATTAGTTTCAGAGCTTGCTCAGAGAATAGATAAGGCACAGAATGGGCAACACAGCTGAGCTGTGATATGTTGGGGAAAGAGAAACTCCTCTGCTTCAGTCAGCCAGGAAGCACAATTCCTCTCTGCCCCCCACTGTACAAAAGCCCAAAGACACAGCTCATCACAGGAGGAGAAGGACATACCAGTGCTGGTTCTGGAATTACATCCAGCCTCCTCTCCAGATGCAGAGGTAAAGAGTAGGTGGGCCACTTTGGAGACCCAGAGCTGCCTCTGCCACTCAGAAGCAGGCAGTGTCTCTGGAGTGAGGCTGCTCAAGTGACAGCACTCACACGGGTCAGGGGCAAGGTAAGTGATTTGGAGACCAGCAGGGACAACATGTCTATTGTGTGAAAAGTAATTCATAGGAACAGGAGCCATTTCCTGTCATACAAATTGTATGAGAAAGAGTCAGGAGGGAAAATCCCAAGCACAAGAGAAAACCAGAGGCTTAGAGAAAGCTGTGTCTTTCTGTCTCTCCTGAACTATATTGCTACCACAGAAGATACTGTCCTGCATCACCTCTCTCCCCATCCCAGGGACAAGCATGAAAGCTGACAGGTAAAACAGACACAGATGGACAGACCCACGCATGGAAAACTGCCCTGGAGTGATCTCAGTCTGTCACTAGGATGTGATTTGAGTAAGGGCCACAGGCACAGATGGGTATCATTTCAAAGCAGGGCCTTCTCCCTCCCAGGGACCAAAACAGTGACACAGGCTTTCTCCTGCTAACAAAAATCTTTCATCATCTGTGTGATTCAGGAGAACTTTTATTATTCTGAAATACTGTGGCCTGGACCCTGCATACTCAAAGAGATGGAAAGAAATTAGAAAAAGCTTATTAATATACCCTCTTTCATAAGATAAGGGGATCATCACAAAATGAAATTTAAAAAAAGCAAAGCACTCAATTACTGGAAAAATGGCTCAATAACCAGTCTCAGTAAAAACTTTTTAACTCTGAAGAAACATCTTTTGTCCATCAGGGAGGCTGGGCCTCACCAGAGCTAGACTAAACCTTGAATTTCCATATAGTAGTCTGGGAATTGCCTGACCAGGTCAAAAAAGCAACCACAGCCACCAGGGCTAGGTCTCCAACACTGGCACAATCAAGATCATTCAAGAGCAGAATGCAGAATTGAAACCATCCTGAAAGTTTCAGCTAACTCCATCAGCTACTAGTTTATTAATTAGCTCTTGTTCACTATTCATTATAAAAGTTACTCTTTCTGATGTAATTATTGTATCATTACCAATGACTAACATAAAACATTAAACTGAGTGGTGAGTGTGTTCCCTTAGGTGTGAGGATTGCCCACAGCAGCAGAGATGACTATTTGACAGGCATCTCAAGTACACAGAGCTAAAAATCACTCTCTTAATCTGTTTAGTCATCCCCTTCCCTTTACACATCTGAGGTCAAAATTGGTCTTGCAGCCCTAGCACCGAGTGGGAGATCCCTGTGCTGCCTTTCTGCTCTCCTTCCCGACTCCTTCACCTTGCACAGGTCTGCCTGACCTCTGCTCTGCTCTGCCCAACTCGCACGTGGCTCCTGAGCTGATCAAATGCAAGTATCCTCCTGCTCCACAGTGGACAACCCTCTCGCTGGCTATGGAAGGACAAAAGCCCACAGGGGCTCCTTACACAGATGCTGCCAAATGCTGTTTCTCACTGGAGAGGTAGATCTCACTCCCTCTGCTTTACTTCATGTTTGGTTGAACACAAAGACGTCTTGTGTGGGCCCTGCCCACCAAGTGATCCTGGCTGCTCTGTCCAACAGCCTCAGCTTTGTTCACCCCTCTGTCAATATTTGTCCCATGCAGAAGTTTTATCTGCAGCCATTTGATACTTGCTGCTGTAACAGATGCAAACACTGAATAACGTTTGACCTACAACTTGATCTTGGCAGAACAATTCTGGGGAGTCCTCCCTCGGTAGCTACTTTTGTCATCTGCTATTTAGCTACACTATCGTTCATCCCACACACTGCTCACCCACACTTCACTGGGATATTCCTTTCAACACTGTGTGTCATGAAAACAAATGTTTTCTAAAAATCTATTATATCCAGGTAGTTACATTTAATCAACCAAACTTCTAATTACCAAGAATAAAACTGGTTTTCAAGAGCCCTGTCACACAGCATCTTCTACACACCTATCCTTTAATTATCTACCAAGAGAATCAAGTTCCTATTGTTCTGACCAGGTCTGATGTCAGGCCCACCAGCCCATTATTAGGTGCACCCTCACTCTTCTCTTTTTGAACTCCTGGTATGAGCCCACAGATTTGGCATTTCTGACTCATATGTGCTTGGTTAACATTTTGAGACTCCTGGGAGCAAATTAACATTACTTTCATGGGAGGGAAGTTCCACTTCCTGTCCTGCCCATTCTGAACCTTTAGAGGATTCAAGAAGTGTTGCTTCTGGAGAAGTTTGGGGTGAAAGAAATGGAACTGGCACCACGTCTCCAGCGCTGCAAACAGAGGCTTATCTCCCTTACCCTCCTACAAGCCACATTTCCCAGCATTCTGGCCCAGCTACTCACCAGGCAGGTAGGCAACTCCACTCCTGAGCACTTCTGGGTTCACATCCTTGACTATGGTAGGTGCAAAGTGACCACCCCAGGCAGTTCCAGAAGTCGGGGATGTAGGGGGAGTAATTGGTGTTGAAGTTTCCTCCGGGGCACTGACTTTACTCGCTGGTTTCAACACATCTGTGCCAGCTGCTTCTTTTCCCAGCTCTGTCCCTTCTGACACCATCCCTGTAAGACAAGCAGCAAACAGAAGCTCAAGCAGAGTTCCACCCAAAAGGTCCCATGAAAGTTTGAGATGGGGGAGGGACGTGTCCCCAGCCCCAGAACTCTGCAGCTCCTTCAGTCCTCGGGCCAGCCGCAGGCGTGTTCCAGAACCGGTTATAGCATCAATACTGCTGTAATTCTAACAAAATAAACCAAGTTATTGTGAAGTTTGTGAAGTACAAAAGCTCGATTCAGATCAGGATTACTGTAGTCAAAGCCATTTTTAAAGGTAACATATCAAGCAGTACATGTCTGCTCACAGCCTGGAAGTCTGGCATGGTGCAAGTCCCTGGCTGAGCTCCAGCAGCCTGAGCCTGCTGAAGTGATAAACCAGCTTCTGACAGGGAGGGCAACTCCATCACAGCACAATTACTCCCCCAACACCACTTTCAGATTAGTTCCTGAAAATATGAAGTCAACCTGAGGCTGACAAATCAGCTGGAAATTAGCCAAAGAGACCTTGTTCTGCTCGTCCAGACTTTTTTAATTAACAGTTAATGTGAAAGTCAGAAACCTATTTTAAAGCACTGAAGAACAGGATGATTACACCAATCAGCTCCTGCTCGAGAACTACAGAGAATGCTTCCTTTGTCTGAGACCTCAGCTCTAAAGTACGAGTTATCAGAATAGGTTAATTCTAAAATTAAATATTCTGGCTACTACATGGAAACTAAGGCTGGTTTTATCACATTTTAATTTTCATGCAAAATTATCTGGACAGAAGAAAAAAGCATCTACCCTCTGTGTAAGAAGTATTATTCCCCATTTCTGAACACCAGAAGAATTAGAAGCCAACAGTATGCCTTCAATAATACATCTTTAGCATCCTAAGTACCCAGCTTGGCTATCCCAGTGTTTGCAGAAAGCTGTAATAAAGAAAAGGCTATATATACTGCACTGATACTTCAGTATCTACTAACACAAATATCAACCTTTCTTCAGGAAAATAAGAGTGGAGTATTTATTTGCTTGCTATGAAGTCAGACATTTTAATTGCTACTTAAAATTGACTTCAACCATCCTACCTTCCTGCTGCATCAACAATGCTGCCACTTGACTCAGTTTATTTACTAACAGATTCCAATACTTCATTAAAGAGCAGGACCAGGAACAAAGCAGTCCTTGAAGTGGCTTTCAATACAAGTTTTAGCAGTGAAGGAGATTTACAGGTTGAGGCTTAGCCTGAACTGCTTTCAAAATTGCTAGAGTGGGTGAGAGAAGTGCCCTGAGCAGCATGGCTCATCCACCCCACAGTGGGGGGGACTGGGAGGGGCTCAGGGCTCTGCCCCATCAAGGCCATGATGGAGTAGCTGCTTGTTCCTCTTTGTAACACCCCTCTAGAGGAGCATCCCTGGCACCGAGTTTGGCATCTGCTGCATTTGGCCACTAAGCTGCTAGGATGGCCTCAGGGCTCTGCCCAGTTCTGGGCCACACCAGAGCTCCACTGTCCCCCTAGGGCTACCTCAGCCTCCACTTCCCAGTGGTGCAAGAGGTCACTCACTTGAGACAACGCTGCAGATCTTCCTGAAGCAGCATTTTAGAGGGGCACTGATCTCCCACAGACAAGGTTTCTTGAGCATCACAGAGTCATGTAAGTCATGCCCAAAGCTTTCACATTATGGGCTGATAGATTTTCTAGGAGAACATAGAATCACCTTAGCAAGGAGCTGTAAGGCCTGGCAATAAGCAGAACCACGCAGCTTGTAGTAAAAGAATCTGTATTAAATGACAAAAGCCTGCAAAGAGGATCAAAAGGTGGCATTTAAGAGGACAAGAAAGGGAATATGGATAGCAATGTTCCACATATATATCCATGTATATTCCACAAATGTACATGACAACCCTGCCTTGGATATCTCTTCGGAATGAGGCAGCAGCTCCCAAAAGCTAGAAGAGAAAAGCATTTTGCTCAGCCCACCGAGCACAGTCCCGGTACTGGGACAGCCCTAGGGAAACCTCACTGGAGCTGTGCAGCCTCCAAACTGTGTCCATCTTGCCCAGCTGAACCTCTTCCCTAAGCTGCTGGGGCCCAGCTCAGATCTGCAGACGCCACCTCTTTGGAAGAGGCCTCAGCACACTGTTTGTTATTTGCAAGCCGGGGCGGAGGCACTTACTGAAGCGGAAATTGGAGAAGGCGGAGGATTACATCTAAAAGCAAATTGAGAACAGGGACAGCTGAATTTGCCGTGTTTGCAGGTTCCACCTCTCCCCGAGGTTAAGGAAGTGGCAGAGGAGGATTTGCTTGTGTGCATTTCAAAGAGACATTAGCATTTTTCCTGCAAACTGCCCGGGCACCAGAATCATCTGTGCTAACATCACACAGGAACTGGGAGCAGGAACGGAACGCCCTAACAGGTGCTGCTGAATATGCCCCACTGTGGCTTTTCAGCCTGTTTCTTGAATATCAAGATACTTTCCACCCACGAAATAGAGGAATTCTTTCCAGAGCTGCAAAGTTTCAAAATTCGCTTTCACTTAGATGTTAGTCATTAGGAAAAAAACAGCAGTCACATTATCTGTGAATGGAACCAGTGTAAATTTAAAGCCACCAACTCAAAACAGTTCACATTTGACTCTCAGTTAGACTTCATTTTATTTATATCTAAGTCTTTCTACATAAGACTATATTTGTGCAGAAAACAAGCCCACTGGGAGTGGAATGAAAGGGAGAGAGTTAAGGGACAAGGAAAACAGCAGACACAGCAAACTCGGATGCCCTAGTTCTGCATGGGTACTTTGACATAATCTACAATATCTGCTGTAAGAAGCAAGATCCTCCACCTCACACAGAGCAAACTGTGCCTCTGCCCACTGCTGCCGAGGTGTGAACTGCAGATCTGAATTGACCCAGTACAGCTTCAGCTTTGTTGTTATTTATAGTTTAGGCAAGATACCCACAGTTTCCAATCATAGTAGCAAAATGACCCCAACAAGACACAGTTACAGAGAATTTAACTCATCTACACAGTAACTGGCTGGAAAAGTCCATTTGTAGGACATTTGTTTCACATTGTAATTTTATCTCTGAATTATCTTATTAGTATATCTCTGAGGGTTTAATGGGGCTAGATAAGGGGATGGCTTGTTTGGATCTCAAAGCAATCAAAGGTAATTGAATGGATTAAGCTTTTTATAGTGCCAGCTACAGTGTTTAACATACTCCCAGCATTAACAGATATTTGAGCTCCCCTTTGCCTTAAAGAGTTTGTTTCTTTAGTTTGGTTGGTTTTCCTGGTGATTTAAGTTTCCTTTTGCCTTAAGAAACACTGAGATAACAGGGCAGGTTTTTTTCTAAACTGCAATGCCCAAGTTTAACACCAACAGACTTGAGCCATGAATGTCACCTATTTCAGCCAAATCCCCAGAATCGTTTATATTGTCTTTCATTAAAAACAAACTCCACATGCACCCCAGAGGGGTCCAACATAGCTGAAATCTCCAGCACCAGCCAAGACTCACTCTCTGAAGCAGTGAGAACATCACACTTATCTCCTAACAAGCTGGACCTGGCTAATTTTAGACAGAAGAGATGGGAACAATGAACAAGCAGCCACTGGAATCATGAGCAAAGTGTCCACCCAGCACTCAACACAGACTAGGTTTTCCGAGGCTCAGTCCTGAGCAAACATGAAGTCAAGCCAGGTTCAGCTTGGTCAGGAATGGATACCCACAGAACGGTTATTTCCTGGCATACATCCCCCAAGAGCCTCAGATAGGCAAAAGGGGATCTCTTTTTCTTCTGGTCCTGGTGGTAGATGCTCACAGACGTACACTTCAGAAATAGCAACTTTTGAGCTGACCCCTCCATTTCACAGAAGAGAAATGCTCGTCACTCCAAAAGTATCAGAAATGCCTGGCAACCATGGGCTTGCCTAACTATGGGATTATTTTGGTGCAGATGTTAATGAAATTTTATTTTAATCAATGGACACTAATCTAGCTCCATTAGGAGGTTGCTAAGACATCAGGTAAAATGTGACTTTTGGACACTTGAGAAAGCAGTTGTGTGTGCAGCCAAATGGAGCTGTGCTGCAGCACCGAGGGAGGCTCTTGGCCACACAATTTGGGAACAGTGCAAGCATTACACTGGCAGCACATCCCAAGACAACCAGCTCTGGATCTGTTGGCCCACAGGGTCAGACACGGTCTGGCAGCGTGGGTCTGTACCACCAACCGTTTCAAGAGTCCTCAATCCAACATTTCAAGCTGGATGATTTTCCTAGCCAGGGGTCTCAGGGAATGAGAGCTGTGGAACTGGAATGGCACGTTTCACCCGCCCCCGCCACACACACGCTCCTCAGGGTGATCTGCATATCTCACTGCAGCTTTCCAGACTCAGCAGAGCCGGGCAAAGCCCACACCGTGTCCCTGCGGTTACACACTGCCTGGTATAGTCTGGTGCAAAAGGCAGGCACCTGGATTGCCCCCTCAACTCCTTCTGAGGGAGCACAGGCATCAGGAAATCTGGGAAAATACCTGCTTGAACATTTGGTCTGAGCTGAAGTTAGATGCTTAATTTCTCTCTGATCTCCCACTCCAGTTAAACAGCTCTTACTTGAAACATAATCAAGCTGAAGAAAGCACGCCGGAGGGGAAGGGAGGGAAGAAGGGGGGAATCCCTCAACTCTGCAGTTTGCTGCCTAAATCAGTTACCAGCACACAAATTAGTTGATCTTCAGGTTGATCTTACACAGCTAGTATTTTACTGAGGCATCCACTGCTGCTTCCTCTTGCCACAATCATCTTTCTAAAGCCAGTTTTCAACTACGAAAGACTTATGCAGTTAGACATTCTCACCTCACACACTGCTATTGTGTGCATCCTTAATGTGCACATCATGAATGTAACAGGCAGAGGTCACCAGCAATCAGATCAACTGAAATTAAAAGTCTCTTACACTGGAACTTTGTAAATTTGCAAAGAATTATTAGACAAAGTACCACAATAAACCCACCTGTGAAGAGAAAGCTAAATTTCCCACCACAAACATGACAATTTAATCACTTCCCTGTGCTATTACCCCAAAGCCTCCCAGCAGACATACTTATCAAATCCTGCTTGGTAAGTAGTACTCAAGCAGTACTCCTTGAGGACTCTGCTATCAATCCACGTTATCAAACAAACATCCAATAATTGTACCTTTAGGAGATGATGTCCCAGAAGCTGCCTCTGGGTGGGACTGCAGAGCACTGGGCTCTGTATGTCCCTCAGCAGGTCCTGAGGACAGTGGTCCAACCTCCAGTTCCTCTTCAATGGATTCCAGTGTTTTTGAGGCTACGGTCTTTGGCTTTTCCCCATAAGAAAAACTTCCCTGGTTCTCCTCCCTTCCCGGCGAGTCCTGCACTGCAACACACTCTGTGTTCAGCACAGAGCTCTCTTCACTTTCACGGCCCTGGTTTTCCACCAGTCTTTGTGGTTCCTCAGACTTCTCTCCAGAACTCTGGGTTTTGAATTGACTTGAGTCTTCTGTTTGTGGATCAGGGTCCAAAGAGTCACTGTTATTTAATTGTTCTGTCATCTGACCCCCCTCTGACAGAGCAGTTTGAAGTAGTATGGATTCTTCAGCCTCCTTATGCTCTTGCTTTTCACCATCTGACAGAGGTTCATCTGTAGAAGCTTTGACAGAACAGTGACTATGACTAGTTTGGTTTTCATTTGCTGTCAAAACCTCTTTAATCTCTCTGACTTCTTCTCGGCTATCCCTTCTTCCCACCTCAAATTCACCTGCTTCTCTTTGCTTCTTTTCTGGAGAATTTAATGGAGAACTGAGATTTGCTTCTGTATCGCTGCAGCAAGAACCTACATCTGCCACATTCTCTGAAGGAGAGCCTCTCCCCACACATACATCTGAACTCTCTGGCAATGCAGTGGCCTGAACTGGCACAACACTTTCACTGACATTCTGGCACGAGACATCAGAACCTTCCCTCAGTGTGCAGCGTGGTCCCAAAGGCCCTGGGACAGACACAGGAGAGGCGTCCACCTCTGCTGGTTCACTTTGACCCTCTTCAGCAGCAGTAGCATTCAGAATTGTTTCTGGGCTCTGCTCAGATGTTTCAACAGCAGCATTTCTGCCGGGTCCATCACTTTCTCCCTCTGTGTTTCCCGGAGCACCAGGTGTTTGTGCTTTGCAGCCGACACCATCTCCAGCACACGCGTCGCTGTAGCTGCACAGTGCATAGCGCCAATCCAGCGAGTGTTCACTGCCCGGCTCCTGCTCTGCAGATGAGCCTTCTGTGCTGCAAGCACGAGACTCAGACACAGGAAAATTACTCCCCATGTTTCCAGGACCAACTGATATCAGCTGACCTTCTGGAGACAGTTCTCCATGTGCCATCATTTTGCTGCTTTCTAACGGAATGACATTTTTGAGAACTTCTCTAGGAGTGCTCAGAGTGTCCATTTGACAGTGCTCCTTCTGCATAAGTGCTGACTGAATTAAGTTCTTGGAGTAGGTGCTGTCTTGTATGACAAGAAACCTGTGCTTGCCTTTAGACTCATTCACTCGTGCTCTGGGCTGAGTTAGATAATTTAAAGCCAGCGATTGGGTTAAAGAGCCTGTTTGTGACCCAAACCTGGGCAGCGAAACTTCTGCCAGCTCAACGTACTCCCCTTCAAGGTCACTTGTCAAGTTCTCTTGAGGCACAGGACTGGTACAGACACCATTGACAAGAGCCCCACTTAACTGTGGAGCTGTGCTGCTAATGACCAGGTTGTCTCGATTTGTATGTTGTTCCTGCAGATACTGAGAGCCCAGGTCTGGTGAACTGTGCTCAGTGGGGAGGCACAAAATGGAACGCTCCTCTGTTATTTCTGGAGAGATGATACTGTTTTCAATTATTTTTGGTTTGTTTATAAACTCAGGATTAACCACTTTATCCCAGGGGATACGAAATATTTTATCATCAGTGGTTAGTAAACAATTTTCCAGTGCTATACCCATCCGCTCTCCATTGAACGTACTCAGCCATTCCAGAGTAAAAATAGAGGTATATGAAACTTCTGGAATCACCACTTCCTCTACATTATGCTTGTCTTTTGCCAAACATTTCAATACAATTCGTGGAGACTTCTTCTCATGGGGGACCACCTGCAGGTAGAAGTCACCAGGCTCCAAGACTCGCCAGTCAATGGAAGCCAGCTGGATTACAATCTTCTCGTGGATACACAGGGGCCAGCCCGCGTGGCGGAACAGCAACCCGCAGTACTGAGCCTAGGGAGACAAGAGAAAGTGTTTTCAGCATCAGGAACAGATCTCAGCTCAAGCTTTTCAATCAGAGATCAATAAAACAGTTGAATTTAGGGTCTCTGGTTATTGGTGTAGGGGAGTTTTTCATACCGAGGCCTTCTCTTTAAAAAGCAGAAACAAGAAGAGCTACCGACACAAACCATATAAGCAAGACAGGGGGACAAGTTACACTGGGAGGCTGCAACCTTCCAGGAATTGGAAGGAGACACTGCAATGACAAAGCAGGACAAAGGAGGCAGCAAATGAGGAAAGGACAGCAGAGCCACAGAGAAAGAAGGCAACAAGTCCCATCAGCAAGCTGTGAGGAACTACATTTAACATACAAGCAACTTCCTCATTCCCACAACACAGCAGCGCTCAGGCCAGTCCCCAGACAAATCCCAATCAAGCAAAAGAACTGAAGTTTCACGGCTGAACTGACTTGACTCAATTATTTACAGCTTTATCACAACTTCAAAAAATAATTTCAGTGCTTTGAACTTGATTCTGTTTGGGTAAGATTTAAATTAAGCCATGATATAAGCTATCAGTTCTACAATTAATTTCATCTTTCTCTGTACGACAAGGGTTTAGATTCAATTAATTAAACTACTTTGCCACAGAGAAACTACAGAACTGGAAGGAACTTCCTGGATCCTCTCACACCTTGAAACAAGAGGTACTGGCATAAAAGCATTACCTTCGGCCCAGCCAGGTTTCTAATTCTCACTGCACCTGATGCAAAGTTGCTCAGAGTCTTGGAAGCCCAAATCATCCTTCAGATTCAACAATTCCTCCTCCTCAACCCTGGAGCTTATTTTCTGGATGCATTCCCATTGCTTAGACTCACTAAGCCGTGTCACATCACCTCAGCACATCCACCTCAATCATCTCCTGGGCCTGCCTGAAGCGTCTCCTCCGTGATGCCTTTTTTTCTTAAAAACACCTTTCTTTGTTCCACTCGTTCGTTGTGCAAAGCATTGCAAAACACCGTCTGTAACGGCACCAGCACCACCCAACTGTGCTAGAAGCATCTCTTACAGCTGAGTTCCCACCTGCCATGCCCCTGCACCAACCCAGTCACCCGTTAGTTTTCCTCTTCAAGCTGAGGAACCCCGTTTCACAACAGAAGTTCTGCCTGTGGAGGCACATGCCTGCCCTCCCAGTCTACCGCTACAAAATTTTAAGCACAAAGTTCTAGAGCTCATCTCGTGCAACGCATTTCTCACCTTCCTCTTCCCAGGTTATTGTTTGATGGCTCCCAGGCTGGTTTCACCACAAACATGTCATATACATACTCTTACTTTTTTATGCCAAGGTCGTGGATGAGAAGCCACGAGTGTGTCATGACTCCTGCCTCCAACTCAGTTTTCCCTGCAGTACAAACACCCTCCCCTGCACCAGTTTGTTCCCCATCTCGCAATACTTGCCTAAACCTCGATCCCTTTGACACAGTTATTATGACTCCATAATAAATCCTTTATGCAAGAGATTAGACAATGAAATTTATCTCTCTACAGAGAGAGGGCTTATGAAAAAGGCTGGTACCTGGCATGGAGCAAACCACATGAAAACATTACCCAGTTTTTAATGGGTCAGTTAATTCAGTCCTTGCTCAGTGCATGTTGTTGTACACTCAGCTTGTTCTCTGTATTTTGTTACTAGCCCTGACTTAACAGATTCAATAAAATCCCTGTTACCAAACATTCGGCATCACATGGTAACTTCTTCCACATTCCAGGATGGAGACCAGCCAGTCCTATTTCTTTGACACAGTCAAGTCCATATCATTTCAGCTATGGTAGTTTTATTTCTGTTCACTCAGTGCAACTGCCCTACTGTTGTACCTACACACTGTATCACTACAAAACTGAACCTTCCTTTAGTTCCCATTTACTTGACTCACACAGAACCTCAGCCAGTAAAGCACAGAAGTGCCCAGGCCAAGAATTTTGTACATAAGTTTTTAAACGAAGAGAAATACGCAGTTTTCCATATGAGACTATGAAATTGCACCCTACACCACACCAAACCCTCTTCTGCCATTGAAATATCTCCCAGTACGTATATTAAGGCCATCTGTACTGAAGGTCTTTCAGGGGAACAAGCGGCAGACAAAAATATCAGCTCCCAAACTATTATAAATAATCTGTAAGACTGAAAAGTGAAAGACAGAATCAGCAGTAGCATTAACATAAAGCTGAATTCCATCTGCACCTACCTGACACAGGCATTCTGTTAAAATCTGGATGCAGAGTAACCTCTTTGGGGGCTACTCATACATTAAGAAATCCAAAAACCCAACCTCATTGCTTAGATAACTTGTTTGACTACTGACTGACAAGGAGAAAAAAACTCAGCAATAGAATCACCAAAACCAAAATGCAGAATGCACTGGCATTTCTGAAAAACCCTACAAAGCCACAGTCTAAACTGCAGCAAGAGCCAGAGTAACATCCAAACTGGAATGCAAGTCCCTCAATAGCCTAAACATTACAGAGCTTTAGAACTTCAGAAGCGGAGCATCCTCATGCTGCTCCTGCTCCAAAACGCACCTTCAAAGGGAAGATTACATGAAGAGGCTTATTACAGTCCTTTCAACATTTCATTTTGAGGCTCAAGTATTTGCTTTTCTCATGTCCAAACACTACTGAGCCAAAGCAGGCTCATCAGAGGAGTGCCAGGAACACCCTCTACGCCCAGCAGCTGCAGCCAGGAATAAAGCTGCCTCTGAGGACAGAGCTGGGCTCCAACGACTAAGATGGCACGAAGCTGGAATCCCCCAGAGCTGCAGGGATGGTTAGGGTGGAACAGACCATTTAGCTCAGGATGGCATCAGAAAGCCAGGGGCAAAACCTGTTTTTTAACTTTGTGCTAAGCAGAAACAGATCCCTTGGAATACCCCTTCCAGCACCTGAGGAATCACATACAGGCTGCTGATTTTAACCCACCCAGCTGAAGCCCACGAACTCGTCTACCTTCATGAAGCCACTTACACTTTTGTCACTGCAGAGGCTGACAGAAGATCTAGTGCTCTCAAGATTTCCTACAGCAGTCATTCAGACAGGAATTAAGTCTTTTCCCTTTAGTGTGTTTAGGAAAAGCTCACGTGGAGCAGCGGAACTACAAACTAAGGAGGAAGCATTGCAGGCAAAACTTTTAAAAAACGAGTAGCAAGAAATAGTCCTCTGTGATTTTAAACAAAGGAAGGGGAACACAGTGGAGGTTTGGGAAAGAGTCCACAAATAAATTTCATCAATAAAAAAAAAAAATATCAAACAATCACACTTCTAAATAAAATATGGAATCACCTGGGACAACCTCTAAAGAGAGTACAAGGCACCTAGAGCTTCTCTTGATCTCCCTGTATTGCCACTTGGGAAGTACAAAGCCATGAGCCAAGGCCAGAAAGGGTCACAAGCAAGGAGGAAAGGCTCTTGCTGCTCACTCTCCCAGACATTTCACACCTCAGCAAAAGCCCCCGATACCTAATGCTGAGCCCTGGGCAGCCCTCACTGCAGGTGGCTGCCCCACCAGCCCCACACTTTGTGGCCACTGGGCAGGCCAGGGAGTGCCAGGTAGGCCTCCCAGCACAGCTCGTGCCCTTGCACCACCTCCCCGAACTGTGCTGCATGGGTGGGACAGACCCACCGTCCTGGCTTCCCCCTCCCACAGGACACCTCAGACACCACCAGCCCCCCTTTGCCTCCATGTCACCCGAGCCCACGCTCCAGGCCAGCCTGGGGGGCCACCAGCACCCTGAGCTTGCCCTGTGCCCACTGCCCTCCCCTCTCCCAGCTCAGGGACCCTCCCGGTGCCCACCGCCCTCCCCTCTCCCAGCTCAGGGACCCTCCCGGTGCCCACCGCCCTCCCCTCTCCCAGCTCAGGGACCCTCCCGGTGCCCACTGCCCTCTCCTCTCCCAGCTCCGGGACCCTCCCGGTGCCCACTGCCCTCACCTCTCCCAGCTCAGGGACGCCACCGCCCTCACCCCTCCCGCCTCGCCGCCCCCAGCACGCGCCGCCCTCGCGCCTCTCCCGCCTCGTGCTGCAACAGCCCTTCAACAGCTCGGTCGAGCCCGCCCTGCCCGTCAAGGCAGTCCCGAGCTCCCATTGGCTGCCGCAGCCCCAGCTGTCCTGCCATTGGCTGCCGGGCAGCACAAGGCCCGCCCCGCTGTCACGCCCGCGTCCCGCCCGTCCTGCCCCGAGGGCAGCGCGGGGCCCACCCTGTCCTTGTCCCTGTCCCTGTCCCTATCACTGTCCGTGTCCCTGTCCCTGCCCCAGCACTGCCCAGCGCACCCCTCCTGCCCCCAACACCTCCCTGTTGGGACAGCAGCACTGTGGGTTCAGCTCCCTGCCGCTTTCCCTCCCTCACCTCTCCACCACCTCACCTGCCCAAGGCCCCGCTGGAAGCTGCCGGGATCTCAGGGAGTGGGGACATTGCTACCTTGGCGAGGCCAAGATGTTTGGGGGAAAGCTGTGAAGTGTCTTGCCATCATGAATAGTTCACACAAACGAAAAGCCTTTTGTTTCTTTAGAGGGGAAAAACGTGATGCACCGTCGAATTAAAAACTGCAGCTACAGACAGTGATGGAATAATTCCTATTCCAGTGTTCATGACAGAGAGCAGCTCCCCAAAATTCTGATGTACAACCTTGGATCCTCCTGGGCTCACAGACACACAGCTGGCACCAAGCTGGAGGCTGGCTGACAACACAGTGGGACAAACACTGCACCAAAGCACTTACTTGCAAGATGCGCAGCTTTACATGGATCCATCCTATGTGATGGGTCTTTCCCCACAGCATTTCACCTCCTTGAGACAAATGAGTAACTGATTGTTTCAGCTTCTATTTAACATTTTTGCTCCTCCTAGAAGTCCCTTGCCCTCCACCATGAGGACTTCTATTGACAGCCTGGCCACATACCCGTTCCACATTCAGAGATAAGAGGGCTACACTGAACCCAAGTTTTAGGTTGTTGGGGCCGGTTGTTTGGATTTTTTTTCATCTTTCAGACTTTGAGCCAAGTTTGTGATGGAGGCATTTGACTCATCGTTTCTAACATTTTAGTCTCCCAACAGTAACGCACGTTAATCTTGGACTCGTTCTGGCAGTAAACGTAACGTGACTCCTCGGGGCTACTGAGCCTTGCGACCGTTCCAGCAACCATCAAAGGGGAGCTGGAGTTCTGGGAAAAACACCGACTGGCAGCATTTCGCCCCGCACGTCCTCCTGCCAGTGGCGGGAGCCCGACAGCTTCATCCACAAGGCCAGGGAACGGCCGGGGTCAGAGGCCACCTGAGTCAGCCATATCCAGCAAGCGCTTTGCTAAACCTCTTCCTGTGAGTCCCTTAACACCTTCTGTTCAGTGTTGCTGGCTATGGAAGGCGAGGGCACCGCTCCACACCTGATCTCTGCACGGGTTAGGCTTCAACAACGATTTCTCAACTGTTTCCCAATTGTCTGCCTGCCCTGTGGGTCATCACACCTCCCACCTAGGCTGCTGCACATACTTTCTGCCAGCCGTTATACATACAAGAGGCAGAAAGAAAACTCTCCAAGAGAGCCTCCACAGGCCTTAGAGAGCATGATGTACTCACACAGGCATCCTGCTGAATGCACTGCAGGATGTGCTTGGCTGGAATCAGGAAGTCTATGAGGTAGCGCAGTCCATCCCCACGGTACGTCTTCTCCACCACATCAAAAACTTGGCACAGAACAGTGGCTGCGGTAGCCTCAAACGGAGGGTAGAGTGTTGATAACGTGCTCTGAATGCAGCCGTCCAGCGACTCCGAGTCCTGCCGAGAGACAAAGCGTTAGTGGTACCACGGCACGATCCGCGCCGGCGCCCCGACGAGCCCTCCGCCCAGGAGAGCAGCCATCTCCAAACGCAGGAGGAGCGGAGATCAAAGGAGCAAAGCGCTGTCCTTTCCAGCTCCTCTTGGCACCAGGGATTCCAGGTAAACACTGGAAAGCTCTCCCAAAACGGGAGTGGAGTGCTCGCAGAGTGTGCTGTGCACAGCAGCGAGAATTCCCAGCTTTTGCTTACGCAGCAAGTCCTTCTCCTGCCTGCGCGGGGTGGGGCGGCTGTTAGACCACACCGCGGCACGTGAGCGCGTGCGGGCGAGCCAGTCATGGGGTGGGCGCATCGGCGGGACCCGAGTCCTGGGTACCCGGGGCTGGAGATGCTGCCCAGCACTTGGGTACGTTACATCCCAGAGTTACAGCTCCCCAGTGGGCTGAGCGGAGCTGCAGGGACAACAGGTTGGGCTGAAGCTCCTGAGCCTGCCGCGCTCTGGAGTCCCAGCACAGGGTGAGTTCGGAGCGCTTGGTCCCGAGGAAAGCCGCTCACCAGTGAGATTCCTCATTATCCAAAGCTGTTTGCCTCTCATGAAAGGCTCCACTCCAGGAGCCAGGAATGTTCTGCACTGAGAGATGCCTCCCAACAGGATTCACAGACTGCACGTGAACAGTGGTCCCTGAGCACACACATCAATACGTGGGATGCCCATTTCCAGCTCATAGATCAGAGGCAATGGCTTCCCTGAATGCACCTTCATTTGGAAGAACCTGCCAGCCAGAGCCTGCCCACGGTGTCAGGACCAATTCCAGTGCCAGAGGCCAAAATCTGAGTTATTGCATGGGTGTAAATCAAGAGGGCTTGCCAAAAAGTAACAATAAAAAAAATAAAGCTGTACATATCTGGAGAGAGGATCAGGATCCCTCCTTTGCTTTCTATTTCAGAGGGGATCCCTTGGGCTAACTTACAGCCAGTGGGAGTAAGTTTTGCTACAAAACCAAATGAAAGTTTACTCAGGTGTCTGGCCAGGTCTTCATCTGATCTAAATCCACCTCCTTTCACTAGAGACAAGAAAAGCATTTCAGCCACTTGGCCCTACAGCCTCCTGCAGAACAGGAACAGCTGCATGGACATGCCTGAAAACATACCTCAGTCCCACAGCAAGATGGGGAGAGAAAGTTAAACAAAGCAGTGCCACAACAGCTTACACCACCACCGGGGAGCAGTAGGGCGAGGGGATCAGGAGGAAACAAAACTGGTTTGCTTCTTCCACTCCACGGCAGCACAGGTTCATCGCTCCAGATACCTCCACTGGCCTGAGAAAATGCAACAGTCTCAGAGAAAGCCTGAACCGACCTGCAGCCCGAGCAGAGATGATGCTCCTCACACGAGCCTTCCCACCTCTCACAGCTCAACAATCTCCAAGTTCTTCCTTTAGAGGGTTGGATGTTTTAAGCTTAATATAAACTCCCTGCTCTGTTGTAGGACAGCCTGTGGGACTGCACAGGAGAGGTGGGGACACCCAGGAGATGCCTCCACAATTCCTGCCTGCACCGAGCTGGCAGAACACGTGTGACAGGCAAACCACACGCTGCCTGTGGCACAGCACTGCTTCCTTACCTCTTCTGCTGTTTCTCCTGGTGGCAGCAACAAGCAAGGCTAGATGGCAGCAGGCTCCTAAAGTGTTCACACCTTTTCTGAGAAACCAGCTGCCTCCTGCAGTACTCCTCAAGGCCAATGCAACCAGATGAACAGAGGTTAAGGAGCTATTTTTCATATTCACAGAATCACAGATTGTCCTTAGTTGGAATTCTTAACCCAATATTCTTAACCCAAGGACTCCAAAAGCAGGAGCCCTACATGCACACTTCCAAACACTGAGTGCTAGGGTGAGCATTTAACCCCAATCCTAAATGGGAGGAGAAGGCTGTTTTAGACAAGTTTCTTCCCACTCAGAAAAATAATAACCTCTGTTGACATCAACCTGTCCCAGCAAGTGCCTTTGGCCTTGTCAGACAAAACTAGCCTTCACACAGGTGCTCTCCCACCCAGCACCAGCTGCCTGCTTGGGCACTATCACAGTAGCACTGCTGCTGGTAGCATTTGACAACAATCTCTCTCTGACCCTCCACAGCCCACAGGTTTCAAAGTACCTCCCAAAACCAGCTGGGGTTGGTTCTGTGCCATCCTCTGTCCCCATGCCCTGCTTGAGCAAAATTCTTTCAGATATCAATCCCTCCCCAAAAGACATTTGTTAAGTTTACTATTGCAAATAAAACAAAGAAGTCAAAATATTTGCACATGAGTCAGTGCATCGCTCTAAGGTTCTCACACCATTCCTGCTGCCTTAGCAAAGCCTTCACAAAACAATTATTAACACTGGCACCGGATCAAAAATCTTTTATATGGTTAAAATAAACCAGGTCATACATTATCCTTCCTTTAGTAAAATACAGAATAACCATAGCCTGTAGCCATTGCAGAGTGCAGTGCTAACAGTGCACTCCAAAGCACAGAGGCTTTATCTCCCTCTGGCTAGACTATACCATGAAGCCATGAGAGCTGTGCAGGCTTCCAAGGGATAGAGAGAAGGCTTCAACCCCTACCATTTGATAGAAAGAAATGTTTGCCCCAGTCTGCTAATTCCACATCAAAAGCCCCAAACAGGGAGTAAATTCCCACATCCCACCACGCTGCATGTGATTGCAGCACCAGCATCCCTGGGCAGCTGCAGAACAAGGATGGATGCAGCCTCCATGTGCAACAGGCAATTGTGGAGGTGACACCACTTTTCAGTGCTCCCACCCACCCAGGGTGGTCACCAGGGTTATGTCCTGCTAGTGTAGAGGGTGCAACATGGCAATGCCTCAGAAGTCACCTTGAAAACACAGAGGGTGGAACACGGCAGAGTTTGGAGCCTGCAACAGCAGCAGATTCACCTCTAATCAGGGACTCATTAACCCAACTCACAATCCAAGGGATGGAATTGCTTATTTGTATTAATTAACTTCTCAGATTGCAGAGGGGCCAGAGGAAAGGGCCTCAGCAGGGGCTGTAAGAGGCTGTTGAATGCCAGAGCACAGCTGGGCAGCCTCACACATCCAGCCTGCAGGCAGGGCCTGCTGCCACACACATGGAAAAGACGTGGTTTGGAGGCACAGGGAACTCATGCAAAGAAGAGAAGGGGATAGTCCCCTGCAGTCCAGAGGCTGATAAACCTGAAGTCCAGAGCCCGTCCTACCTACAAACCACATCGGAGAACTGTAGAATGTGTAAGGTTGGAAGGCACCACTGGAGGTCATCTAGTCCAACCTCTCTGCTCCAGCAGGGTCCCCTAGACCATATTAGGGGTCCCCCAGACCACTGAAGGGTTTCCTAGAGCACGTTAGGGTCTCCCAGAGCATGTTACTCCAGCTGGCTTTTGAGTATCTCCAAAGAATGAGACTCCACAATCTCTCTGGGCAACCTATTCCAGAGTTTCCATCACTTAGCTCAAGCAGGCAACGCAACCTCCAGCAGGCATGAGGAGAAACCTCCATGACCCGGGATGAGTGGACAGCACCTGGAGAGGAGGAGAGCAAGCTAACCCAGCAAGGATCCAAGGGGAGAGAACTCCTACCCCAGGACACTTCCACTTCAGCCAGCCCACAGTGGCCCCCAGAGCTGGCAGAGCCCAGCACAGGAGCCTCCTGCAGAAAAGCAGCCTCCTTCAGGGACTGGAAACTTCTAGCTTCCCTGCCTCCAACACTGTTGCCACATCCCTTTCACAGAAAAGGTCCTGGACACTTATTCCTTTTCAGCCACTTGGCACAAACACTAGCCAGGGCGCTTTCCAAGCAAGCCAGAGAGCATCTCCCCAAGCAAAAGATGTCTTGGAACTCAAATGCTTCTTTGTCAATAGCACAGGAGGACCTGTGAACTCCAGCTCACTGCCACCACTCCACCACACCTCCCAAAAGAGAAACATGCTTTTAAAATAACTCCTCTATAAATCAAGGCGCTAAATAAAGCCCAGGTTAAGGTCATGTCCGGCCAAACCGGCTTTCACTGCTGCTCAGCTGGGAGCCACTGCAGGGGCTGGAGCACAGCGAGGCAAGAGGAAAGCAGCACGTGGGGATGGGATGGGCTCTGTGGGCTGAGCCCTGTGACAGGAACAACCCAGCGTGGTCCCACCCGGGGGGAAGGGGAGCAGGGAGAACCCAGGAGGACTTCATAGCTGGCAGAGGGCTTAGGTCTGAACAGGGCCAGCAATGAGTGGGGTGGGTGGGCTGCCCTCCCTCCCCTGCATATCATCAGAGCCACAGATGCTGTGAAACAAATAAAGCAATAAAGTTGTGGCAAAGCTCTGCTGCTCAGCCCTAAGAGCCCTTCTCCATCACAAACTGCAGCAATACCAGGAGTCAAGCAGAAATGAGGTTACCAGTGCCTGGGCAGAAGCCCCAGGCCCAGACTAACAAGCAGGCAGCAGGAAGAGCAGACCAGGACCTGTTACAAACCTGCTCAGGAGACACATCTACCTTTCCTCATTCAAGCAGCTGCTGCAGGATGTGAGACGAGCCTATCAGGAGGCATCTGGAGTAATCAGGAGCTTCTTGGGCTTTTCTAGGTGCACAGATTGAATTTTCTGCCTACCTTTGTGGGCATGGAGAGAACGACATAGCAGCTCCAGCCACTGGGAACTCCTGTCATGCTACATTTCTTTCTGACTCAGGACTCAACTTTTTCCTCTTTGGGACCTGCTGCTCACCAATTAAGTCTGAACTCTGGAGAACCTCCTACAAGTTTGGAGAACAAGAAGTCAGAGAGATCATCCCCAGGGCTACACACACACACTTTGCACAGCCTCAGAATACTTTGTGCTCTTCAAGCAAGAGACAGCAACCCAAATGGCTCAGGATAATGCAAGTCGGTGCAGGGAAGGGCTGCAATGCTACTGGACCCATCTGGGCCCAAGAAGCCTTGGCAGCATTTTCCCTACAACTCACCCAAGCACTTCGCTAATTTTGCCTAGAAAATGCTGAGTCTTCCCTGCTGACAGCCCCGATGCTGTGTGTAGATTCCTAAAAAACATTGTCATGGTGAGACCAGACTAACTGTTTGACTAACCCATGACTTATGGAGGACAACACTCCTTTCCAGCAGGCTGGTCTGGCCCATGTAACACACCGAGGATTCATCCCGCAGCAGGAATTTAAGCTAAAGAACCTGCAGCTCTGCTCTCAGAAACCTAGACCCCAATCCGAGCTGCCCAAGAATGAGAACTACATGTCCCAGAGTGCCCTGGCTAAATGCAGAGCTTGGCAGAGCAGGGAGCATGGCTGGGCAGTGGAGCAGAGCCCAGCAAGGCTGCGAGCACAGCGAGAACACCCAGCTCTGAGTCACCGAGTGCCTCGGCTCCCGCTCAGCAGGGAGGCCGTGCCAGGAGCTCCCACAACTTTGCCCTCCTTCTGCTGGCTGCCCGGAGCTTGGCCACGTCCTGCACGCACCCACTGTCTCCCCTCTTGCCCAGGTACCAACAGACAGTGTGAAGGCAGGAGAGAAAAGACCAGAGTCCGCAAAGGTGAGGGGAAGAGATGACCCAGGCCTCCCACGCCCCAGACTGCAAAGTAGAAATAACAGCAAAACTGGGAAGAGGCAGAGCTCCAAGCAGCACAACACAGAGCCTGCCCATGGCCCCCAGCCAGCTTTGGGACTGGGGGAAAAGGAGCTCACAGCAGGCGCTGAGCAGGGCCGGGTTAGCTGGTCCCTCCGCCAGCAAAGGCTGCCGTGCTGCGCCGCTTGGCTGGGGCTGCTCAGCTCTCAGCTGACGTGAGAAACCTCATTTCCAGTAAAAACAGACCTCTGGGCTTTCCATGAAGCCTTTCCACTTTCTGACACAAAGCTGAAAGCCAGGCCGCTTTGCCTTTAAAAACGAGACGTTTCTCTGTTCAAAAAGGTCTTTGGCTAAAAGCAAGGCTTGTTTTTCTGACAAAATTTGAGATTTCCCACACCGTTGCTGCAGGGAGGAGAACCCTCCCAGCCCCATTTCCTGAGCCCTTCTAATCACAGCGGCAATGAGTTCAAGAGAGAAAAATCTTCCCAGAGCAAGTGCCAGCTCCCCCCTCTGCTGCTTGCTCTGAGGCTCACGGGGAGGCTGAGAGGAGGGCGCCTGCCTTCAGTACCCTGCCTGCCTCTGGACAAAATAATGCACTCTTAAGTGGTGCAGTTGTAGAGGTAGGCATTCCCACTCCTGTACTTACAGCACCTTCCTGTGAGATAACCAGGAAAGGCTCTACCTGCTCTTTGGCCTGTTGTTTTAGGCTTTTCAGGGAAAAAAGCAAAGCGCCCAGTTCCACTTGGGAGGCAAGTGTTTGCAGCCTCACCCAGGCCAGCTTTGCTCAAGGGCTGTACCTCCAAAAGCAAGCTGCCTTCTGCATGCCACCATGGCATCCCTGGCAGAGGGCACGGCTGTAGCCTGGCTCGGCTCCCCTGCCGCTGGGGCAGGCAGGACGGCTCCGCAGCCTGTGGATAAACCAGCTCCTACAGCCTTGCAGGGAGTGGTGCTCAGCAGACAGAGCTGGGAGAATCATTTCCAGATGCCTCCCTCTGTTCTCCCAGCCCTTCTCCGTGTTGACGCGGCTGCGGCAGCCAAAGCAGCTCCTACTGGGCAGCACACGGGATTATCATTCCAGGCACTGCAGGAAAACAAGCGCTTGGAAGCGATTAACTCATGATCTCTCATTTAATTAAACAAAGGGAAAAATGATGTATTTGCTTTTCAGCTCCGAGGTCCCTCTTCTGCGCATGCTGTAGGTCTGGGCTTGCGCAGCCGGTGAAAGGCAGGCCCAGAGCTGGGCGACCTCCCTGCCAGCCCAGGCTTGGTTTGTTTTCACTCAAGGGGGACATCCCAGATTGCTCTGGAAGTGAAGCATGACCTCCTGCGAGCTTCGAGCTTTGGAGCTGGTGCACAGCTACCCCTGTGCTGTCCTTATGCTGGAGCAAAAGGCAGGGAATAGCAGACGGCAGGGGCAGCCTGGTCCAGGTACATCCCTGGCTCTGTGCCGTGCTGCAGGTGGCCTAACACAGACTTTATCATATGGCAACATGACCTGAGTCACCTGAGCCTGCCCTCCAGCCCAAGACCCCTGTTTATGTGGGCCTAATACAGCACCTTCCTCCTTACTCACCTTACTCCTCTCTACCCTTTCCTTTAGGTTTTTGTACTCCAGCTTCTCTGGAGCAGACCCTGTGTACTTTCTCCTTTGTCTGTGCAACACCCAGAACATCAGAAAAGCTGCTGACAACTCCTGAACAGATTAAAGAGGCCAAAGTGGGGATGACCAACAATCCAAGAAAGTTTAGCCAGAGAAGGGCAGATCTGGGAAATGGAGATAAGCCTTTCCTCACGGGGATGTGTCCCGCTCACAAATGAGCTCTCAATGGACTGAGCAGGAGGTAGGTCTTATCCAGACCAACAAATGAGCCTGCTGCCAAAGACTTGTTACTTTCTATTAGCAATAGATCAAGCATATGATATAGGTGTTTAAAGGGCAGCTGAGAGAACGGATCAAAGCCCTGTCCTTAAAGAGACACCTTCCAGCTGAAATGAGGGCCCAGAAGATAAGAGCTGTGCATAAAACACCATCCTACAGCTGGACACCAGCTTATTTTGGTTTAGTTTAATCAAGGGATTAAGTCCTTAATCTGAAATAACTGTCTAAGCATGGGTTTTTTCAAAATATCACTGGCATAGATCTAACCATGCAATTAATTAACAAAGTGGTACTCTGCGTGATGCAAAGCTTCAGGTACTTTAGAACACCCTTCCCAGCAACAGACTGAAAGAGCATGAGCACGTGGCAGCCGTGGTTTCACTGCCCTCATGTGCCCACCTCCCTGAGACCCCCCAGAGTTCTCCTCTTCACTCCTGCTGCCAGACTGCAGGGGCTGCCCTGGCATGGGCACCGACAGTCTGGCCATGGCACCATACGCCACGGTCCAGCCAGGGACCTCCACATTCAAAGTGTCATGTTCCTACAACAGGCTCGGACAAAGCTTGCTAAATCCTGTTAGGTATCACAGATAGAGCCAAGAATTTCCCAGGCCACTTCTGTACAAGACATTGCAGCAGACTCCCTTTCTTTACAGAGCTCTTCTTGCAAATGCACCTTTCTCTCTGCTACCCAACAAAAGAAACTGCTTGAGCTCATTCATCTTATTATTAGCGACAGCATTTGCTCTGCTCTCAACTTCAGGCATTGGCAAACCAACCCGAGCAGTAGCCTAATGTGTACCAAGTGACAGGGCACTCCAGGCAGATGAAAGATTTGCTTATACCAGCCAGCCATAAAATACCCTGTGTCAGTTCTTCACCAAACAGGTCAGCTCATTTTAACACCTTTTAGTCAGAGGCATTAGGCCATAGCCTACCCCTTGTGTTCAGACACCCATCTGGGGGCATCTTACAACAGATGGGCAGCCGCCTGTGCTCAAAAAAAAAAATGATAATCCTTCAGCAGACCAGCTGACGAGTGCCAAAAACGATCTCCATGGGGTCACTATTTAGATTATTAGTTCTGTGCCAGCGTTGCACACGTTCTGGGCTCACGTTCACATCTCACTCCTTTCTTTGGAAGGTGCATGAGCTGCTGGACAGACTCCCATGGATTCTCCACATCTTGTCATCTTCATAATCGACGGTGGATGCCATGGAGAAACGATCCTCTTTTAGTTAAAGAGCTCCCAGACTGAATGTGGGAGCTAGGTAACAGTCTATCCCTTAACAGATGAGCTGTAGTTCCTTTTGGCCTTAAACACACTGCATTACCATGAGCTAACAAAATACAAGTCCTGCTATGTCAGAGGGGAACAGAAACTGCTCTGGAGCTGCAATTCCAGGAGGGGCCAGCAAGAGAAGACAGTCAGTGCAGAAGAACCTTCCTTGGAGGAGAACATCCCTGCACACCTCTGATATGAGAAAGGAGCCGGCAGCAGCAACTAGATGCCACATCTGAGGAAGAAGCTGTAAGGAAGGATGAGCCAGAAGGACAGAGCAGGCAGCCCAGAGATGTCCATGGCTATGCCAGTTCAGTCATGGGCCACCCCAAGAAGCATCAGTCTGTGCCCTGCAGGGAGAAGTGCTGGTTAGAGGGACCCAGATTTACTCCAAGACTCTCCAAGCTCACTGGGTACAGAAACACATGTGCTCAAGCTCTCCTGCCCCTGAGCAGCCAAGCCTGGGGCAGAGTTAGATGAAACCATTTCCCCTATATTTGGATACAGCACTAAATGCATGCCTCCTGGAAAGCTAAGTAAATCAGTCAGAAATTCATTGCTTTTACTAAACTCCTGAGTTAGAAAGGGGTGAACACAGGCTTTTAAAGCTACTCCCTTTATAGCTTTTTTTTCCCCAAACAGAAAACAGTCTCACGTGTCCCATTATTTCCATACATATCAAAGGAGGGTGGAGATTTAACTAGCAATTTCTAAAAGATCTTTGTGCACAGAAGGGATGTATGCCAAAACGTGGGTGGTTATAAGCCCAAACACAAAGGAGAATACATCCACAGGCATTTTTCCCCTTGATCCATTAACGGGTCTGCATACCAGCCTCCTGAGCGTATGAGAGGGACCTTGTTCAAAAGGTAAATGTATTCAGCAAGATGACAACAGACAGCAAACAACCCACATCCTTTAACCATGTTGGAGGCTCAGCAGCGCCGGGTTTTTGTTGGGAGGCACTGAGATCTGACAGGCAGCCTCGGGGAAGGGATCCTCCTGAAGGAACCTGCTCAGGAAGCCTCTGCCACGCCCAAGGCAGGCTGCAAAGCTCAAGGCGGACACCTAGCTCAGGTCACCAGAACTCCAGCAGCTTTCCTCCTCTGCACCACACAAACCACCCTGGGGCCACAGCACCACGTCCCACTGGGGGTGATCAGAAGGCCCCATGGAGGCTCCCCTCTACCACATCCACCAGTGTCCAGGAGGAGCACGTGGGAGTCCTCACCTGGTCCCCACTTCTTTTCAGTTGAGCCATTTGATCCTGTTCAAAAAAATGTCTGGTTGCACCAGCTGGAGCAAGGGTTCATCCAGGGCTTCCCAGCCTGATGGCAGAATGGTAAATTTGAGCAGACAGAAAGACTTTCAGATTCATTCTGTGCTGCTTTGATCTTGGAAGTTTCAGCTTGGTGTCCAATGATGCAAAAAATGGGATACGTACGAAACCAGCCAGGAGCACTTACCACAAGAAAGGCCCCATTTTTTTGTTAATTTTTTAATGAAAGACTAGGCCAGCCAACAGAGATGAGGCACTCGGTGTGGCAGAGAGGTATTAGCATGGTCAAACCTTCAGAGTCAATAAGGGCACATCCACTCACTTCTCTGAGCTGCAACCCAGGTACCAGGAGTGGTGCAGAAAGTACGGAGCATCCCATGGCCAGAGGTGAGCAGCTTACCCCAGCAGCCTCTCCTTGCTTTATACTGCTGTTCAGTCAGCAACACATCTGATCCTGGTGCTGCTACTCCCTTTTTCAGGCCTTGGATCCATTGAACTCTGCAGGACTGGAACAGGGGGTTCCCTCATGGGTAGGGAGCCAGGAATATGAACAAAAGGTGCTCTTATATGAGTGCCCACGGGTGGGTTCAGTTTATAGTTTCCACAGAAGACACCACTGTTTTAACAGAGATTTTTTTTCCAGCACTTGGGTGCTAAAAGGGCCTGTAGCCCCTGTGATGTGACTTCAACCCACATTCGGCACCAATGCTCAGGTTTAGGCTCACAGCCTGTAGGATGGTTCAGGTTTTGAACAGATCAGTTGCAGACAGGGTTATGTTTGAGATGAAACTAGAAAATGAGGCTCCACGAGCTGAGTGGCTGTGCCTGTGCTCTAGTATTTAGAGGCAGACATGCTGGCTGTCATGTCTGAAGTGACCAGTTGCAAGATGCTGACAAGGCTCTCACATTATGATCTCTTCTGCTAACAGGGTGTGCCCTCAGGCCAACTGCCCACGGGGGAAGATGGCAGCAGCATGGCCAGAGGGGGTTAAGCTACAGGATGCTGGTTTGCTGAAGATAAGTGCTGACACCCAGCACCTTGGATGCCTGCAGCACCTCACCATAAGCATTTGCTGTCTGGCATTCCCACGTGGTACTAGAACACATTTGGTGATTCCTGGGTGGAGATACCTGGATGCAGCTGGTCTGTCACCCACATTTAGCCATTATTTTTATTGCTACAATGAGCAGCATGTTCACCTGCCCAGTGCTTTTGGAAAGACTCTGGGTAAAATTCAAGTTGTCATCCCTGTTACCCCAGAGGAGGTGCTTTCAAACCGCTTCCATGTGCTCAGGATTATGTGTCTGGACTTTGTCTGCTTTCCAACATCTTACTCATGGCTTTGGCACAGAAATAAAGAAAGAAGATCCCCAATGCTTAAAGCTCTTTGTGATTCCCAGACTCATTTCCTCCCCACCCTGGGAGAAGACATAACCAGGGGATAAAAGAAAGACCCTATTTTCTGCTGAAACCCATCCTCTCTCCTGCCAGCATAGAGGTGCCACCTGAACTTCTCTGCAGGAAGCACCAAGGCGTGGTGAAGCCCATTCTCTCTCCCATTCCATACCAGGGAATGAGGGCAGATCCCCAGTCACAAAAGCCACGATGGGACGAGCAAGGTAGACAGAGCCCAGCCAGGCTCCTGCTTTGCTCACGCCATGGGGTTTCCACAGCTGCAAAAGTCACTTCTAGTGGAAGTGGACTACTTTGGCCCAAGGTACCTCACCCCATTTGGTGCTTCAGGCACCCCCCAGCTGCCACAACCCTGTGCACACACACCACAGCAGCCCTAACACTGAAGCCCCATGAAGAGGAGTCACCTGCCTCACGCAGAGCAGGGCAGCCAGCAGCTGTCCCTTGCCAGACTTCCATCAGGAGCCAAGCCTCCAAGTGTCCTGCAGGCTGCTGGAGGCAATGGGGAAGTCTCTTGCAAGCCAGCAGACTGACACACATTCACTGAGATCCATATTTTTTGCCTGCGGGGTTTGTTTGATTCACCAGGACATCAAAAACTCCAACAGAACAGCTTGGAGCTGCAGTCACAACTTGGTTGCTCACAGAAATGTGTCTCCCAAAATGCAGACTGGTCTACACAGCATTGAGAAGAAACATCTGCCATGGACCACAAGTGTCTGCAGCGTGGTCAGCACCCACTGCTGGGCCTGTGGCAGCTTGACCTCTGGTTCCTGCTCCTTCCAGCTGCACTGAGCACCTGAGAGGCACATGGTCCCTGCACACCCACAACCCACCATGTCACCTGGACTGGCTGTGGCACTGCTCTACACAAAGGACCCTGCTTCAGACAGCGTTTGCATCACACGTTAGGACAACGTGAAGGAGGACCTGAACTGGGGATGAAGCACTTGGGAATCAGAAAGTCACCTCCAGCTTGCAGGAGCAGAGTAGCAGCAGCTGGTCTCTGCCTCAGGCCTCCCAGAGCAGAGTTTCACAAGTGCTGCTCCAGCCCTTATGGCAAAATACAGCCCATGGGACTGCAAGGGATGGCCTCCACCCTGCACAGCCCCAAACAGTGCTTTCCTTTGATTTCAACTTCACACACTAACCAGCATAGACCAAAAATTGCCAGGAACACACAAGGCGTGGGGGGAGGGAAATAAGTCTCCTGATTGGGATGGAGAAGTGGAAGAAGTGAGATGCCTGCAGGCCTCCATAGCAGGATGGGAGAAGAGAGCACACCACAGCTCTGACACTGGCATGTGAGGGTACAGAGCACCACAGAATCCTCTGCAGAGTAGCTGGAGGGTGGCAAAGGGAAAAGACATGAGTCTAAGGTTATCTCAGGTTGCACAAGCTAGAAGTTGGTCAACTCATCCTTCAAGGAAAGCCAAACTTCTCTAGGCTCAGAAGTTGAACTTTTAGGAAAGAGCAAGTCACTGCCAGGCACAGCAGCAATGCAAGCTGCTTGTGCCCCTCACGGACTTTGTTCCCTCTGCTGTGGGGAAGCAGCCCATGACACAGCAGGTCACCTCCAGGACATCCAGGGCTGCAGGGCACACGGATCCCAACCTGAGCCCAGGAGCAAACCATCATCAGAAGCCAGGTTGGTGCTCAGTGGGATCTCACCACAGGGCCAGCAATCCCTCCAACCTCTGCCAGCTCAGGGCTGGGCACCTCTGCAGGGCAGCACCAGCGTGGCTGGGCAGGGGACAGCCCTGCAGCCACTCCCAGGGAGACCGAGTACTCTGCTGCCTGCTGGGCTCACCAGCCTCACCCCTCCCCAAACAAGGATCTCCACGTGCAGAACTTGGCACTGGAAGGGAAGAGTCCCTGCCCGGCTGCAGGGATTCTCTGATCCCCCAGATGCCCATCCTGGGCAGGAGAAGCCGATGCTCTCCTCTTCTCCAGGGCTCTGCAATGGGGCAGTGCCCACAGCCCCAGAGCAGGACCGGCAAAGAGCGAGGGCAGGAGACGAGCCCAGCATCCAGGCAGCCCGAAAGACAGGGCCCTGCCTGACCTGCCCCATCCCAGCTCCTCGCTCCAGCGCTGCACCCTGACAGGCAGGCACCTCGCAGGGGGTCAGTGCCAGCAAGAGCTCCGTGTCCCTGCTGCCACCGTTCGGGACTGGCATCAAGGGGAACCACCCGAGTAACGGGAAGCCCCAGAGGAGCCGTTTCCCGCTCCTGGCATTAGCGCCGTGCCCTGGCTCCAGGGAGGCTGCCCCGAGAGCAGCTCCATCCCGCACAGCCCTGCTCGTGCCAGGGCAAGAGCCCTTCGCAGAGATTTCCTTACCATGTTCCCGGCCTCCTTTATTGCCCCTCACTTCCAGAGACGGCGTTTTTTCTCTTTTTCCTCCATGTGTGCGACGGGGCGTCTCCTCTCCCCTCCGACGTGAACCACCGAAGCACTTTGAGTTCTGGACTGTAATCCAAGCCCTCACCGCCCCCAGCACAGCTCCAACTAATCTAACTCATGACACTACCGGGGCTGAGCAGGGGACCTCGAAGGTTTCTCTGACAGCCAACTCCAGCGCTAGACGGCAGAGGGGCATGGCGAGAGCAGGGTGCCGCGTCCCCCAGCCCTGCGGGGACCTTGGGGACACGGGCAGAGCCAGAGGCGCTCCCGGGCTGCTCCTTACGGCATCGCTGATATCCACGGCCCTCGGGCCGCCGCACAGACCTGCTTAATGCAGGCGCGTCGTGGCAGAGAGCTGCCTTCGCCCGGGAAGATCTGAATAGCTGCGAGAGGAGAACAAGCCCACGGCAGGCATCCCGAGAAGGTCTCCAGCTTCCCAAAGAGGTTTCCAGCAAAATACTCCCGCCCCCCCCCCCTACCCCCGCCGCCTCCTCTTGGCTTGTTTTTCTCTAAGTCCGGAGAAGTTTCTCCACTCCGCGAGATCCTGAGGCAGCGCTGCAGGTTAAGCAAAATGACGAGGAACACGGAGAGAGCGCTCTGAAATACTGTTTTTCTAACTTCTAGAAGGAAAACAGAGAGCAGTGACCGCTTCAGGCAACAGCAACAAACTGCATTGGGATCGGGAGCGAGATGTGGAGACCTCACCCCCTCCCAAAGGAGGAAGTAATTTAACACGGCAAGTTTCTCCACCCCTCCATTAATTGTTTAAGATGGCCAGGGGCCAAAAGCAGTGCCCGAGCACAAGGGAAGGTCACCAAACAGGCAGGCAGCAGCCTACAGAAGTGACAACGGGAAAGGGCAGAGCCACAGAGGCGGAGAGAGAGGAGAGAGGCAGGTGCCGCGGGGCATCCCAGGATCTGCTGACAAACAAAGGCTTTGTGTAACGGGAAGCAGGGCGGGAAGTGACACACAGGCAGAACCTTGGAGCCCTGGGCACGAGGTGCAGGGCCTGGGACCAAAAACTGCTTCCCCAGACCAAGCAGTGCATGGTTTTGGCAGCCTCAGGGGGGACTGACCCTCTATCGAGGAATCCACTGTAGTGGTACTTGGCTGTCTCCACTTCTGGGAGGGGTTACACAAACCAATCCATCCTAAGAGAAAGGGTTACTCATATCTACAAAGGGAAGAACCTCCTGCATGGACAAGCTCAGCAGAGCAGCACAGAGTACCTGCCTGATGAAGCTGGAGCGACTGCTACCAACACCTCTGCTGCCTTGGCTCAGGGGGCAGATTCCCACAGCCTTCCCAAGCCCTGTCCCGCAGGGCCAGCAGCAGAGCCCACGCAGGCTGGTCCAGCTCAAGACCACCTTCAGATGCTCCGTTCTCAGGGAGGACTGACAACACTTGGCCCTAAAATCTCCTTGCACATGATGGCCTCACGCCATGTTTCCAGACCTAACCAGCAACTGAGGGTCTGAGCAGCCCCAAAGCCAACCCCTTCGATCCACCAGCTGCTTGGTGTGCTGCTGCGTTTCCTGAGGGCAGCAAGGACAGTCCCTGCAGGGTTGCCGTTTGCCCTCCTTAAGGAAAAAGCAGTGCCCTCCTAAAAGGGGCTGTGACACTGGCAGTGCCCAGAGCTGAGCAGCTGCCTCACTGTCAGCACTTGGCCTGCAAACACCCTGTGCTTGCAGAGGCTCTCCTGTGGCCTAGAACAGCCAGTCACCTCCCCACATCGGCAGAGCACTCCCTCTGCAGGCAGTGCCCATGTCAGGTGACACCAACTGCAAATCCCAAACCGGGTGAAGGAGAGCATCCCTGCCACTGCAACAGGGGGTAACAACCCAGCACAGGCACCACCTAGTTGTTGTCATCTGTAACAACTCACTTGAGATCTTAGATCTTGTCTGTGGATGCAGGAGAGCCTTTCTTTCTCCGTCATAGTCATAGTAGGAGGATGAGGAACCTGCCTCCCAGAGCCTCTGACCACAGCTTTCACCGTCTGCACATTGGCACCATGGAAGTATATCCCATTTTCCATGACAACTGAAAGCTCTCCACAAGCTCCCAAGCCTACACCACTCAGGAGAATGCAGGAAGTCGGTGCTGTAGGTATACATTTATAGAGGCAGAGGGGGAAGGGGCTGTTGAACACAGGAGTGGCTTAGAGCCCAACCTCCCACCTCCTCCCATTCCTACACTGCACTCAACGCTCAGGAGCACCTTCCCCCATATGGATTTCCAGGCTGAGGAGCCCGAGTTCAGCTCACCCCCATCGCAGTCGGAGGCAGTGACGTGATTTCCTGTGCCGTGGCACCGCTCTAAGGGGAACATCTCACTGCTGTTTACTCGTGGCTGGATCCTAAGAGACTTTCTTTTTTTTTTTTTATTTATTGCAAAGTGGCCTTTCCCTCTTCTCCTGCATTGTAGATCCATTTCCCACACAAGCACATGGGGGACAGCTGTAGCCAGCACTCCAGTGGGTGTTAGAAAGCCCCTCTTGACTGAGGCTGACAACAATGCTGTGCTTGTTCCCCAGCACAGTCTCACACTGTCTCCTCGCCCTTGTGCGAGGCCTGTGCTTTCCTCAGGGTGGGTTTAATTGCTGAAGCCACTGCAAAAGACTGCTGTCATCCATGCTGGCAGAGATCTGGGTGCTCCAGCTTCCCATCCAGCAGACCCAGGTCTTTTGTATGGACTGGGGGGCAATTTTACACTTAGGGAACCTCTTTGGTACCCACCTTCAGCAGCTGCTGAGTATTGCTGAGCACAATCTGCCCCAGAGGTGAAATACAGCACAAGGCAGCAGACTGACATCAGGAGGGATGGGGAGCCAAACTTTGAAGGCTGTGGGGCCTCCCCAGAGTTGAAAGAGAAGGAGGTGGGAGAGGGGTCAGTACAAAAACTATTCTGAAAACTTCAGACCCTCATCTCTTTCCCCCCTTTTCTTGATCTGGTTTCTGGTGCTGCAGTATTTCTCAAGTGCCTGAAGAAGTACCACAATCCAGACCCCCACAAGAGCTGGGAGAGAGTGCAGACAGAGGTAGGAGGCAGAGAAAGGACCTCTGCCTTTGAGTCAACAATAGCAGAGCTCTGCTTATTTTCAGTTCTGCAAATCAGGAAATGCTTAATTCTTTCATGAATAGGATTCAGCTATGCTGGAAGAAACACAGGACAGATGTTTTAGATGCCAGATAAGGACATCTCCCGACCTAGGGGAAGTTGTGCAATATGCATGTTAGCAGGATGATTACACTACAGTGGCCAACAGCTCTTAGGAAAATACCACCATGAGCTCCACGTTAATTTAGCATGATCACTGGTGCAGTTCTCAGCACAGGGAACTTCCTACAGCCACAGAGACTTCCAAGGGAAAGGAGAGCCTGGGAGCAGGCTGTGGCAAAGCAGTACTCCAGGACCTACAGTTCCTGCTAACCCACTGATCAGTGGATGCCTGTGAATCTACTTCCAGGCATCTCATCACCAGACTGGGGTTCTCTGCCAGCTCCCATGTCCACAGACATGGCAATGCAGATATCCCATGGATTAAGCTGTACCTTGAAAGTACAGTTTCAAGGAAGGTACATTACAATCCCACCAAGATATCCACCATGAACCCTCATAGAATACCCCGACTTGGAAGGGACCCACAAGGATCACCAAATCCAACCCTATTCCCCTTCCAGTGGCAGCCTACAAAAGCATGGGAAGCCACCAAGAAGCAGCTCTGGACCCAAACACAAGCAGGTGCCTTAAAACCAGTGATAGGTTTTGCTCAAAACACGTTTTGTGAAAGAAAAGCAACAAGTGCTGCAGCAAGTAGAGCTGCAAGGAGCCCTTTGCACCAACAACGTTTCAGGAAAGAAATGGCTCTCTCCCCATTAGGGAGACAAGAGCCAGTTGTATGCAGTTTAATAACATTTAAACCTTTATTTCAGATCACAAGTAAAGCAGGTCTCGGCTTCACAAAAGCACATCTTGGTTTAACTAATTAATTTGATAATCCGCTATTTGCAATCCTCAGGAGACATTCAGCTTCTAAAGCAAGTAATTACCACTAAGTGGCAACCTCTTTGTGAGGCCCAGTCTGATTAGGGAAAAAAGTTTCTTAAGCCAGAAATATAATCACGGTGTGATTTCCCAGAAGGACTGGAGGAGAGACTACATAACAACAGCTGGTCACGCTCCCCATCTGAAGGAACAGGAGCAACTCAATTACTGGGTCTCCAGCTACAATTCAGGATGTTGTTCGGAGCCACGTGCAACCTCGGCGTGCAGTTAACCATCAGGAGACTTTACAGGAAGTGTTTTACAGGGATAGAAGTGAGGAAGGTCCCACTTGGGGGTCTCAAATACCCAGGTGTGCCACAAGGGAAGGGGGCTGGGGGGAAATAAAAATTAAAAAAAAAAAATAATAATTCACGCATCAGACCCGCTGCAGCACATGTTGAGGGAGGTGATTCTCCCCCTCTGGCCTCACGAGACCCCACCTGGAGTACTGCACCCAGGTCTGGGGTCCTCAGCACAGGAATGACATGGACCTGTTAGAGCAGAACCGGAGGAGGCCACAGAGATGATCCAAGGGCTGGAGCACCTCTGCTATGGAGGTAGGCTGAGAGAGTTGGGACTGTTCAGCCTGAAGCAGAGAAGGCTTTGGGGAGACCTTGGAGCAGCCTAAAGGAGGCTTACAGAAAAAGAGAGAGAAAGCTTTTATGCAGGCAGAGAGTGGTAGGACAAGGGGGTGTGGTTTTAAACTAAAAGAGGAGAGGTTTAGGTTAGATGCTAGAAAGAAATTCTTTACTCAGAGGGTGGTGAGGCACTGACACAGACTACCCAGAGAAACTGTGGATGCTCCATCCCTGAAAGCATTCAAGGCCAGGTTGGATGGGGCTTGGAGCAATCTGATCTAGTCAGTGGCATACCTGCCCTTGGCAGGGGTTGGAACTTTGAGGTCCCTTCTAGTCCAAACCATTCTGTGATTCTGTGTGCAAACTCAGAGTGTGCAGTCCCACAGGGAAGCAATCCAAGCAGGGGAATGCCAGCCTCAGAGTCTCTCTGCCCAGATATTAAGGCACACTTTGATGACACACAGTACCCTCCCAGACAAGCCAGCTGGACTCCATACATGCAGAGCACTTGCTAGTTAGACTAGCCCCAGGCATCCCCAAGTGCCTGGGGCCTTGGCTCAGCAACAGCCCAGCTCTGGCATCAATCACTGCCAGAGCCCACAGGACAGAGTCCTGCTTCTGCACACACCCAGGACACCCATCTCAGGGTGAGCAGTTTTGGGCTCCTTTAACTTTGTGCTGGGGGGGGACACAGGTGCCCCCAGGCCTTGTGAAGAGGCCTCTCCAGAGACTTCTCCTTGAAGTCATGAACACAGCCAGCAAGGGTAGGAGTAGGGCTTGGATGGAAACCAGGGCTCCTACCCCAATCAGGCACCCTCCCAGTAGGCAGGTTTTCTCTATGGCATCCACACCCCAAGGTGTTTCCCCTCTGCAGTGGACTCCACTCTTGGGTGCTGGGTCCCAGCATCCCGGTGCTCTGAGCATTTGGCAGCTGCACTGGTTGGCAGGACATGACCATACTGGAGAGAGGATCCCTACCCCCCCAGGAGCCTGGAATAGAGACCTGTAGGACACAGAGCCAGGCAGAGGCACACCTCTGTGGATGTGGGCCCAGTCAAGAGAGCTTAAGTGCTTTAAGAGAAGCTGCTTGTCTGTCTTCGTGGAGTTTAGGCACTGCCAGCCTTTGCTGAGAACAAAATGCTCTTGGCTTGGAAATCCAGCTCTGCTTTCAGACCTGCTGCTTCAAAACTCACCACTGTCTCACCACTCAAAGAAAAGATCAGCTTTCTCTGAAGAGCAGCCTAAAACTGACCTGTCTCTCTCCGGATCCCACGTATTTAATGGCACAAGACAGTCATCTGTTTACCTTCCCTGCTGGCAGTGATGTTGCATGCTATTTAGTCCCCACAGCACATGTTTACTCTCTGAGACAGCACGCTCAGCTCCGAGCTAGACGTGCCAGCAGGCACCCACACCCTTCCTGCCCCAGCCCCTGTCCCACGGACATGGGAGACACGGAGCACAGGGTCACACACTACTGCAAATGCCATCCTCAGTCACAGCTGCCAGGGCCTGCTCCCCTCTCCAGGTCTGCTTGACAGAACAAGGGCTGTGATAACAGACACCCCCCTCCATGGCTCCACACCACCAGGAGCCCCCCCAGCTTCTGTCCCTGCTCTGTGCCCAGCTCACACCTCAGCAACCAGCACTCACCAAGAGAAGAAGGTATGTCCCTTGGAGGTGCCACTAAGCACCAGACAAGGGTTGGGACACACTTCTGAGCTGGAGACCCATCCCTTCTCTTTCCAAAACCAACCTAAATCCAGCTATGCCCTTCTAGGAGGGAGGGCTGACTGCTCTAACCAGGGGAGTGGGGACCACCCCTCTGACCACTGGCTGCAGTCCCTGCCCCACAGTTTGCAGAGCCAGGGCTGGCACCCAGGTCCTACCTGGAGTGACAGTCAGGGACTCTGATCCAGGAGCTCTGAGCCCCAGAACTGCTATTCCCCCTGGGTGCATGTTCTGCCAAGCCCCCATCCAGGCCCCCCCCCCCAGTCCCTCACAAACCCCAGACTTACAGCCAGCACTTGCAGAGCCTGTGCCCAGCAGATCCCAGCTGATCCTGCAAACCATTCTCCCATGGCAGTCTCTCCAGAGAGAAGGAAAGCTCTCACCTGCCTGCACTTAGCTACTCCAGACCAAGCAGGCAGAGGAGCAGCTGGGTTAGCTCAGCACTCCCTGGGGCAGAGCCATAGCCCCAAGGTGCAGCTCCAGCTGCAGCCAGTGCCTTATAGAGCCACGTGGGCGGTCCCTGGCACCAGCTCTCATGGTGCCTGTCACAGCTGGGCTGTGTTGCCCACTGAACTCTAGCAGTCCCACTGTGGGTCCGCCAGGTGCTTCTCATACTACCCTTAATCCGTCTGGTATTTCCAACAGGGGAATGGCAGCCTGCTCAGAGCAGAGTGGCAGTGTCCTCTGGTACCAGAGAGACCTGTTTTGTCCCACTCCAGCCTTGCCCAGCTTGTAGCAAAGGGGAAAGATCTCAGTCCTCCATCTCTGTCTCAACAGAGCAGCTCCACAAGGCTCCAGGCTGTTCAAGTCACTCTGCCACAGACAAACAGCAGTTTGGAGTCAGGGTCTTCTCCCCAGGGGAGTCCGGAGCCAACTCTGCTGTCTGCAGACCCAGAGCACAGGAGGTGATGGGAAGGCTCCTCAGATGCCACTGAGAAGGGCTGGTTTGACAGGGATAGGAGCAGTCTTCCATGGAACATCCATAGCTGGCAATTAGAGGAGTGCACCCCAGGGAATGCCTACAGCAAGGATGCCAAGCAGGAACACAGAGCAGATGGTACACAGGGCACAGTGGGTTCCCGGAGGAGGTGGTGTGATGTGGTTGGCAGCTCCTACACTACGGAACCTTCATTCCCAGTATGGGCTGGAAGGAGAGGACCCTGCACCGGGAAGGAGCACATGACGTGGTGCCAGCTGGGGTGGGCACCTCCCCTCCACGGCACCAGGGCTGGAGAGCACAGGCAGGAAACGGTGTGATTCAGTGCCATCAGCAGTAATAACAGTGTGTCTCCTGAAGGACATGAGCAGCTTCCCCTTCAGACAGGCAGGGCGGAGGTCTCCTGCCTCCTGTCATCCTCTCACTTGCCTTTCCTCCATCACCGCTGCCACTGTGATGATCCCTCCTTACAGAAGGATCTCTGCTCCCAAATTGAGTCAGGGTAAAGTAACGACAGAGCAGCCATGGGGGGACCGGGAGGCTTAGACCCCTCTAGGATTCATACAGAACTGTTAGATGGGGGCCATGAGCCTCCAGAGGCTTCCTTCCTACCACAGATCCATACACGTAAAAGTGTGTGTTCTCTGCTGCTTTTTTCTTCTTTATAGAATCACAGGACGTTAAAGGGGTTGGTTGGAATGGACCTTACAGATCCCCTAGTGCCAAACCCTGTGCCATGGGCAGGGACACCTCCCACTAGACCAGGTGGCTCAAAGCTTTATCCAACCTGGCTTTGAACAGTGGCAGGGCTGGGGCATCCACAACCTCCCCAGGCAACCTGTGCCAGTGTCTTCCCACCCTCTCAGTAAAAAAAAAAAAAAAAAAAAAAAAAAAAAAAAAAGCTTTGGTTTTGGGATCATATTTTGCAGCCCCTGCCTGGTGGGCCAGATGAAGGTGTCTGAGGAAGAGCACAAGCCGTGGGTCCAGCAGGCAGCTGCCTGCACATCGTAGACCGCGCTGCACACCAAAGGAGAGCAGAAACCACCACATATTTAATGCTGCTTTCCCTTAAGATCGCCGTTTAATGGGGTGGCGGGGCTTTCGCACCCCACGCCTCGCCCAGGGCCTGCCCGAGGGGCGCGGCCGCCATCTTGGCGGGCGGGCCGGGGCGAGGTCGCGGCGCGGGGCGACACCTGCTGGGCAGTGCGGGCGCTCCCGCCGCTCCCGGTGCCGAGCTCCGTGAGGGAGCAGCGCCGGGCTCCAGCCCCGCCGAGCCCTCACCTCCTCCGACCCCCGCTACACCCCTGCCCCTCGATGCCCACCGGCCTGGGGGCGCTTTGGTTGCCCTTGGTTAAGCGACACCCCCCATGCGGAGCTGGGTTTCACAGAATCACAGAATAGACCAGGTTGGAAAAGACCTCCGAGATCATCAAGTCCAACCCCTAATCCAACCCTGCCGTGGTTACCAGACCATGGCACTGATGCCACATCCAGTCTCATACACCTCCAGGGACGGTGACTCCACTCCCTCCCTGGGCAGCCCCTTCCACTGTCTGAGTACTCTCTCTGTAAACATTTTTTCCTAATATCCAACCTAGACCTCCCCTGGCACAGCTTAACACCGAGCCCTCTTGTCCTACTGCTGATTCCTGGGAGAAGAGACCGACGCCCACCTGGCTCCCCCCTCCTGTCAGGGAGTTGCAGAGAGTGTGGAGGTCTCCCCTGAGCCTCCTCCTCTCCAGGCTGAGCCTCCCCAGCTCCCTCAGCCTCTCCTCACAGCACTTGTGCTCCAGTCCCTTCCCCAGCCTCGCTGCCCTTCTCTGGACCTGCTCCAGCCCCTCCATGTCCTTCCTGAGCTGAGGGCCCAGAGCTGGACTCAGCACTCCAGGGGTGGCCTCGCCAGTGCTGAGCCCAGGGGCAGAATCCCTTCCCTGGTCCTGCTGCCACACTGTTCCCGATCCAGGCCAGGATCCATTGGCCCTCTTGGCCACCTGGGCACACTGCTGGCTCATACTCAGCTTCCTGTCAATCCCAACTCCCAGGTCCCTTTCTGTCAGGTTTGTAGACAAATCCGAGCACACCAAGGTATCTGCCTGACTTTTTACCCTCTTGGTTGTGCTCCTTCACTCTGTAATTTCCTGTTTGCTTCTAAAGTTATTTTTACTAAGTGTGGGGGGGAAAATAAAAATCAAGCGTTTATAACAGTGCTGTCTGTTCTCTAGCAGGATAAAGAGAAGATCGGAGTGAGCCTGGCAGGGGTCACGGATTAACTCCCTGGCAGCAGCCTGTCCCACTGCTCGCTCCACAGCTCTTCCGTCCCGGCATGCGTGGGTCGTGCTCCTTCACTGCCTTCTCCTCCCTGCCAGCCGCACACCATGACATGGGAAAACATAATACTTATTGACCTTCATAGTTGGGTTTTGTTTGGTTGGTTTTTTTCATTGTCCTGGGGTACCTTTCTGAAGCTTTTGTCAGCTTTTCCGTAAGTAGAAGAGGGTAGGGATGTCTACTGTAAGTATGTGTATCTACATGCACATATGTGGTAGACAAGAGGATATCCTGGCTCTGGAAGATGGGGCTTTCCAAGAGAGCAGGCAGGATCCAAGCGTCCAGGAGAAATCTGGAGGGGGTGACCCTTGCACAAGTGATGCTCACGTGGTCCCAGCACCATGAGGAGGGCTCTCGGGGCACCTCTGAGCCCACAGTTCATCCAGCTCCCTGTAAGAGTCTCAAAGCCCCAAAACTGCCGGGGAGCCACACACAGCGAGGCCCCGGGTGTGTTCACAGCCAGAAGCTGACTTCCCCCCAGCCAGCCAAGGAGCCAAAGCAAAGCTTTAACTGGCTCTCCAACAGCGTGGGCTTAGCTGGGCTCCAAGAGGCAAAGCTTGTGAGCCAGCAGGGATTGCCCCGCATGGCTGCAAGAGAGGAGAGCACAGATACAGCAGAGCTGCTGCAGAGTCTGGGCTGTGCTGGTACCCCACGGCCTTTCCAAGCCCTTCTTCATGGACTTCCCACAAGCTTAGGGTGACCTGTGGTCTGATGTAGACCGGACCAACTGGGCTGGTGGCCACCTCCCCAGAGTGCCCTCAGCACCCTCCCTCCCTCTCCAACTAACCCACCGTAGGTTTCATTTACCTTCAGGACGGCCTGGCTGTGTGGCCACAGATGGCAGGAAAAGATGAGGTGAGAGGAGCCCAGGTGGCTTCTTCAGGGATCTTTGCCTTCCTGGTGGCTGTGAGGAACAGCTCTGGCTGGCTGCAGGGGTGATCACAACTCTTGAATCTGCAGTGCTCGTAAAATCAAAGCCCCCACCACGTTGCCATCCATCCTGGCTGTTCTGCTGGAGTCCCCGGGAGCAGCTGCTTGGTCACACAGTCCTCCAGGGATTCCCCCAGTTTACTCTTCCACGGGAAATCAGGGAAGTCTGAACCACGAAGGGAGGGAGGTGTGGATCACCCCACCCAGCTCCTGCTGACCCGAAGACCTCACTGATCTCGTCTGTCCTCAGCTAGTCCACAGTGCAGCCTGTTCCCCAGCACAGCCAGGGTGTGGGGGAAGCCTCCTGGCCAGCCCTGCAGCCCGGCGGGTGGCACAGCCGCTGGAGAGGGTCCCCAGCGGTGCGGGGAGCCCGGGGACACTCAGTGCCGGCACACGTCGAGCAGAGCCGGGGGAGCCGAGGGGCTGGCTCCGCACACGCCCGAGGGGTGCAGCGCGGAGCACAAAGGCTCTCCCATCCTGGCCGCGCTGCCCTGGAACGCAGCATGGGAACCACTGCCCAGCGCAAATCTGTTCCTCATTATCCTCCCCGGCTGCCAACTGATCCCAGCTCCGTCACCAGCCGCTCGCTGCACAGCCCCGGCCAGCTCGCATCCCGTCAGGAGGGCAACTTCTGCACGGCTTCGCCAGCCCGTGCAGCGGGGCAGACCCGCGCCAGGGCTGGCATCCCCCCTCCAGAGGTAGTACTGGAATGGAAACGAATTGTTCGCTCCACCAACAGGCAGAGAAGGGTTCCACTGAAAGCAGGGACGGCTGCTTCACGTGCAAGGAGCAGGAAGGCAAATGCAGGAGAATTCAGAAGAGGTATTAGTCTGATCATGTCCAGTGAGATGGATGCCTGCATACATGGACAGGAGCAGGAAGGACCAAGGAACAGACTGATGTGTCTGCAAAATATGTATACCAAATATATATATATATACACATACATTTATATGTATGTAAGTCAGAGGAAAGCAGCTTTAGGAAGACAAGGCAGAGGGGAGCTACCTACAAGGGGACACACAGAAACCCAGCTCTTCTCAGACACACACATGGAAGAACAAGAGGCAATAGGAAGATCCTGCCCTAGGGGAAATGTTTGCTGGGCATAAGGAGAAATTCATTCTGTGCAAGACCTGTGCAGCCATGGTGTGGCTCTGGGACACGGACAGTTGACACCTTCAATGGGAACGTTCCAAATCCAGTGGGACAGTGCTCTGAGCTACCTGCTCTAGCTTTATCATCAGCCCTGCATGGAGCTGGGGTTGGACTGGAGCCCTCCCAAGCCCCTTCCAGCCTAAAATTTATGTGATGCTCCAACTTGCATTGTGCAACAGCAAGGTGGTGATTTTAAGACTCACTTGGAAAGCACTCAGCACCAATCCATTGCCCACAGCTCTTCCATCCAACTGATGCCAGAGCTGCCTTACGTCCCCTGCTGACTTCACAAGTTTTGGTACCACAGAGAAAGTGGAGGAGCTGAGTATTGGAGAAAGTAAATCCCTGTGGAAAAAATGTGCAGGTTTAATGGCAGGCTTTAAATAGAAGCCTGCGTGCAAAATGACGGGTCTGTGATAGTCAGCTCTGGGATGGGGTTTACTTACAGTAACAGTCAGAAGATTGGATGTTCTGGGTTACAGTGACAAGCAGCTCCTCTGGTTGTGCCTTACTCTGTCCCGGAGAAGCAGAGGTTTGGGCACATGTGTTCGTGGTTTGGCCCGTTCCTTGTGTTTTTCCACTGAAGCACTTTAGTATTTTTAGGCTGAGACTGCTCTGTGCTGTGCTAGAAGGATCAGAGCAGTCCTGTGCAGGCAGGACGCTGCAAAGTGAAATACAGAGCGTGGAGTACAAGAATAAAACCTGACAAAACCCTGTGGGGAAGGGTGTAGTAGGAGCCACCACCCCTGCTCACAACAGGAGGTGGGGTCGAGGGTGGGAAGAAGGGGGTCCAAGCTGCTGCCTGGTGCCCTGTAAAGCCTGCACACACATTGGCTTCTAGGCTCAGATATCCGTGGGAGACAGCTCAGATATCCATATCCATCAGCATTTCCCAAAGCTGAGGTGTCTACTTTCCCTCCTCTGAGGAACCCAAAGGCTGCAGACCCACCACTTCCAGGAAACAACCTGGTGCACTGCCAAAGTAATCGTGTCTGCAGGAGATGCTGGCACTGAGGCCCAGCACACAGAGCACAGCTCAGCCAGCACTGCCGTCGGTGGGATGCAAGGCAGGTGGGGAATGTCAGGAGGAGCAAGAGCTTCCACAGGGGCCAGCACAAAGCTCCCAGGGCTAGGAGCTGTATTCGACCCTGCTAAAAAGGACCTGGGGGTGATGGTAGATACCAGGTTCAATACAAGCCAAACATTCACCTTGTGAATCAAGTAAACCACACTTACTCTCCTTCAGGTAAAGCGGAACCAGGACATCAAGGGAAGAGCAAAACCAGCACACTCCGATGCAGGGAGGCTCCTGTGATCCAGAATACCCTGAAACAGACCCCTTTGAAGCACATTTTTGGCAAGGAGAGAGGTGGCAGGGCCATGGGAAGAGGTGGGCTCCCAGCACCCTGCTGCTGTGCCGCAGCCACGGCTCGGGGCACAAGGGCTGGCTGCTCCCTCTGCACGGCCTGATGATGGCTGCAGGCAAGCACCTCTCTGGAAAGAATTTCACATTTTCCACAAACATTACGGAAACCAGGAAATCCATTTAGGCACATCAGGGCTGGGGGGGTGGGGCTGGGGCCTCAAGTGGAAAAGAATGGAAAGGCACGGGAGACACAGTGGAGGAGACTAGAACCAGGATGGGCAGAGGTTCCCAGACAGCAGAGAGACCAGACTGCAATGTCTGCTCCAACTCGTTTATTGAACATTACAAAATACTCTGCATATATTTTCACATTATAACAATATTCTTGCAAATAAGATATTAAGTCTTGAGTCATTTGTGGTGCCCGTGGCTACAGAAAACACTGACCCAGCTAGAGATTTAGTATGGCCCAATATCAGAAATCAAAACCAGAATAAGTCATACCTGAAATGCAAAACTATATAAAAACCTTTTAAAAACCTTATGCTCATCTGGTGGGACTGCCAAAGGGTTTCTGCCGAGCCCTGTCAGCAGTGGCAGGGGTCCCACCAGCTCACTTGCCCCACATTGGGCTCACCCACCCAATGCATCCGAGTGTCCCCTTGGTACCTGCTCTCTCAGCACACCACAGAGCTGGAACAGGCAGCTTTTACCCACTTTGGGGCATTAATAGTCCAAGTCTCCACTTTTCCCTAAGAGGAGCATCCCCAACCCTCCTGCACTGCCAGTGCCCAGCCATTGTGCTCTTTTGTGTGCTGAGCAGTTCTTGGGGAGCAGTTCTTGATCCTTGGGGTCACACCAGGAATAATGCACTGCGTGGACCATTGCCACCAGGTCCCACCACCCTCTCAGGAGGGAGCAGGGGTGGCTGGGAGGCAGGTGGTGGGGACAGACTTTTGAAGGTGCACTCAGTTCACACCCATCACCCCTGTTCCTTATATACATTCATACCTGCTGCTGCCTCCACTCCTTGCACCATGGCCAGCCCTCCCAGATGATGGGCCCCAGGCAACTGGAGGGACTGGGACGTGGGCAGGATGAATGCCAAGGATGCTGTGCAGGGCAGCTGCCTCCTATCAAAGCCAGAAAGCTGAACACCACAGGTGTTGGGAACACATCCAGACAACAGGCGTGAGGCTGGCACAGCAGGTTGGCTGCCAGAGGAGTCCCTGTGCGTACAGGTTCACTAGTCCAGCTCCTGGTGGAGCCAAACCCCAGGAGCGCTGCTCCCAGTCCTGAGAAGGTCGTGGCCTTGCCTCTGTGGTGCCTCCACAACTGGAGGAACACAGAGTTGCCGTGGCAAGGAGCCCACCTCTGGGTGCCTGGCTGAGCTCCACGCACGCTGTGGGGAACCAGCACTGTGGCCACCTCGAAGTCAAAGGCTCAGTCACTGGGTGTGGATGGGCTCTCATGCACCGGCCACCACTCCCAGTCCTGTCCCCAGAGGTGTCCTACTCACAGCCAGGCTGAAGATCAGCTCATACTCCTACACCTGTGAGCAGCCACAGCCCATTAGCCAGCACCTCCACACCTCAGGCCAGCACAGCCACGACAGGATCGAGCCTGGTTGGGATCCCAGCCCTGGGAGGAACATCTCTATCCTCCTGGCTGCTGAGATGTGTAGGGACCAGAGAGGAAGAATAAGGTTTGGGGTCTGTGCCTCCCTGAGCGGACAGGGCTGGTACCTGCTGTCGCAGCACAAAGCCAAGTTATCGACCAGGTTTGCATCAGCAGGTGCATGAGCAAAACCTGCCCTGGAGTGCAGCTCCAGGAGTACTGGCTTCTCCTGCCACTCCTGGAGTTTATGGAGACACACACAAGCTTTACAACGCAAGACAGCGGAGCAGTCAGCAGGTCACAGCCTGTCTGCAGCCCCCAGCCCCTTCCCCATCCACAGGGTGCCTCAGAGGTGGCTCGCTCTGTGGAACATCAGCCGCCTGGGCTCCACGGTGGGTGGCATCCTGCCCTGCTCCTCTGTGGCCATCAAAGGCTGCAGCTCCTGCTGCTCAGGGCCGTCTGGGCTGCTGTCACTCTGCGACCGGCCACTCCTGGAGATGTGGCTGGGGAACTGGAAGCAGGAGCTCTGCTCTGGTGTCACGTGGCTTGCAGACTGGGGTCTGCCCTCCTCCAGCACAGGGCAGACGAATCTCCTGTGCTGAGGTCCGCTCTCAGTGCCTGGCGGGGAAGCGATGCTCTCCAGGGAGGAGATGCTTTGGTTCCAAGCCTTCTGCATATCCACTGGCACGATTTTGGTGGTCTCCGAGGAGACGTAAACAGCCAGATCAGCCTGGTCTCCTTTCCATGGCAGCTCCTTCTCTGCCAAGGTGGGCGATGGTGGGATGATGCAGGGGCTGGGGCAGACATCCAGGCTGCCTGTGGATGCAGAAAGAGGGACAGTGAGAAGGAGCTTGCACAGTTCTCAGTCTCTCCTTGGACCCTGCAAACATTGCAGAGCCACCCACTACCAAATGGCCATAGAATCTTAGAATATCCTGAGTTGGGAGGGGGAGTCCAACTCCTGGCCTTTTGCAGGACAACTCCAAGAATCACACCCTGTGCTGGCCCAGGGATGCAGGAAACACGAGGGAGGCTCTGCCATGCCTCCAGAGGACAGTGATTCTCCCATTCATGCTCTGCTGATTTTGGTTTTGCCTAGGCCAAGGCAAATTTGCTGCACAGGTGGAGGAAGGACAAGCTATCCAATGGCAGCTGCCCTGGGGTGGGGCCTCGGTGCCTACCAGGAGTTGTCTTTCCCTGCAAGACCTCGTCGGTGGCTCGAGCGATAAACACGATCCCTTCATCATCCTCTCTCTCCGTCTCCGAGCTATCGCTCTCCTCCTCCTCTGAGCTGACCATCACCAGGACAGGAGCTGCAGCCAGACAGAGGGAGTTGTTTTGGAGGATGGGGCACCCTGTGGGGGAAGGCCTGCATCCATGGGAGAAGGATTTGGTGCCAGTGCAACCCTGGGCGCTGTCATGCCACCGAGCTGGCAGTGGGCAGGCACAGCGGGTGCTCCCATCCCATCTCTCCAGGTCCCCCTGCCAGCCTCACCTGCCACTGGCCTCACCTGCCTCCTGCCAGGGGATGTTTCTCTGTGTCTTCCCATTGGGCGTCTCTTTGGTCAGAGAGATGTTCTTCTGTGAGGGAAGAGGGACTGGCTGGGATCGGCCCTGTGCAAACCCCAACAGGTGCCCCTGCAATCCAGGGTGGCCCTGGCCATGCAGATTCCCACCCTGGCTACATGGCAGTCAGTGGTTCCTAGTCTTTATGTTTGCATCCCCATGGCCCTACAACAAACTGCTCAGCTGCAATGGCTTCAAAAGCCTCCAAACGAGAGAAGACACCCAAGGCTCAATTTAAGGTGCAGTGTCACACTTCTGAGACTGGATCTGCACCAACATTCCGGATGCTTTATGCTGAGTGCTCTTGGAAAAAAAAACTGGCTTCTCCAGGGCTTAAGACCACTTTGCTCAGGGAAGAGCCACCCCACAGCAGTGCTGGTGTGGTGAGGACACAGGGACACGTGACACCTGCATGATCACACGCAGAACTGAGATGAGATGAGATGAGCTGCTTTCACTGCTGGCTGTGGAGCTGCCAGTGCCCTACAGCACCTCACCTACACCCCAAAGGACCTCTCTGACTGCACCCTGGGGGAAACCAAATCTCAGAGCTAGGAAAAGAGCAGGAATTTGGGGAGCGCTTGCCTTTTTCCTGCCCTTTTCCTTCAGCCTGGCCTTGCTCTTGGAGGAGCAGACATTGTGCTTTGTGGACTTGAAGGTCTCCAGACGCCTCTTCATGTTCTGCCGGAAGATTTCTTTATCTTGGCGCTCTTGTTTATCTGGAGAGATGAAGTGACGGCTGTAGCTGGCCTTGTACTGGCCGAGGGAGAGGCAAAGAGACACAGGGTGAGCAGCTGGCTCCGCAGAGCATCCTCCATCCCTGCTCCTCCTGCGGGCGCTGCTCCCCGCGGGCTCAGCCCGGCCCGGCAGTGCTCACCCGCCGGCGGGGCTTGTAGAGGCTCCCTCGCAGCACGTGGTGCATGGCAGCGTCCTCCTTGTCCCGGCGGCTCCGCACCGTGTCGATCACCTGCAGGTCCAGGCACGCGCCGCTCCCGCTCTCCCTCCTGCGGGCACATGGAAGTGGAGGGACTGGACTCGATGCCCGCACTGTGCCAGCCCCCTGCCAGCCCCGGCACAACCCACCCCCAGGGAAGAGGGTGGCTGTGAGGTCCAGCGAGGTCCGCCTGGGGGCTCGGAGGGATGCCCGTACTCACAGGAGGTTTGTGACCGACGACTCCGACATGGACGTGCGGCTGGGCATGGAGGGCAGCGCCAGCTTGGCAGCCGAGAGCACGTGGCCACCCTAGGAGGGGGAGGGCAAGGCTGGCATTGGGGCAGCAAGGACCCAGCTGGGCTGGGGGTTCCCCACTGCCTGGCCAGAGGGTTCACATATGACCATACGTGGGGGGGACCTCTCCTGTCAGGGCCATCCTGCCACCTGGCCCCCACCACGTGCCCTTACCTGATCAGCAAAGCTGATGGCATCACGGATGTTCAGCTTGTAGTAAACATCCCAGATCTCGTCCCGCAGCCTGTAGGCAGATTTCCGCATCAGGAGCTGGCTCAGGTACTTCTTGTCGAACTGTTCCCACCTGTCACGAGATGAAGACACAGGCGCTTCAGCTCCCACCGCGCAGCATGGCCAGAGACACCTGCCTGTGCAAGGATGAGTGTCCAAATCGTGGCAAAGGGAGGCTGGGCACACGGGACCTGGCTGAGCACAGGGACACACTGCCAGGGAAGGCAGGAGGGGAGGGGACAGGCTGACCCTTCATCCCTGCCCAAGGGCAAGCCAGAGACCAGCAGGTCTGTGGGAGGCAGTGGGAGTGGGACTGGGGCCGGTGTGGCAGCCCTGCTGGAGCACTTCCCCTCCAGGAAACAGGCTTTTTGCATCCTTTTCCTGTCGCCATGCTGCAGATAAACACTGCCCGGGCAGGAACAGGGCTGTTCCCTCCTCAGTGCCCAGCACAGCTCCATCCATGAGGAGGCACAGGGCCATTGCCACCCCCACAGACACCCCACGGCCCCCCAGCAGCTTCAGCCTTGACAATCAATCCCAGCTCCACACCATTCCCAACAGCACCTCCCTGACCTCTCTCTGGGATGCCTTTGGGACTTGGATCTGCTGCACAACAGCAGCCAGATGGTACCTATCCAGACTGATGGACAGACATACAGCCTTCCTGGTCCTGCTGCCCTGCCTACAGCAGGGGTGTCCTCCTGTGGGGACCCTGTGATATCCCCGTGGCGCACGTGTCCTTCACCCAGTGATGGCTGGCATTGGATCCTGGCTAAGACACTCACTTGTCCCGCCAGTAGTGGTAGCCGTGGTGCCCCACGATGTCCTCCACTGCTGCCAGGATGTGGTCAAAGGCCTTGAGTGAAGGGAGGAGGGTGAGAGTGGTGGCAAGGCTGGGGGTGCCCCGGGGATGCCGAGGCCATGCATGGCCCTCACCCAGCCCTGCCGGCGTGGGGAGCTGGGCAGCCTCTGGCACTTGCACCTACGTGCTCGTGCAGCTCCTCATTCAGCGTGGGCTTGTGGTGGTCACTGCGCTTCACCTTCAGCCACGTCACCAGGGGCTTGATGGTGAGGCCCTAGAATGGCAGGAGAAGGCAAGGGAAAGACTGGGAGGGCGAGAGGGTGCATGGCTGGGGCACGGGGAGCAGAAGCAGCATGAAGTGACCGGGGACAGTGGCTGTACCAGCCACGTGTGCCCCTACCAGCCCGACCCCCTGTGCCATGTCATAAGCTCCCAGCCCCCTTCCCCTCCTCCCTGTGACTCCCCTTGCTGCAGGAACCCCAGAGCCAAAGCCCATCAGCAGATTTGTAAAGAGAACAGCTTGGCCAGGCACACACCATCACTGCCCTTGGAGCCAGTCCCAGAACAAGAGGCCAGTGGGGAAAAAACATGGGCCATGCCTCCACCATCACAACAGTTGCCACAGTGGTCCTGCGCACCTGGTGATGGATGGGGTGCCAGAAGGCACCGAGGACCAAAGGTCACTTGAAAAGAGATGCTTTCCCCAAGCACATGTCCCCAGGCCAGCTCTGGGGCAAAAAAGCAGCACTGGAGGAGGGCACAGTGCCCATCCTCACCTGCACAATGACAGTGAAGAACACCACCACGATGGTTGTTGCCACAAAGTAGTCCTTGGCTTTCACCTTCTCCCTGTCCAGCAGGATGACCAGGGCGAAGGCCACAGCCCCACGAAGGCCACCATAGGACATGACCACCTGGTCGATCCTGTCCAGGGGGATGAGGCGGAAGCGGTTGAGCACGTGGGTCTGGAGGACAACACCTAGGGAAGAAGGAGAGCCTGGGATGCTGCAAGAACCCTGCCTGCACAAAATCCCAGCCAGGAGCCGTGGCTGGCCTTGTGCCCCAACCTTTTTTGGGGAGTACCCCTTTTTGGGGGTAAGGTGCCACCGGCCAGACACACAGCAGGGCAGACTGACCCACGGCTCTGAAGAGCAGGATAAAGAACAGGGTGCCCAGCACCAGTGCTGTGTCCCATGCCCACTTGGAGGTGTCCACAGCTGAGATGCCCAGAAACATGAAGATGATGGTCTCTGAACTGCTGGCCAGTGTCTTCATAGTGTATTTGACCGTGGTGCGGGATTTCTGGGAGATATTGGCTTCCACGTACTTCTTGCAGCAGATCCCACAGAAGGTGACTCTGCAGAGGGGCAGAAGGAGCTGGCATGGCCCTACGGCAGGATGAGGAGCGGGTCTGCTCGCTGCCTCTTGCTGCTCAGCACTGCAGCCCCAACCCCCTGGATCCCCTTGGGGGGCACCCCAGTACTCACGCCAGGATGGAGGAGAGCGAGACCATCTCGGCGGCGAGGTACGCGACGTAGGCCAGGAGGAAGACGAAGAGCGGCTCGATGATGCGCACGCGCTTGGTGAACCGCGTGATCAGGGCCAGGAGGAAGGCGAAGAGCAGCCCCACGGCCGTGCCCCCCAGGCTCACCAGGAAAAAGGAGGCTGTTGGGAGGAGAAGACTCATCTGCACCATAGGCAAGCGGGCCCGGCTCCTGTGGCCCACGGCCACACCACACCCGGCTGGCCTGTGTTCCCACCCGGGTCCCCACCAAGTATCTCATGGAGCATGGAATTTTGGATTTTGGGATCATCCCAAAGCACCCCCTGGAGCACTTCTGTTATGGAGACAGGCTGACAGAGTTGGATTGTTCAGCCTGGAGAAGAGAAGGCTCCAGGGAGATCTTAGAGTCTCTTCCAATATCTAAAGGGGCCACAGGAGAACCGGAGGACTTTTGACAAGGGCATGGAGTGACAGGACAAGGGGGAATGGCTTCAAACTGACAGAGGGCAGGATTAGATTGGATATCAGGAAGAAACTTTTCCCTGTGAGTGTAGGGAGGCCCTGGCACAGGTTTCCCAGAGAAGCTGTGGCTGCCCCATCCCTGGAAGTGTCCAAGGCCAGGTTGGACAGGGCTTGGGCAACCTGGGCTGGTGGGAGGTGTCCCTGCCCATGTCAGGGAGGTTGGAATGAAATGATCTTTAAGGTCCCTTCCAACCGAAACCATTCTGTGATTCTCTGCTGGTGACCATCATGTGTCCACTGGGATGGAGATGACAGACCTGGGTGCTCAGTGCCCACCCCACAGGACAGCAGCACCCATGCTTGCCCCTCTCCACTTCCACAATGGAGGAAGAGGCAGAGGGGCTGGTGTGGCAAATACTCACCTACCCCCTTCACGTAGTCTGTGGCGTGGATGTGCGCTGGGCCCAGCTCCACAAAAGAGTTGAAGACCTTGTACAGCACCTGCAAGCAAGGCAAATCCTTTGAGGAATGCAGGATATCCTGCCTTGAGAAGGGCAGGATGGACCCTGCGGAAGAGGCATCTCCTGCCCCAAACCTGCCAGTTGACACAGCTCATCTCAGCAGGCAAAGTCCCCCAGGGCCAGGAGAGAGGAAAGACCAAGAGAGCATGGCAGGGGTCTGCCCAGAGCTTGGGGATGTCACCTGCACCCTCTGACCTGGGAGAGTCCAGTACCCTGCATGGCACTGGGCTCCACATCGGGGTCCCCCAAACTGCAACTCACCACGGTGACAGCATCATTCAGGAGAGACTCGCCAAACACGATGATGAAGAGGGTCTCATTCACATGGACCTCTTCAAAGACAGCCAGCACTGCCACAGGGTCCACAGCTGAGATGAGGCTGCCGAAGAGCAGGAAATCCATCAGCCCAGCTTCGACACCCGGATCTGACAGGACAGAAGGACCCAGGTGAGGCAAACCATCTGCCCCTGAGCCCCTCTCACCAGGCCAAAATGAGCCTGTCCCTCAGCTGATCCCAGCTGCAGCATCTCAACTGGGAGTGCAGTGGGATGAACCCAGTGAGAGTATTCCCAGACCTCTGGGGTGCCCCCTGTAAAGTGGGGCTCAGCACATCCTTGCTGCAACAGGAGAGGAGCATGAGGGATGTCCCCCTTGGCACCCAGATGCATCTCTGCCCCTCTGGCAGGTACCACCAGAAGAGGGGTCCAGGCATCAAGCAGTTCCTCAGGTCTCAAGAGAGCTCAAAACACAGCCCAGGCCAGCCAGGGCCAGTGGCTCCAGCCAAGGACAGGGAGCACGGCGGCGAGCCAGCTACGCCAGCCAAGGTCAGCGACAAAAATAGCAAAGACATGAATCAGCCCAGTGCCAAGCAGGGCCCATTTGTCCTGCGAGCTTGACTGTCCTGACAGAGCACCATTCCCAGGATGCCAGGGCCCCGTTTGTGCTATGATTCCTAGGAATCCACAGCAGGGACAGGCTATGAAATCGGGGTGCTTTGCACCTCCAACCTGTTTTCTGTGGGTGTGGTCCAAGCTGGGCAGCCCTGCACACCCACCCATGAGCCCGGCCCGGTGCAGCCCCCAGAGCGCTGTGCCGGTGGCAAAGGAGTTCCAGAGCGTGCCCACCACCGCGTAGGTGAGGATGGCACCGATGTTGTCGAAGAACAGCCGGCTGGGCATGAAGTAGCCCGAGTCTAGGACGATGGGGGGCAGAAGGAAGAGGAAGAACATGTTGGGCTCCAGCTGGTACTCGGCTTTCTTGGCCACGGCCAACACGATGCCCCCCAGGACCAGCCCCAGCAGGATGAGGAGGCAGCTCTCCGGGACAATGGATGTCACCTTCCTCGACAGGTGGAAAACTAGAAAGAAAAGAAGAATGAGAGCATCAGCCAAACAGGCACATGGACAGAGCATCCCAAATCCAGAGGCTCCACGGAAGGGTTGGGTGATGCATGATGGATGAGGGAAGGACAAGGGAGCACCTAAGGAAAGGCTGCTTCCTGGCCATGTGTGCACAGAAGACCTTCCAGCTGCCTCCCAGGTCAGGATTGCAGGTCCCTGATGCTTTGGGATCTCCCTCTCCTCCTCAGCCACTGCCTAATAAGCCAGGCAGCCAGGCACTTTGCTTTTCCTGGCCGCTGGTATCTGCACTTACAGGATTAAAGCAGCCAGTGAGCACGTTCACAGTGTCACGAGCGCTGCTGGCTGCTGCTCGAGTGAAGAAATCCTGGTTCACCGGGACATGTTACCCCACTTGGAGACGAGGATGCTCAGCCCTGGTGACGGGGTGACCTTGTTTGCATCCGTCTCAGCAAGCAGCCAGAGCAGCCAGCAAACCACTGCAGCACAAGCCATGCCAGAGCACAACCTCCCTCAGCACCAGCTAACCTACCTGCATGCAAAAGCACGGGCACTCGGGAGCTGCAGCTTTAGAGATGCTTGGAATAATCATTTTATTCCGTGCGAGGTTGGGACCAAATCTTAAGCTACTGTGGAACAGGATGTATCCTGTGAAGCAAGCAGAGGATGCCCTGATATCCATCCATCCATCAGCAATATGGCAGTGAGCCTGCAGCTCAGGCACAAGCCAGCAGGATGCCAGCACAGGGGACTTGCTCCTCCAGGCACCCTTATCCCCAAGGCCAGGGTGTTCTGTGAAATCCTAAATCAGTCCAGCTTCCAGGCGGGCAATCCCCAGCCCTCTGGATTTCTCCTCCCTAGCACAGGGTGCTGTGTTTTTGCTGCCCCAAAAAGAGCACTGCTTGGGGAAAGGCTGTCGAGGGTCACAGCAGGTTTGCCCCCACACTGTTGAGTTCTGCCATCACTTGTGACATCCAGCCCAGCTCTGCAGCATGACTTGGCCATCAGAAGAAGAAATCTTCTCCTGGGGAGTGGGTTCCTCCAGGCACTTCCAGAGCTACCCCTGTCCTTGCACACTCAGCAGGTACAAGGGACGTCGGGGCAGGCTCTGAGCCACCACTTGGCTGCAAGCCCAGCCCTGCTGCCAACCCAAAACCCAGTCTCTAAAGCCCTTTAGCGGGATTAAAGGTGCCCATTCCTTGTGCCAAGTCATCCCTCCAGAGGAAAAGCTGTGTTGTGGTCATGCATCAACCCCAGGTCACTTGGCTGCTTCCTTCTTTTGGAAACCCCATGCACAGACCATAAGGTCTGCCTAGCCCAGGGTCCTGTCTCCAGTGACATAGACTTGGAGAGGAGCCCAGGAACAAGCAGTGCTTCATCAGTAGGTTTCCATGTTTCTCTATGCCCTTGTCATTCTCCTCTGAACCTGTCCCAGTGCTGCTCTATCCTTTCTGAGACAGGTCCCAGTGTCCCTGAGATGTTGACACCCCAGGAGCTGAGATCACAGCCTCCTGATGTTCTCCCTTTCTCCTTTCCTAACACCTCTTGGGTGGTTTGCTTTCCTTCACCACGGCTGAGCTCTGAATTAGAGGAGACAATTTAATGTCAAAGATCTGGTTCCCAACTAGAGACAACACCTTTGAGCCCACCACTCAATGTGCAGGCTAAGGGCCGCTTCTCCTCTCACTGAGGACCCCAAGAAGTTGCTCCTTGGCACAGTAAGCCCTATCCATGCCATCCTGGCAAGCCCTGGCACTGCTCCCCTGCCTTAACACACTGGAAACACTGCTGCAGTCAGCAAGGGCAGAGCAAGTGAGGGATGGTGTGACCTGCAGCTCCATCACCAACCACCTCCAGAGCAAAGAGCCTCTGCCATAACTCTGCCACTGAGCATCCCAGCCACAGAGCCTGGGACATCCCCCCTCAGCTCCAGCCACCTCCACTCACCGCCACAGGCTGCAACACAGCCCCCAAGGCCGTGGTGATACGGACACTGCAGCCCTCCAAGCAGACCCACAGCCTGGAGAAGGGCTGGCTGAGCTTCATCCAAGCCAAATTCCTGCTAAATGACCACACAAGCTGCTGCAGAGCCCCGTTCACCCCACACAAGCTGCCTTTGCCGGTGGATGAATGGTGCTCGCTCAGCGCCTGCAGCAGGCTCTGAAACCGCTTCCCGCCCACGGGAACAAAGCTCTGAAGTTTTCAAGAAGGGAACGAGGCGTCCAGCCCCTTTCTGCATGCTCAGGAACATTGCCAAGATCCCTGTTCCCTGCTTCAGCAACCCATCTGCATTCCCCATGCTGTGGGGGTATGTCCTGGCTGGCTGCAGAGACCCGCAGGGATGCTGTGGGGACAGGGGCCCTGGCTGTCATCCATCATGGAAGTGTTCAAGGCCAGGATGGACAGGGTTTTGAGCAAACAGGTCTAGTGGAAGGTGTCCCTGCCCGTGGTAGGGGGTTGGAACGAGATGAACTTTAAGGTCCCTTCCAACCCAAACCATTCTTAGTTCTATGATTACTCCCTGCAAGCCAAAAACTTGGGCAAAGAAAGGAGCAGCATCACTGGGAAAGACCCTGCTTGTCCAAAATCCCCTGGCTGATGAGGAAAGCTGCCAACCTCCCAAGCAAACGGCAGCACACGAGCTCCCCTGAGTCGTAGGGAGCTGCCAGTGGGGACGGGCAGAACGAGCTCTAATTTTACACACACTAGTCAAGGATTTCAGCATTAAAGGTTCCCACAGCAACAGTAACTTAGCCACATGTGAATTAACTTCAGAGCTATAATCCATACTCAGGCATCCATAATACAGGATTTGCCATTGAGAGGACTTGGGGCCAAAACCTGCTCTGCTCCTCCGGAGCTTGGGAAATGGCAAAACACCTAAACCAAGACAGGAGCAGCTGGGGACGGAGGTGATGGTGCGAGGAGAGAGGGTTGCAACCATGAGGATGCTGCTGAGTGGAAAAATATCTTGTCTGCTGGTGAACCCCTGCCCGTGGGAGAGCCATGGGTAAGGAGCACATCTGGGGCAATGCTCCTCACTTCTCTCTTCCCCACATCCTGTGCTCTGACCAAGGACTGAAAAGGCAGTAAGGCCCAGATGATGCCTCACTGTGCAGGAAGGCAACACCCAAGCCAGTTTTTCCCCGCCCCGGCTGTTTGCTGGCTCGGGGCACCCCAGCATCGTGACTGCCTCTGAGAACAGAGCCCACAGTGTCATTTCCCCATCACCCAGGCATGGGGCCACTTCCTCCCCTGCAATCACAGGGCTGTGAGCTGGCAGCCCAGCACCACAACCACAGCGGTTCCTCTGCGCCAGCCTATGCCCAGTGTCTGCGGCCACCACAGCTGGCACTGCCCTCTCCGCTCCCCAAAATCCTCCACCCTTGGTTCATCTCCTCTGTGGGCTCCTGTGCACCCTGGGGACCACACATGCCACCTCAGGGGACACCCATGCCCAGGCTCTGAGTATCCATCAGACCCATCGGATACGTTAAGCCAGACATCCCAAAGCTACCAATCATCAGGGTTGTGTCTCCCAGATGGAGAGGGAGAGTGACCATCAGCTTTCCTCAGGCCTGGAAGAGTGTGGCAGGTCTCGGGGCTTGGGAATGATCCCAGCTCAGGCCCTCTTGCACTCATTAGGGCAAAGTCCAGGGTGATTAGAGGAGCACATCAAGGGAAACCTGCACAGGGAGCAGCTCCAGGGAGACGTTCGAGAGAAGAAAATAAGAGCCAGGGAAGGGAATTGTCTCTCTGATCTTCTGCAGGTAGGAGGGACGCACTCAGCAGCTGGAGGTGGCACAGCTACAGCAGAGGGCTGTATTTTTAAGCTTACAACGCCCTTTAATTCATTCCTCGCGATGCTTCAGGACTCCCTTGCGAGAAGGCAAGGAAGGAGAGGACTGTGAGATCCACGATGATGCTTGGGACAGGCAGAGGCCAGCTGGTGGCCAGAGCTGTAGCTGTCCCCTGTCTACCGAGTGCTGCTGCAAGTCTCTGGCTGCTCGAAGACTCCCCTGCCTAACTCTGAACCCACCAGTTCCAAACTAAGAGGGTGCTCGCACCCCCACCACGGGGGCTGTGCCCTCGGCAGGGTCCCCGAGGAGGAAACCTGCCTCAAGGTCACAATCTCGTCCCCTGGGCTCAGCACTGCAGGCAGGGGCACTGCGGGGGAACAGCCCCTGGGGACCCTGTTTGGCACCCACGCGCGGGCGTCCCCTCCCCAGCGCCCCGGGTGCTGGTGGGGGAGCCCAGCCCTGCGCAGCTCACACACATCCTCCTTGCGCCTTCCCACACAGCCTCTGGCGGCGGAGCCTCCCCGGCTGCGTGGTCCTGTGCTGGGGAGCACGAGAGCCCGAGGCCACGCCGATCCCCAGTGACCCGCTGGAGGGGACTGCAGGCACGGACCCGTCCGCAGCCTGCTGGGGACACGTTCTGCCTGACACTGGCAGCACCAAGCCCTTACTGGAGCTGGGGCGGGGGGGGGGGAGGATCAATGGCTTCCAGACCTGCCAATGGCATGTGCCGTTCCAGCCTTTGGGAACGCGGGACATCCTTTGGGGCATCTCTTCCCTCCTCTGCGCCGACCCGCCCATCCATTGCAGGGAAAACAGCCTCTGGCCCCCACCTCGTCCTTCGGGTGGTACCTTCTCCCCGTCCCCGCGCATCACCCCGCGCAGGGCACGGAGGATGCGGCGCGGCGTGGGGCGGTCCCCGACCCCCGCGACCCCGCTGGGGGTGGTGACCAGCCGGCTTTGTCCCCATGACCCGTTACCCGGTGTGCCGTGACACGTCTCGTCCCGGATGCCTCCGGACCCGCCGGCGATGCCGCATATCCTCCCGCTTTCCCTGGGGGCTGAGCACGGGGGACCGGAGCGCGGAGAGACACGGGGACACTCACCGATCTTGGCCAGGCTGGCCACCAGGATCCAGGCGGCCACCAGGCAGGGCGCCTGCACCTCCTGCCACTGCCACCGCAGCAGCTCAGCTCCCGCCGGGGCGGCGGGGCCGGGGGAGGCCGCCGGGGGCTGCATGGCCCCGCCGCTCCCGCCGCTCCCCGCCGCTCCGCTCCGCCGCGGTCCCGGTCCCGGCCCCCGCCCGCGTCATGCGCACGTGGGGCCGCGCCGGGACGGCCCCCGCGCCACGGGCCCCGCCCCGACCGGGACCGGCCCGCCCCGCACCCCCGGTACTGTCCCGGGGCCTCCGTACTGCCCCGGACCCCCCCGGTCCTGCCCAGGCACCCCATCCCCCGGTACTGCCCCAGAGCTCAGCACCTCCCCCAGACCCCAACACCACCCCGCTCACCCCTTGTACCCCCGTCCATCCCAGCTCACCTGCACCCTCCTGGAGCCCCCCACCCCGCGCTAGTCCCCTTGGCCCATGCCAGCCCCCTGCCCCTGTCTCAGTCCTCCCTGCAACTGCCCCAGTGCCACCTGCATTATCCTGGTGCCCCCACACTGCCTCCTACCCCATGCCAATCCCCGGGCACCTGCCCAGTGCCCTTTGCATCACCTTGGTCTCCTGTGCCCTCCTCCAGTGTCCTTGCTCTGTCTGAATCCTCCCACGCTCGCTCACTGCACCCACCAAATTCCCACTCTCCCCACACACCTGATCCCACTCCCAATCAGCTCCTTCCCAGCTGAGACCACCCACCCCTGCCCCAGACACTGCCTGAGCACCAGCCTGGGAGCACCCAGGGGGGCACTCAAGATTCCCTCTTAGGAGTGGTAGGGCATGGGCACCTCTGGATGCTGAGTGCCCGGCTGAGCCCCCTGCCTGGGGGGAAACGAGCTGCAGGACACCTTCCTGGCAGCCTTGATGCCAGCACCTCTTCCCATCTGTCTGCTCAGGCACAAACGTGCTGCAAACGTTTGCCAACGGCTGGGGCATGGGGGCTGGAGCCTGGAGCAAGGGGAAAGCTCCCTGCCCACCACTCCATCACATCTGACCATCGTCACCGCTCTGTAAAAAAGAAAGTAAGATGGTTTTTGCACAAGCTTTGCCTTGTGGGATTGTGCAACTTGAGATCATTTTCCTTTGTGCTGTCTCTTGTTACCTGGGAGAAGAGCCCAACCCCCACCTTGCCACCTCCGTGAAACCTCCTTTCAGGGATTCCAGGCAGTCGTAGACTAATGCCGACTCCAAGAGCAATGACACCTTCTCATGTCCCCAGTCCCATCCCTGGTGCATCCATGTTTCCCTCCTGGGTCTCCCCAGGGGCCCTGGCTCTCTCCTTTGCATCCTCATTTCCAAGCCTGCCATAGCCTTGGCAATTAACACAACACCGTTAGCATTGATACTCGTTAGCACCCTCGTTAGCATCAACACTGTCCGTGGAGGCCCCGAGCTGCCCTGCTTCCAGGGCGGCACCACGGCACCCATGACTCCGGGCTGCTCATCCCGTGCCAGTTCCTCCCTGCCCCGGGATGGGGAGGTGCAGCCCAGGCACCCACCCGTGCTCCAGTTCACCCGGGGCAAGCAGCCCTACCTGGCCCTCCGGGGCAGCCCCGAGCTCCCAGAGCCTGGAGCATCCCGGGGGCTGAAGCATCCCTCAGCATGGAGCATCCCTGGTGCCGGAGCATCCCGGCGGAGCCCCGCAGACGCTGGAGCAACCCGAGGCCTGGAGCATCCCGTCGGGATGCCCGCGGGAGGGCGCGCCGAGCGCCGCTGGTGCTCCCGGGACGGGGCGGGCCCGAGGGGCCGGGCCGAGGGCCGTGCCCGCCCCGCTGTCCCCGGCAGCGGCGGCGCTCGGGGCCGCGGCGGCGGCGGGGCCGTGGCCATGGGGGAGCCGGCGGAGGCGGCGGAGGCGGCCGTGCCCTGCCGGGTGCAGTACCTGGAGGATGCGGATCCCTTCGGCTGCGGCAGCTTCCCGGAGCCCCGGCGAGCCCCGGTTTATGCCGTGGAGGAGGCGCTGGCCCTCGGGGCGCAGCTGCCCGCGCTGCATCGCCTGCTCGGGGCCCCGCTGCCGGTGAGGGGGAGCGGGGGGCGCTGGGGAAGGCACTGGGCAGGTATCGGACGGGGGACAGAGTGGGGATTGCCGGCCAGAGGGGGCCGGGGAGGCGAGGGATGGGGTGGTAAATCCCGGGCAGCAGTCCCGGTGTGAGTCACGGCGAGATGCCGGAGCCCCCGCGGGAGATGCCAGCTCTCGGCCTGCCCCGGATGAGTCGGCAAGGAGGAAGAGGTTGTGCTTGCTCAGAGCAGGCAGGAACCCAGGCAGGGGGAGGCAAGCGTCCAACCCCGTGTCGTCGGGGCAGAGCCGGGCAGCGTGCTCCCACCTCGGCATCCCACATCCACGCCGGCTGCCAGGAGCGGAGCTGAACCTCGACGGGAGCACACCGGCTCCCTAACCCCGGGGACCCGTCCAGTGTCCCCGCTCCCTGGGGCAGCTGGGCCTTGGGGAGGTGACAGTGGGGCCGGAGAGGCTCCTCGTCAGCCCCTCTGCAGCCCCTCGTCTCTCCCCGATCCGGCGGCAGCTTTGCCGCCAGAGAGCAGCGCGGAAATTCGTGCTGAGCAATTTCCTCCAGCCGGGAGGAAGGCAGAAGGACGAAGGTGAAGCGAGGCATTGTGTCTTGCTTGTGTGTCCTCAGGCCTGACTCAGGCTGGTAAAAGGGGACTGGGAAGTGGAGGAGACAGGGAAGACGGGGGACCTTCCCTGTTGGCGTGATGCATCCTTCACAGGATGAAGACAGGCTTGTTTTCCTCCTTAGGAACACGGGACCCAGCAGAGCTTTGGCAATGGCTGAGCATCTGTCTTGCAGCACTGCAGGAGTGCAGGGAAGGGAGGCAGGAATCCAGGCAGGAACCCAGACTGTCTGGGGGAGTGTGGATTCAGAGCAGAGATGGGACAGCAGGAGGGGGAAATCAGCTTGGTGTGCCTGGCACTGAGCTTGCTGGCCTGTCAGGGGAGAGTGGATCGCTGTGAGACCTTTGTCTGCAGCAAAAAAATTCCCCTTTATCCTTCTTTTAATTTTCCTTGGAGCAAAGCAGCAGCGTCTCATGTCGCCGTCATGGGATTTTAAGGCGATTTTTAGGCGGTGACTAAACGGAGTTTGTTTGGGAACAAACAGCCCTGGGACATGACGAATGGAGCAAACTCAAATTTCAGGCGTGTGCTCTGCTCCCCGGGCAGGAGTTGGCTGTAATGGGATCGGAGTGCTGCCATGGTGGCACGGGGAGGGGACTGGACGCAGAGTTCCCGAGGGCAGGAGCCTTCCAAGGAGGTCCTGAGCCCAGCAGAGGTGTGTTGATCCTGGGATTTCAGGTTCTGTTCTCTGCCTAAGCCAAGCTTTGGATGTTTTTTCCTGTGGTTTCCTTGCATCGCCCCATGACCCTTGGTGAAATCACAGGTGAGCTGGTAGGACCCTGTGCTGGGTTTCTAAACCAAATTCCTGACTTATATGGATTCTATAGGTTATAAACCATGCTGCCTTTACCACACAAAGCTTTCTGAGCCAGTGAGGGCTGCAGTAGACAAGCTGGGATGCTGGCTGGGGATTGCATGAGCCGATGTCTTCACTGGGAGCCTCCTGCAGCAGGATTTACACCCTGTGGAGTGAGGTCAGTCTCCTGAAGCACCCAGTTAAGTCCAAATTCAGAGCTGGAGCCATGCAGATGTCGTTACCCTGGCACAACCAGCTGAAACTTCCCCTGGTGCCCTTTGTGCCAGGTAGTGCTCAGCTCCATTAGTCGCCACCCTAAAATTAGTAAATGAACAGTTGGATTTTTCCCAAGGAACTGGCTGAAAAAAAATTCAGCTGGGGATGCCTGGTGCCAGGTTTGTCCTGCTGGGCAGTGTGCCTGGACCTGCAGAGCACCAGGAAGAGGGTGAGGCAGCTGGGAGGGAGCTGAGCTGGGGGTCCCCATATGTCATCATTGAATCCAGCTGCAGGCACCCAGGGGATGAGCTGCCATGGGGGAGCAGCTGGGTCCTTCCCTCCCTGGGCACAGCAGAGCTGCACCCTGTGCTGGGAACAGCCTAGAGATGATGAGCAAGAGGTTTGAACAGCCTGTCCTGCCCCATGACACCCTCGGTGCTTCCTCTCCCTGAGCACGACCCGTCTCTGATGACTTTTTCATGTTCTCCGGAAAGTGTGTTTGTGCTTGGAAATACCTTCCAGCTTTGTTTGCTGCTGCTGCATTGTTTGCCTCCAGGCTGATACTATCTTCTCCTGCTTTCCAGCATTTTTCAGTACCCTTGGGTGATGCTTGTGCGGGGTCTGGGTGTTTTCTGAACCTCCGCAAGCAGGTTTTGACAGGGCAGATTTTTTTGGCCGTCCTTTCAGTCCCCAAAGGCCACTGTACTCCCTTGCCCCCAGCACTATCTCACCTCTGAATCTGGGGATTTTTCCAAACAATTGCAAAACCCCAGAGGCTGGAGTTCTGCTTTCTCCTTCCTCCCCCGGAAACCTGGGAAGAGCAAACAGCTCGCTGGCCGCTGTGCCATAAGCTCACTGAGAGCTCTTGTGCTCGATAGAGGAGCTGCTGGGCTGACCTCGGTGCGTGTGTGAAGAGCACAAGCTCCATCCCACAGCCCTGTTGCCCTCTGTTTCCTACCGGGCTTGGGGGGCTTTGCTCAGGGTCTTTGCCCCACTTAACCTCTGGAAGGCACAAAAGCGTGAAGTGGGGTTCTCAGTGGCGCTGCTGTCCCCCAGTTTGTTGCACACTTGGAGCCAAGTGTTGGTGCTCAGCAGCCCCTGGTGCTCCCCAGCTCCCAGCACCCTCCTTTCACGGATCCCGGGGTGGGAGCTGCAGCCGGGAATTCATGCCATGGTTTTGCCAGGACACCGACTGCTCCCCAGGACTGGGGTCCTCACGCTGCTGCAGGTCTGTTGATGAGTAATGAGGGGTCTGTTAATGAGCAATGAGCCTGGCTGGAGTAGCTTCAAGAGGGACACAAGTGTGAAGTTCTGGGCCAACTCTGAGTGACCTCCAGAGTTCCCTCCTGCCTTGGGTATTATTCCCCGCCCCCGGTGATAGGGCAGTGGCAGTGTTCCCATCCACTTGCTGCCATCCTTCATGCAGGGATGGACAGGAGGCAGCACCTGAGTGCCCTGGCAGCAGACACCCCTCTTAGCCCTGAAACCAAATCGTGGTGAACATGCTTGGTTGGGGTGGGGGTTGCCTCTGTGGCGCAGCTCTATAAACCCTCAGTCCCCGTGTGTTTTGGGAGGGTGAGCAGAGGCTGGTGATGCCAGGGGTTTCTGACCTACTGGTGCCTTGTGTTTAACTGCTGCCTATGTTTATTTATTCTGTATTATATAAATAAACTGATTTTTTCTGTCATTTCCCCATAGCCTTTCTAGAAGAGCTGCAGCAATTTTGGAAATTGTGGTTGCCACAACAAGAAAGTGTTAGAAAGCGAGTAAAAGTGTTTCCTTTTCTGGCAGATAAAGAGGAGACTCACTGCCTGGCCTTGGAGCATCTTCCCGTGTGGGGATGCCATGATAGGAGTGAGCAGGAAGATGTGATGCTGTGGTGGGTGGTGTGAGTTCAGCTGTGAGTGGAGGATGTCTCCATATTGGAGGTGGAGATGTCTCCATCACAGCCCCATAGAATCCTGGAATGGTTTGGGTTGAAAAGGACCTTAAAGGGATCATCTACTTCCATCCCCCTGCAGTGGGCAGGGACCTTCCACTCGACCGTGTTGCTCCAAGTCCCATCCAATCTGGCCTTGAACACTTCCAGGGATGGGGCATTCAACAGAGGAACCTTTTCCAGGTCATGGGGTCCTTGTCCCCTGTCAGGGCTGGCACCAGCATCTTGTCCTCAGCAAGACCCCAGTCCTGTGGGTGAGGCACATCCATGCTTCTGCAGGATGGCTGGGACTCCCAGGAACTGTGTGCTGGATGTGTGAGCGTGGGACTCTCTCCTCTCCCAGCTCTGCTTTGCCCTCAAGTCCCCATTGCCCTCAAATCCTGGCTCATTTTATAACGGTTTTCCAGGCAGGAGGCAGATGGATCAGAGCCACCCTCACTGGGAGCTGTCAGCAACCCATGACCCCAACGTGGCGTCCCCAGCAGCACGACCCTGCAGTCCCAGCTCAGATCCTGCAGGGCATAAACCCCTCGTCCGGATAACCGGAGTGACCCCGGCCCTGGGGCAGTCGGTGCTCCCTGGCGCGGAAGTGCCGCCCGTGATTTTTGGCAGGGGCAGCAGGAGCCTGGGACGGCCTGTCTCCATCCCCAGGGGATGGTGTTTGCCAGGGGGGGGGTCACAGCCAAACCCAGGCCCAGTGCTTGGAGCATCCCTAGTGGGAAGCACTGCCAAGCTCACACGGGAAATGTGCGGGGTCGGGTCCCAGGGGCTTGGCCTCCCCCTCCAGCTGGGACTTGTCATCGGCCCTGCAGGAGCTGGGGATGTTAACTGGGCTTACTGGCAGCCCAGAGAAGGCAAAGCTTTTGTGCTGGAGCTGATTTGCTCTTTGCTGCGTTTGAGTGCCCGGGTGGATGCGGGGATTCCTAAGATGAGTAATGAGGGGTCTGTTAATGAGCAATGATGCCCAGGAGGATTCAGGGATGCCTGTGGGGATGCCAGGATTCTTGTGGGAATACAAGGGTGGCTGGGAGGATGCAGAGGTGGCCAGAAGGATGCAGGGATGGCTGCAAGGACACCCAGGAGGATGCAGGATTGCCTGGGCAGCTGCAAGGATGCCTGGGTGGATCCAGGGATGCCCTGGGATGCAGGAGAGCCTGTCCCTGTGGAGGAATTGAAGTTTTCCCCAGCGAGCAAATCCTGTGTGGGGTCACTGTGAGGCAGCCAGGAGCACCTGCCCGGTGCCAGCAGGTGTTTGTGCACGTTGCCATGGCTGGCTGGAGTGGCTGGTGACCATGGGAGGTGGAGCAGGATCCTGAACAACATCAGCCCAACAGGGCCCTGCCAAATTGCCCGTTATCCCAGGGTGTGGTCAGCGTTGGTTACTCAGTGCGTGTGGCATTTTTACTTTGCCCTCTGCCGTTAACGTCACACCCGCAGTGAATTCATACCTGTGAGCTCTTGCACAGTCTTGGGTCTTCAGGAGGTGGGAATGTCATGGAAAGAAACCCCAGTGAGGTGCAGGAGCCATACCCAGCATTGCTGGGGGTGTCTGGGATCACAGTGGGGAAAGGCATGGGTGGGAAAGGCAGAAGAGCTGTGACTGTTTCCATCTGAGCTCCTCAGCCACAGGGCTGTGCTTGGAGCTTTTTGCAATTTGAAGCTGAAATTGAGGTGGGCTTTTAGATGGATGGTGGGTCCCTACTTCTCTCCCCCATTGCTGTTTGTGTTGCTTGCTTTTTTTTTTGCAGCAGGAGCAGCATTAATAATGGGGTTTTATCCCCAGACAGCTCCTGCTCTGCAGATCTGTTCCTCAGAGGTGGGATGGGAAGGGCAGGGGGGTTTGCAAATGCTTTAGGAACAGGTCGAGATGTGCTGGGGAGGCAGTGCTGGCACTGCCCTCTCTCTGCTCCTACTCACCCACCGAGGGCAAATTGCCCTGTCCCAGGAGACCTGCCTGGGTGCTGTGGGGTGCTGCTGGCTCCCAGGTGGCTCAGGGGCTTTGTGGGTGCTGTGCCCACTGGCAGGGGTGTACCCTGGGTGCTGTAAGTAGACTTTCTGGAAAGATACCCTCACCCCAGCCTTGTCCTGGGCTATGCTTTTCCCAATCCCAGTGGAAGATGCCACGTGGCTGTGGGCTGAGTCAGAGGGTGTGTCAGCCAGGGGACCTCTCTGTGGGGCTCGCCCTGGTTTGGGGTGTCCCTGGCTGGGCTGGGTGCCTTGGCAGACCCAGTTCCCGCAGGCGGAGGCGATTCCTCAGCCCTGGAAGGAGGTGGATCCTGCCCCAGTCACACCCTGCTGACTAAGGGGAGCCCCAGGGAGCAGATCAAGCCTGTTGCCGTGGTTCCCACCTAAGGGATTGCCAAGGAGCCCCACAGCAGTAGGACCACCATCACTCAGGCTTTCCCAGCCTGGGGCTCCATGTTTCTCCCTAGTTAGCACCGGGCTGAGGTGAAGGGTGCCAGGGCATCTCCCTGCATGGCCAACACTTGAGGACAGGCGGGATCTGCCACCCTGTTGCAAGATGTGTCAGCCTCCTGGGTTCGGTGCAGGTGGGAGGGTGACCCGGGAATGCTCTGGGAACCAGAAAGACTGTGGTGGGCCCAGAGGCTCATCTTGTCTGTCTGCATCCCCAGCTGGAGGACTGCACGCTGCAGGTCTCACCCTCTGGACACTACCTGGACCTTGACTTGTCCCTGCTGGAGCAGAAGGATGATCTGGAGGGTTTCTACGAGGAGGTCAGGTGAGGCACGTGGGGTGCCCGAGCCCTCTGGGGACAGGACACGGGGGCCCCATGTGTGTATGAAGACCATGGGCAAGGGGCCAGGGGCTCTGGTGGTCCCACTGCAGGTGCTCACACCGCATTCTCCTCTGCCCTAGGAAGGGGAGACGGCCGACCCTGATCCTGCGCACGCAGCTCTCCGTCCGAGTCCACGCCATCATCGGTGAGTGGGGGCTGCTCCCTCCTCCAGGCTGGTGTGTGTCCAGGGGCTCGTCCACCCCGGATGGTGGGGGTTTGGCCTCTGTGGTGAGTTTTGGCCAGGCTTTTTGTGATGGAGAGAGGGAGCGATACAGCCCAGGGCTGCTCCCGCCCCATAAGCCCTCCCAAAGACCAGGGCACGTGGTCCCCATGGGGGGCCCGCTGGGTCAATCCCCTCCATCCTCAGAGATCGGGACTTTTGCCTCTTGGGCTGGGAGCCCACCACCCACTGCAGTTATTCTGGGTCATTCAGGCAAGCTCTAAATATAGCTTTGCAGGAGACAAACAAACAGCTCTTACGCAGCAGAAAGTGCTGCCATGGTTTCGGGCAGCCTGCTCCAAGGTCCTGCAAAATATTCGGGAGTCTCAAGCCTCTTTTTAGTCTTTAGCAGGGGGGAAACGAGCACTGAGCAGAGCGATGCCAGATGGGCATCAGCTGGCTGTGCAGGGCTGCAGCTGGGCCATGCGGGAAGGGACAGGAAGCCTGGGGTTGGGGTCATGGCCATGCTCTTTACCAGCAGTTCCCAGGCTCTGTCTGAGCTCTGGGCTCTTCTGCTTTCCCTCCTGGCTGCTCTGCCTTCCCTCTCAGCTGCTCTGACAAGCTGATAGCAGAGCGGAGGAGGCTGCCGGGACATCGTGTTTTACAGGGCATGTCTGGAGGCCTCCTTGGACATCTTGTTTTTGGCTTGTTACAGCTCTAAGCCTGACCCATATAAGTTGGGATGCTTGGCTAACTCAGTTTTTGGATGTGGAAAGTGCTGACTCACAATGGCTTTGGTGTCCTCATGGGGCTTTCCAGCTTCCCATTGCCCCAGCTGGTCAGTGCCAGCTCCTGCCTGCAGGCACCATCCCCATAAGCACAGTCTCCAGCCCAGTTACAGTCCTGTCCCCAAGCAGCCAGTGTCACACTGCCATCCTTCCCAACCCCATCCTGCAGTTTTTCCCAAGCCACAGGGCTCTGGGACCATGGCACAGCTATGCCTGGGGAGGGACAGCTAAAAGTAGCTCAGGCTTCTGCCAGAGTTCCTGTTTAGGTTGTGCACAGGAAACCAGAGGGGATATTTGTGTCATTGCTGGCCAGAAGAAAAGAAAAAAAAGGAAATAGGAAAGTGGCAGGGCTGAAATATGTAGTTGTGGAGCAGCAGCTGCTTCCACACAGTGTCCCACGGTTGGGGGCCATGCTGGCATCCTGGGGTGATGGCACAGGGGTTGAGTCAGGATGTGGGGCTTTCCTAGGAAGCTGGGAGCATTTGGGAGTCCCAGTACAACAGTGAGCCCCTGTGGGGTCAGGCCCTCAGGCCACATCTCTCCTTCCCTCCCAGAGAAGCTGTACAACTCTCAGGGGCCGGAGCTGCGGCGATCCCTCTTCTCCCTGAAGCAGCTCTTCCAGGTACGGTGATGGTGGTGGGGAGGGGCCGAGGGCCTCCCCCAGGGCTGGCTGCCCACCCCACACTGGGGTAACGCCTGGCCTTTGCCCTGCAGGAGGACAAGGACCTGGTGCCCGAGTTTGTGAACCTGGATGGGTTGACGTGCCTGATCAAAGTGGGGGCAGAGGCCGACCAGAACTACCAGAATTACATCCTCCGGGGTTGGTATTTGGGCCCAGGGCACCTCTGGAGCAGGGCTGCCTAAAGAAGCTGTGAATGCTTCATCCCTGGAAGTGTTCAAGGCCAGGTTGGATGGGGCTTTGATGCAACTTGATCTAACGGATCAAGTGCCCATGGCACGGGGGTTGGAATGAGATGGTCTTTAAGGTCCCTTCCAACCTAAACCATTCTGGGATTCTATGCTCATCCCCAAGGAGGAGGGGCTGACACTCAGGGGGAGAGAACCAGCAAGTTTGCCAGGGCTTTGTCTTCACAGCTGCCAGACATTGCCATGGCAATGCTGTGCAGGGATGGGAATGCCCAACCCCTGCCTGCCATGCCATCAGCCTGCCCATGCCATCAGCCTGCCCACTCTCTGCCTTGCAGCCTTGAGCCAGATCATGCTCTTTGTGGACGGGATGCAGGGTGTCATCAACCACAACGAGACTGTCCAGTGGCTGTACACGCTGTCGGGAAGCCCAGTAAGTTCTGTTCCTCCTGGGGGGCTGCCTGTGCCCCCTGCTGCACCCCCTTCCCTGCCTCTGGCTGTCCCCTTGCATCATCCCTCAGAGGGTGTGCTCCACTTCTGCTCAATGCCCTGGTACCTTTGCTTGTGTTGGGTCCTGCTCCCAACCACCTGGAAATCACCTGGGGTTCACAGAGCTCCTCGTCCTGATGTGACCATGTTCCCTGGCACAGAACTTGGGTTAGATGGTCCTGCTCCAGGTCTGGAGCCAGTGCCCCTTGGCCATCAGCATCACAGCTGCAGGTCCCTGGCCCCATGAACAAAACCCCCAGTCGTGGGGCGTGGGCACAGCCACCGCAGCATCACGCTGGCAGCCCCTGCCACTGCTGCTGTCCCAGCTGCCATCCCTTGTCCCAGTTTCGCCTGGTGGTGAAGATGGCACTGAAGCTGCTCCTGGTGTTCGTGGAGTACACAGAGCCCAATGCCCTGCTCCTCATCCGTGCTGTCAATGCCGTGGACCAGGCGAGAGGTGGGTGCAGCCCCCGCCTCCCACAGGGTGCCCGCCGGGGGATGGGGTCCCCTCCTGGCCCATGTGTCACCTGCACTTGCTGCTTTTCCCAGGTGCCTGTCCGTGGTCCAACCTGATGGCCATCCTGAAGCAACGCCACGGGGCTGACACGGAGCTGCTGGTGTTCACCATGACACTCATCAACAAGGTCTGGGGGGGTGTCCCCACAGTGCCATGCTGGTGGGGCTTGGGGTGGGTCACCCCAGTCCCAGCAGCATCCCTCTGGTCCTGCTCAGACGCTGGCAGCCCTCCCGGACCAGGACACCTTCTATGACGTGACTGACTGCCTGGAGCAGCAGGGCATGGAGCACGTGGTGCAGGAGTACCTGGGCAGCAAGGGCACCGACCTCGACTTGAAGCAGCAGTTCACACTCTACGAAGTGAGCGGGGCACCTGCGGGATCTGGCCACGTGCCACGTCCAGTGTCAGCAGGGGGGGTGTGCATGGGGTGGCAGGGGTGCTGCTGTGCCCAGTGCCATGCCCCCCGCTCCCTCCACAGAGTGCTCTCAAGCTGGAGGATGGCGTGGAAGAGCCGCCCTCGGGGGGACGCAAGGAGAGGAGGAGGACAGACGAGGGCCGGCGCGGGTGGCGGTCCCAGAGCGGCTGCCCAGAGCCCAGTGCTGATGCCCAGTCCCTTCTGGAGTCCCCTGGCACTCCAAAGGAGCCCCCAGCTGAGGACACCCCAGATATCCCCTCACCGAGCAGCCCAGCAGAGTAAGTGCAGCTGGAGGTGGTCTGTGGTGGGGATGCTTCTGGAATGGTGCAGACACTGGGGTGCAGCATAAGCAGCAGTGGGATCCATGCCAGTGCCAGGGTGGAGGGCAGTCCTGTGGGACTTGCTCTCAGTCCCTGTCACCTCTTGTTCCAGACCCTGTCCCAGCAGCACCTACAGCAGCGCGTCCAGCGTGCGGCTGGCCCTGGCCTCCCCCCCGGCCGAGAAGGAGCAGCCCCCGGGCCCAGGAGAGCGCAGTGTTTACAAGTAAGGAGCCAAGAGGGGCATGGGGTCCCCTGGGGTGGCAAGATGGGCTCCCAGGAGCATGAGGTGTGCCTATCCCAGGGCACACTCTGCCTGTCCCAGGGGGAAACAGAGTCTGGGAGGGCACTGGGGCTGGAGAGATATGTAATGGGGCAGCAGGTATCAGAGGGTCTGGACAGGGGCTCCAGGGCATCCTTTGGGCACTCACAGCTCTGCTCCAGCTCCTCCTCATTCTCCTCTCTGCCCACGCTTGCCCTCTCCTCTGCCCACTCTTTCTATCTTTCCTTTTGCAGGCTGCGCCAAACTGCCCCCGTCTGGTAAGTGCCTGGGCTCTGCACCCGCGCTCCCTCCCAGCATGTCACAGAATCATTGCATCCTGGAATGGTTTGGGTTGGAAGGGACCCTAAAGATCACCTAGTTCTAACCACCCTATCATAGGCAGGGACACCTTCCAGGGATGGGGCACCCACAGCTTCTCTGGGCAACCTGTGCCAGGGCCTCACCACCCTCACAGGGTAGAATTTCTTCCTAATATCCAATTTAAACCTACTCTCTTTCAGTTTAAAGACATTCTCCCTTGTCCTATCCCATGATGCTCCAGGGGGAGCGGGGACTTGCACCCACCTCACTGCCCCCATCCCACTGCCCCCATCACCAGCATCTCCCAAAGGATGATGGCACCCTCTGATCCCCACTTTGGGGCGAGGTGTCCCTGCTGGGGGTGGCACAGCCTGCTCGAGGTGTCCTGACCAGGTGGGGGAGACGGTGTCCCGTCTCACCAGCACCCAGTGCCACGGGATACCTGGGCAGGAGGGGGCTTGCCGGGGCTCTCCCAGCTCCCCGTGAACCCTGGGGCCGCAGGGTGATGGCAGGGTGAGGGTCCCGTGCTGGAGGGCTGCCAGGTGGGTGTGTGCAGGACACACGAGCCCTGTGGGGCTGCTGGCAGCGGGGGCTAACCCCTGTTTTCCCTCAGGCGGGAGGATGCCCCCTCCTTGCATGGGGACAAGCCTATTTTGAGGAGGTTTGAGTAAGTAGAGGCATGCGTGTGTCTCCAGGCATGCGCTTCCTCGGGCGGTGCCCGGCTGGAGGTGTCTGGGCTCCAGCCATGCAGGGCATGAGGAGCAGGAGGGTCCCCTCGAGTCTCTACCTGGGTGCCCTCATGGGTTTTGCAGCTTTTGGATGAGGGTTGCAGCGGGCAGCAGGTCTGTTGGGACCAGCTGGTGACAGTGGCACCCTGATGGCACAAGCCTTTGGCTCCCATGGGGCCTTGTCCCCGAGCCCTGGGGGCAACGCCTGTCTCTCTGCAGGGCTCAGAGGAGGTTGAATCCTCTGGGTCTCTGATGTGGTGTGGCCAGTGCAGGGGGTTTCTGTGCTGCAGGGCTGGCTGTGCAGTGTGGCATGGCGTGGTGTGCCCATTGTCCCCGTTGTCCCCATCCCTGCCTTGCTCCCAGCCAACGCCTACCTCTGTCTTGCAGAGCTCGCTTTTTGGAGAACCTGGCTGCAGCCCAGAAGGAGAAGATCTCTTCCATGGCCAAGGGGCGGCTCGACGTCCTCGGTGATGCTGCACTGGAGCATCCTGCTGTTCCTGCGTGGGAAAGAGACAGTGGCACCTCTGATTCCGGGATGGAGCCACCCAGCATAAGTAAGTGCTGCCAGGGTGTGTGTTCCCAGCTCATCAGGGCCCCTGGGGCAGGGGTTAGTGGCCCCTCTGTCCCTGTGCCACCACTGTGATACCCAGAGCCATGGAGAAGCTGGTGGTACCTCCTTGCTCAAAACACTGGCATCCGAGCACACCCCACCAGGGAGCAGGACCCCAGCTCCACGTGCAGCTCAGCACTACCTGCTCCCTCCAAGCGTGTTGTCCCAGCTTCTCCCTCTCTCCCGGCAGGATCTCGCCTGGCTCGGTCTGATGCCACCGACTCCTGCAGCACCATCTCCTCTGACACCAAGTTTATGCTGGACATGCTCTATGCCAAGGGCTCCTCAGAGCCAGGGAGGGAAAAGGTGTTCCCTGAGGTCCCTTCATCCCCCCGGATCCAGGGTGAGGCAGAGATGAATGCCAAGGGAGGTAGCAGCCAGGAGCAGGAGAGTGCCTGGCTCCGTGGCAGGGCTCCAGATGGGCCAGTGGCCAGTGCCCACGCCAAGCTGGTACGTGCCATGTCCAGCATAGATGCCGAGACCCACACGCAGAAGCTGGAGAACACCGGGATGATGCCCATCAAGAAGGACATGGAGCTGACATGGGAGCGCCTGGAGGCCAGCCCCGTGCAGCTGAAGATCAAGGACCTGGACTTCACTGATCTGGGGGAGGAAGAAGATTTTGACATCCTGGACACAGGGCCAATGGCCAATGGCTCCTTCCTCCATTCTGGCATTACAGCAACAAGCGCTGGAACACTGATGGCTCCCCCTCCACCTCCTGCCATGCCTGGTTGCCCACCACCTCCACCTCCACCTCCTGCAATCCCAGGTTGCCCACCACCACCACCTCCACCTCCTGCCATCCCTGGTTGCCCACCACCTCCACCTCCTGTAGCCCCTGGCTGCCCACCCCCACCAGGGCTGTCAGGCCTCTCAGCAACAGATGGCCCCTCCCAGGCCAAGAAGAAGAGGACAGTGAAGCTCTTCTGGAAGGAGCTGAAGCAGCTGGATGGCACTGTAGGGCCAGGCAGGTTTGGCCAGGGGACACTGTGGGCATCCCTGCAGAATGTCGAGATCAACACTGCAAAACTGGAGCATCTCTTTGAGTCGCGGTCAAAGGAAGTGCCGGCTTCAAAGGTACCAGCGGGCACCCATCGGCCAAGGGGACTTCAGGGGTGGGAGGAAGGCTGTTGGTTCCTGTGGGGACCCTCAGCATGCACTGTCACCCTTACCCTATGCCAAGGATTGGTACCAGCAGCCCAGAGGTTCGGTGGGGCGGGTGATGGGCAGTGCACAGGTTTGGCTCACCATGGGGTCCGTGATCGACTCCCTGTGTCCATGATGAGCTCATGAGCCCTTTGCCTGGCTGTCCCCACCCATCCTGTCCTCTTTGCAGAAAGCTGTGGATGGGAAGAAGGTCGTGGTGGTGCTGGACCCCAAGAGAAGCAACGCCATCAACATTGGCCTCACAGTGCTGCCACCCGTCCACATCATCAAGACTGCTGTCCTCAACTTTGACGAGTTTGCAGTCAATAAGGAAGGGATTGAGGTGAGCACAAGCCCCTCTGAGGTCCTCATGCCAGTCATTTCCCTGGCCAGGAGACCTCCATGCTATGATGCCTGGGGTGACACATCCCATGATGACATGTCTGGAGTCTGACATATCCCTCTTTCCCTGCCCTAGAAAATCCTGACCATGGTCCCAACTGAGGAGGAGAAGCAGAAGATCCAGGAGGCCCAGTTGGCCAACCCTGACGTGCCCTTGGGCTCTGCAGAGCAGTTCCTGCTCGCCCTGTCTTCCATCAGTGACCTCACGGCCAGACTCCAGCTCTGGGCCTTCAAGCTGGACTACGAGAGCCTGGAGCAGGTAGAGAGCCATGTACCCCATCTCCCCTCTGCCCTCCCACCACTGCCACCCCAGCAGTTCTAAGTGCTGAGCCAAGCATGTTCCTGGCTGGGGACAGGCTGTAGGTCCCCACCCAAGGCAAGCATGGGCTTGAGTTGACCAGGGGGTGGTTGTCCTCGTGGGTGAATGCTGAAGTTCCCAAGGGGTCTCACCTGCCTCTCTCCTCACCCAGGAGATTGCAGAGCCGCTCTTTGATCTGAAGGTGGGCATGGAGCAGCTGGCCAAAAATCACACCTTCAAGTGCATCCTGGCCACGCTGCTGGCCATGGGCAACTTCTTGAATGGTTCTCAGGTGAGGAGCAGGGTGAGGACCAGCCATGGTGCAAGGGTATACTGGGGAAGGACCACGGGGAGCCTGGGATGGTGCCTGAGGCTGGGTGGTGCTAGCGAGGTCTGCAGAGTGGAGGTCTGCTGGAGGAGGGATGGAGAGTCCATTGTGTTTCAGAGCAGAGGCTTTGAACTGGGCTACCTGGAGAAGGTCTCGGAAGTGAAGGACACTGTGCACCGGCAGTCCCTGCTCTACCATCTCTGCCAGATGGTGGTAGAGAAGTTCCCAGAAACCACTGATCTCTACTCAGAGATTGCCTCCATCACCCGCTCCGCCAAGGTGAGGCAAGGCAGGTGACACCCAGGCAAGGACAGGGTGTGGGTCCCTTGGCTGCCCAGCTCCACCAGCGTGGCCAAGGGCTGACGTCTCACTCTTCCAGATTGACTTTGAAGAGCTGGCCAACAGCCTGGTGCAGCTGGAGCGGAGGTGCAGGGCCTCCTGGGACAACCTGAAGGTGATTGCCAAGCACGAGACCAAGCCGGTGCTGAAGACCAAGCTGACAGAGTTCCTCAAGGACAGCACCCAGCGCATCGTCGTCTTGAAGGTGGTGCACAGGCGCGTCCTCAACAGGTTGGTGGCTCGAGGTCCCGGGGACACAGCAGGAGCCCCACGGTCCTGCTGCTGGCCCGCCACGACTGACGTTCCCGTAGGTTTCACTCCTTCCTGCTGTACCTGGGGTACCCGGCGAGCGCGGCGCGGGACGTGAAGGTGACGCCCATCTGCAAACTGCTGCGGGAGTTCGCCCTGGAGTACCGCACCTGCCGCGAGCGCGTCCTGCAGCAGCACAAGAAACGCGCCGCCCACCGCGAGCGCAGCAAGACCCGCGGGCGGCTCATCACCGAGGTACGGGGGCGCTCGGCCGCGCGCCAGCAGGAGGGGACGCCCCCCACGCCCCTGACACCCACCTCTCCTCCCGCCGCAGACAGAGAAGTTCTCTGGCATCGCCGAGGCCGTTTTGCCACCCGCCGTGGTGTCCAGCAGCCCCAAGGAGCAGATGGAAGCGGGTCACGAGAGCATGAAGAGTGTACTGACCTCCCCCGTGGATATCCCTGCCCGCCGCAGCCGGGCCAGCCAGGGTAGGAGTGGGATGGCAAATGCGTTCAAGGCATGCCTGGCTGGCTGGGCGTGGCTGATGCCTGCATCCTCACTGTCCCCGTGCAGGAACAGGGCATTCCACCCCAACCCAGGGCTCCTCGGCCCAGGAGGACGTTCCCAGCTCCCCAGACGATGCTTCGGATGAAATCATGGACCGGCTGGTGAAATCGGTGACTCACAATGCCAACCCCCGGCCCTGCACCAACAGGGAGCGCAGGAGGTCCCGTGGCAATAGGAAGTCCTGTAAGTTCCATCTCTGTCCCCATGCACTGGCCCTGTACTCTGTCCCTGTCCCATGTCAGTGTCCCTGCCCAGATGCTTTTTCCTACCTCTGTGTCCCTGTCCCCTTACCATCTCCCATTTCTTTGGCCCTGTCCCCGTGCCCTGTCCCATCTCTATATCTCTCTTCCCATGCTCTGCCCAGTCCCTGCACTCTATCTCATCTCTGTCCTTGTCCCCGTCCTCTGTCCCATCTCCACGTCTCTGTGCTCTGTCCCCGTGACTTGTCCTATTTCTGTGTCCTTGTTCCCACACCCTGCCTGGCTCCTTCCCCACGGGCCACCGGTGACCTGCCATGCTGAGCCCACCAGGCCATAGCAGGATGTACCCTGAGACCAACCCATGCCACTGCACCCCATTGCCACTCTCCCCAGTATGCCAGGGCCGCCCTGTCTGTGCCCCTGGCACCCAGCACCGCCTGTGCTGCTGGTGCCACACTCTGCCCCTCCCGCAGTGCGGCGGACGCTGAAGAGTGGGCTCAGTGATGAGCTGGTGCAGGCGCTGGGCCTGGGGCGGGCGCCCGGCATGGACGTCTGAGGGGGCCGAGAGGGCTCCTGCTGCTCCCCACCGCCAGCAGCCCCAGGGCAGAACGTGGTGGCAGCCCCCGTGGCACGCTCCAGGACTGGCACGCTCCACACCTTTGGTCTTGCCTCACTTTTCGCTCCTGGCCTCCAGCTCCCAGAGGTGCAGGCAGCAGGAGGGTGGTGATGCCCCAGAGCTGCTCTGCGGTGACTGGGATGGAGGATGCTCAGCACTCGTGCATGGAGGCTCAGGGTTCATCTTCTCAGCAGTATTATAGGGGTCAAGGGGCTGGACCCAGACCCCCCCTGGGACCTGGGTCTGGCCCGTGGCCGCTGTGGCAATAAAGTGATCTGACATGCTGCCAGTGTCCCTTGTCCCTGTACCTGAGAGGCCACAAGGATATGGTACTGCCCCCTGGACAAGCCAGTACCCCTCCTCCTGCATCCTCAGCCCTGCTGCCTGAGACAAGCACTCAGCCAGCCCTGTGGCTTGCAGGCACCACTGTCCCTCTGCGGATAGCGTGGTCCCCTCTGTGCTGGGACAGCTCAGAACCTTTCCAGAAGGAGCAAGGACTGCTGCCAAGCTCAAGGCTGCACACTCAAGGGCAGGAGCAGTGGCTCGAGCACAAGGCCACAGCACAATAAAATCATGTCTCACCTCATCTCTTCCTTACAAACCTCTCCTGGGGGGTTTTAGCCAGACCCGGACCTGGGTAAGAGGCAGGGTGGTTGTTCCCCTCCAGGAGCAGGTCCTGGGCACAGTAGCCACGTTGCAAGCCTCAGAAACATTCCCTGTGCTTGGCAGAGACAGGCTACCTGGTGCTGTAAATGCAGCAAGAGCAGCATCCATCTGTCCCCATGGGGGACTGGGAGATGGCCCTGCCACCTCTTGTCCTAGTGTGGCTCATGCCATGCCAGACACAGATTAAACCCCACAATGGGTGCTGGCTGCAATGTTCCCCACAGGTCCATACCGTTTCTGAGCATCCCCCTGTGCTTTGGGCACTGTCACCCATGGTAGAGGCATTTGGGAATGGTGTCGTGCCATCCATCACGGCGGCTCCTCCTCGGTGCTGCCCTGGCCCTGCCTCCAGCCCTGAATCCCGCACAGCAGGTCTCTGTGGCTTTCAAGGAATGAAGAAAAACTCCACCGGGCAGGGCAGCTTCTCCCTCTGGGCTATCTCTGCCCAGGGTTGTCCCTCTCCCACGAGGCTGGACATGCCGGTGGCCTTGGAGGTGCCGGGCAGCACCAGCCTGCCCCAGCTCGCGGCGTGTCTGAGACGTTCCTGGGTGGCTCTGGGAACAGCCAGATACCACACTAAGAGCTGCAGGTGTCCCAGACGTGCCCCAAGATGTCATTTGGCTCTCCTGCCCTCTGGGTGCTTGACTTGGGGCTGCAAAGAGAGAACAAAGAGGTTGTGATAGGCAACACTGAGCCACAGCAGGAAGCAGAAAGGGATGGGAAAGCATCTTCCTGAACGCCCGCACCTGCCCAGGTACCTGAAGTGACATTACACATGTGACAATCCCAGGAGTGTTGCTCACAAGGGCCTTGATGGGGGCAACTGTAGGCAGGGTGCTGGGGAACGTGTCCCCCTCTGGGTGGTTTGGTGGCACTTGGGGCAGCTTTGTCCTCAGCCAAGGCCTCTGCCAACCCATTTGGGTTTTTCCACTTTTTTTTTTCCCCAGCCTTGGTGATATTTCCAGGATTCCCAGCCCAGCCCTGGGCACACGCTGCCCTTGAGCGGCGCCTGAAGTGCTTGGCTTGGCTGCGGCACAAGTGGCTTATGCCAAAAATACAACAGGCAGAGGCGGCCCCCCCGGGAAGGAGAGGGGGTGGCGGGATGCCGGAGGGGCCTTTGGGAGCCGAGGCAGGTTCGTGGCAGTGACACGAGGCTTGGTGGGGACCTGGGGCACACGTGGCCTCAGGCAGATCAGCAGAGCTGGGGAGCTGCACCCCCGGCTGACTCCTGGGGGTAGGAGGAGGTGACCCTGCCGGAGCACCCCGCTGCTCCCAGCACCTCCGTGCCTCCCTCCATCCCCATCCCTGCGTGGCTCCCAGGGCCACGAGCTGTGTCCTGCTGCCACGAGGGGGCACGGCGGCCACGCGCACGGCGGGGCCACCCGGGACACGCTCCGTGTCCAGCCGCTCTGCCTCTGCCTCTGCAGGCACTCGCCGCTGGCCTTCAGTTCGCTGTTCCCCCCCGCCTGGCACCCGAGGGGCTGCACCCTGCTCCCCTCCCCTCGAGACATCCTGCCTCTTTCATGTGCCCGGTGGAGTGACAGCCACGTCCTTGGTCCTGGCTGTTTGTCTGGCTGGCGAGGACAGGCTTCTGTCCCTTGTGCTAAGATGTGTCTCCAGTGCTTGTCCCTGGCCCCCATCCTGCCCTGGCCCCCTTCCAGGCAGTGGGGAGGAGCAGGGGACAGCAAGGACGAGCCTGGCTCCACTTGTTGCATTTACCCTCTTCTGTAGCTCCCACCCTCATTGTGATGGAAGATGTCCCCTGCCTTCTCCATTCCATCCTTTCCATGGGACTGTCCCAGTGCAGGGTCCTGTTTGCTGGCACACCCCGAGGTCAGCTCCAGCCTCATGCTACATGGGTGGGGGACTGCCTGTGGTCCTGGCCTCCTGGTTGCCACGAATCCCCACCATCTTGTGTGAGAAGCACAATTCCCACCAGGAATAGCACAACCTCACCTCTGTTCCCAGGTCAGAACCATCCAGAACATTTCTTGCAAGCACTGGGGCACCCTGGCCAATTCCAGGAGCATCTACCACCCCCCAAATTCCTCCTCCTGCCTCAGCTGCAGGAATCCTCTACCTCCTGGCCCCAACCCTCTTAAGCAACTCCAGGCTGGACACGCTCCATTCTGCAACCACCTTCCCCAGCAGGATGGAGGCGTGGGACGGGAACCAGGTCACAGCTGCTGTGACCTACTGCCCTCTTCCCTGGGGGCAGAGGGAGCAGGAGCCACTTTGGGCGTGGCCCAGTCGGCTTCCCCTGGTATCTGTCTTGTGGCCAAGGGGGAGCCACATTTCCCTTGTCCCCACCACTCCAATATCGAGGTAGAGACCCTGTCATGGGCATGGAAGAGAGGGGAGATGGGAAGGTGATGCTGGGCTGGCAAAGCAGGCTGGTATGGGTATCACACAGGCCTCAGGAGAGCACCAGGCATTAGTGGAGCTGGAATCACTTTGGAATATGACCACTGCAGCACAGCCACACCAAAGGAACAAAGTCCCTGCAGCCCAAAAGCAGCTCTGGTTTGGGGAACCAAGGTGCAGAGAGCCCAGATGGCAAAGGGGCTGCCAAGGTCGTGCGGGCACAGTGACACAGGGTCCCCACCAGGGCAGAAGGTGAAGCCTCTCCCAAAGCCATGAATGCAGCTGGAAGCGGAGACGTGTTTTGTAAATACCTGGGGATCCTGCACAACCTGAAAAAACAAGTCAGAGGCAGGAATGTTCCGAAGACGAGGGGGTTTGGAAAGAGCCAGACCCAGGGTCAGTGCCTGGCTGGATGCTCCATGTTGGCAGCAAGGCTGTCCTGGGGAGCAGCCCTGGTACTCCCCAAAGGAGATGCTCCAGCCACAGCACCCTGGGAGCAGGGAGGTCCTGCCCAGGCTCTGGGGAGAGGTTTGGGCTGTGCCCATCATCCAGCTGAGGTGTGTGGAAACCCCACAGATGGAGGATGAAAGCCTGGGGCTCAGGCTGATCCCACTGACATGGCATCAGATGCAGGGCATCAGATGATGGGCACCAATGGTCACCTTTGGTTTACAGCTTCAAAACATAAAGAAAGCCCCAAAAAAGTCCTTCAGTCAAATAAGTTGGAAACAAGGAATGGAAAATGCTGGGAAGAAGGGAGAGAAGATCCCAGAACAAGGAGCTAAGGTGGCTCCATGGGCAGCTGTGGCTCAGGTTGGTCATGCCATGGGAAGTGCCTCCAGGCTGGGCTTTGTTAGATTCAGTTTCCATGCCCTCGGTTTGGGAAAGGAACATGGGGATATTGTTGGGTGCAGGAAAGGCTTCCTGGAGCTGAGCCCAGCTTAGCTGAATCACAGCCACTCATGGATCTGCACTCCCCAGAGAAGAAAGCCGCGATAACAGAGCTCCCACTGCAGCAGCAAAGTTCAACCAGAAGCAGTAGAACTGCCCAAGTTCAGTGGTAGGACACAAATATTTGGTGCCAGCAGTAATTAATCACTGTCGTCTGCAAGACCCTCTGGGTCAAAATGAGGTTAATTCCAGGCAGTGCAGCAGCCTTTGTCATCCCTGAACTGTCTCTGGCCCCAGATGCCAATGGGCTCCAGTGTCCCAAATCTTCAGCATGAAGAAGGATGAACCCACATCCATCCAAAGGCTGTTAGAGGACATGGTGTGGGACAGAAGGAGCCCTGTGTGCTATAGTCAACAAGGCACATCCCCTTTTCTGTGGGTTTGATGGTCCATGGTAGGTACCCAGCCCACAAGAGACATCCAAGGGGGTTCCAGCCCCATGGTCGCCTCTCCTGAGACAACTGCTCCCAGGGAAGGACTATACTTCCTGGTCTGTGTGAGGAAGCAAGTGCTGGCACAAACCTCCATCAGCACTGAACAGACAAAAGTGCCCTGTTAGGTGCTCGCTCGCCTGGGTGGTGTTTCCTGAGGAGATAATAGCCCTGGAAGAAGGACTTGCTGTTTTGGAGGAGATTAAGTACCTGTGGGAGCAGCATGTGGATGAATCACAACCCTCATGGGCTTAGAGCCCCTGGAAATGGCTCATGACACTTTGAAAACAATGTCGTGAATCTTCTGCAGATCAGATTAGGGAGTGGAACAATTATCTCAAAACCTGTTAGTCATGGGAGGCTCCAGGAGCTGGAGGAACAGCCTAGGGCAAGGGGAGCACTAGGAAGATGTGTGTCCCCCCTCCATGAGCAGCCCCAGGAAGGGTGTGGGAGGTGACTGTGGTCGAACCAGCCCCGTTTCCCCTGCAGAGGTTGAGCTGTAATTAGCAGAACAGGTACGGAAGAGCTCAAGTA